GAGAAGGCTTCGCAGTAGGCAAACACTTCAGCTACGTCCGTTCCGCTGCTTGCCGCTCTTGGCTACCGCTACCATCGCAACACAGCGAATTCCTAACAATGCGTTTGTACGCTGGCGACGGCTACTTCTCTTATAGGTTTCGTTTGCATGGTAAGCGCGCGCGCGCGCGCGCGCGTGTGTGTGTGTGTGTGTGTGTGTGTGTGTGTGTGTGTGTGTGTGTGTGTGTGTGTGTGTGTGTGTGTGTGTGTGTGTGTGTGTGTGTGTGTGTGTGTGTGTGTGTGTGTGTGTGTGTGTGTGTGTGTGGATGTGTGGATAAATGAATTGTACACTTAAGGGCTCGTTTTTTCTTGTTAGAAACAATATTAAAGAGATCTAACAGACAATAATGCAAGGAAAGGATTGGGGAAATTATTAGAGATAATCGTAATCTAAATGCGAAGAAAGAAAAGTGGATGAAAAGATAACTTGTCGTGAGAAGATCCGAACCTGCGACCTTCGAATAACGCGTTCAATGCTCTACCAACTGAGCTACCACAGCGCCCCCCCCCCCTCCACTTTACTGGGTATATATGAGAATTAAACGTGGGAGTGTCAGTCAGCGCCCCCAGCAGCCATGGCGGCGAGTGTGGAACACTCTTTATAAGTCTGTTTGGCACGTGAACTTATTGCGAGCTGGCAGCTGACCAATGATTCTTCGTATACCACCTAAAGGCACCACGTCTGCCAGAAGGAGACCCTCGTTAATGAAGGAAGGAAGGAAGTCTATACTAAAGGGTTCGTTTTTTTTTTTTTTTTGTTAGACACGATATGAAGATCTAACAGACAATAATGCAAGGAACGTATAGGGGAAATTACTATACCTAATTGTAATGTGAATGTGAAGAAAGAAAAGTGGAGGAAAAGATAACTTGCCGTGGGCAGGAACCGAGCCTGCGACGTTCTCGATGAAACACCAAGACATGTATACTGTGACATCGAGGGGCAAAAATATTGATGTAGATCAGTAAAATCAATAGAGCACGTGCAAACGTTAAAGTGCTTTTGTGGTTTTACCACTCACAAATTCATGTTGCCATGTATCTAACACTTTGGTAAGTACGGGACGTCTGGGAATTTTCGCAATTAGTGCAATCAAAGAGGATTGCGACTCGGCGACCAATCGAAAATCCGCTTTCCAGGCTCGTCGAGGGGACCGCTCTAAGCCGGCCGAGGCCTGCCTTGCCTGTGCCTGACAAGCAGTGACGGATTAATCGTCTCAGAAAGCCTCGATCGAATGCGACCGCGGTAAGGTGACCAGCCACAGGCACGTCTAGAGAAGCACTATATATACGACCGTGCGCTAATACACGCCACTATATACGCCTGCGCCGGCACTTTATCTGCGCTTTATTACGCCACCCTCAGACGCCGTTATATCTTTACGATCCGGAAATACCCCTACTCTGCAGACAGGACGCAGGGCCTGCCTATCTTTCGAGAACCAGCGGAATCAGCGCTCCCACGTATCAAATGTAATACAATGTAAGCACCGATGGTTCGGGAGAATTCGCGCAGAACCATAAAGGGGGCACCCATATACGTAACAAATGAGAACACGTCACAAGCGCGCAACGTTAAAAGTGCCATAACAGGCAAGCGAGACCGTCGTTACAGGGTAATAATAATAATAATAATAATAATAATAATAATAATAATAATTGTTAAGGTTTAACGTTCCAAACTCACCATATGATTATGAGAGACGCCGTAGTGGAGGGTTTCGGAAATTTCGGCCACCTGGGGGTTCTTTAACTTGCACCCAAATCTTAGTACAGCAGCTTCAAACATTTTCGCCTCCATCTAAAATGCAGCCGCCGCAGCCGAAATTCGATATCGCGACCTTCGGTTTAACGGTGTTCGTATTTACGAGGTTAGCATTCTTTGTGAACTTCTGCGACTCTTCTTCAGTACATACTTTACCTCTTTTGTGCCAACTTGGATCGGTGGCCCAAACGGCCCGTGTCCGAATCGACAAAGTGACAAGCTGTTCATGCGCGGAATGTGACATCAGCTAAGCGACCATTATTGGTCAATTAATTATTCACAATGAGTATGCACCACAGCAGTGGAGTCCCGGATAAACGTGAACAACGAGAGCCAAATAGCGGAAACGTTGGTAAACGAAAGCAAAAATGTGCAAAAAGTAATCTACGGAAAAATGAAAAGTGTCAACATCAGAAGTAGTCGAGTGTTTAAAAAAGAGGCGACCACAACAGCATTGTATAATCAAAGAAGTAATAAGGCACGTGACCTAGAAACACTACAGAGAAACAATGACTTGGTTTAGATACATAAACTGCACTCTGAGAACTCTAATGCCATACGTTTCACTGTCATGATCAGCGTGGAAAATCAAGGTCGAAATTTCAGCCTGAAATTCCACGCTCAGATTCCCCGCGCGTGACGTCAAATATTTCAAAATGTATTTTTGCAAGTTTCGCGACATTGGCTCGATGAAATTTTTTCAAACTTCGTATGCTAGATCTATGGCACCCACAGATGACATTGTACTTCATTTTTATCAATTATAAGCCACTTAGGACCCAGTAGACGCCTTCAAAATTTATGACGTCACTGTGTTTCGCGTGCCCATTTCTATACGTGGCGTCTCCATCCGCATTTTATTTTCGCGAATTTTCTCGCTTACGCTGTATCGCTTACGAAGCATCGTGTCGCGGTAAGAGTAGCGTTTTTGGAATTGTGAAATGGTACTTTATTATTACGCAAAAAAAAAAAAATCTTTTTGCTCTTTAGTGTGCTTTAAATCTCTAGTCACCCCCAAAATATCACTCACAACAACAACACCTACAACAACAACACCAACAACGACAACAACAACAACAACAACAACAACAACAACAACAACAACAACAACGACGACGACGACGACGACGACAACAAGAAAGTTTTCGATGGAGGCGAAAATGCTGGAGGCCTGTGTGCTCCGATTTTGGTGCACGTTAAGGAACCCCAGGTGGTCGAAATTTCCACAACCCTCCACGACGGCGTCTCTCGTAATCATATGGTGGTTTTGGGACGTTAAACCCCACATATCAATCAATCAAACGGCCTTCCATTTAAAAATACTGAACTTAAAGGGGCAATAACGCGGAAGAGTAATTAGTTAAGGCTGGTAAATCATACTTCCAAAGCGCTAATGTTGTTAATTTCAGCACCAGAGGCATAAAAAAAAAAGAGATAATAACGGTCAAAGTTTAATATTTCAATTTCGCACCAAAATTTCCCCGCCTGACGTCACGGAGTTTAAAGCAAATGTTTTCGTATTTTGGCGTCATTGACTAAACGAAATGGCCTGTAACTTGACATGTTATGTCTACACACTCCCCCTTTCCCTCAGAAGGCAATTTATTTGATTGTTACCGGTCAAGAACTACGTAGGGTAGGCCCTAGTAGACACCACCCAAATCTATGACGTCGAGGCGATTAATGCGAGACTTTCGGCGCGGCGTTACCAATCGTCTCCTCTTGCGGCAGACAAGCTTGGTGGTTTTGGTATTGTCTAACAGTAATTTACCAGCAGGAAGAAACATATCCTTTTTTTTTTGCCTTATAGTCTCTTGAATGTAAGTTCCGCCATGCGCTTATTGAATTTACAGCCAGCACGTCTCACAATTATTCAGCACTCATAACATGTCTGCGCCACCATAGCGCTGTCAGGGGCCGACGACAACGCGTGCCAGACGCCACCGAAGACGCGCATACGAGTACGCATCTTCCTCGGCAGTGCAAGCCTCGCGAAGGCGGACGCCTAATTGAACAGCTTAGGCACCCCGAGACGTCGTCGTGTCAAGGTCGGAAATTTAGAGCGCGCGCCAAGTGCAAGGGAGGAGGAGACGACTATAGCCTCCGCCGGCGCTGACACTGCGCTGCTGCCAACTAAAAGGCAAGCAGAAAAAAACGTCTATACGAAAGCGAAACCAGTGGTTGGCGTCCGCTACTGCGTTCCAAACTGCGAAGCCGGCGAAAAACGGATACCTTATGGCACTTAATTAGGAGGTTAAATAATGAAAATCGAAAATAAAGTTCATTCTATAAATTACGGACCGACATTTGTTAGCAATGGGCGTCGACATCGCGCCGGCAAATGCCGCACGTTGGTCGTGGAACGCTTCACTGCGAGGCAGTGGTGCGCTGCGAGTAAACCGGTAAACAGGAAGCCGAAAGTTCCGCTCGCGTACTGCGAGTTACGCTCGCGTTAAAGTTGGTTTCTATTGGCAGTCGTAACTTTCGTTAGTGAGCAAGCAAGACGCGCTTAAGTGACGGGAAGGGCACAGAAAAAAAATATTCGCATAGCATTTTCTTTCTTGAAGATAATCGCGGGGATAGCAAAGATGAGGGGAAGATGCTACCATGATGCGCAGAAATCCTTCATAAATGTTAGAGGCAGCAAACTCCAGCGGACGTAAACATAAGTGGCGAAGGAGCTATTTTAGCCCCTACAACAGAGTGCAATAAAACCCGACAAACTGAAACAAATGCGGCTAAGATAAATTTAACCTCGAGTCAATACTACAACGCCTTAAATTTAACATCTTATACAGCTTGTTGAGTGCGCAAAGATGAATGAACTGCCTTCATCGATTTCCTTGAGAAGTTATCCGGCACTAAAACCGTTATATCAGCTGTGAGCGTGGTTAGGACGTTGCAGAACAGCTCAAGTTAACCACGTGGATATTGGTTGCTACTCCTGCCACACATGGGCTTATTCGTGTCATCAGAGCTTAAAAATGCAATGCTCCTGGTTTTGCGCCGTCTATGCAGGCATTATAAAGCAACGATTTCTCACCGTTGCGGCGCCAGGTCCGAACCCGCGTAGCGACAGCACACACTTGCGCGACTGCACTATGATACGAAACTGACAATTGGGTGCGAAAGTACCCGCAGCAGACGCTAAAACAGCTCGAACGGAGCGGCTTACTCAGTATGTTGCAGAATGCAGAATGGCGCGGTTGAATGTGATACGAAGTTGTGGGAATATGAAGCTCCATAAATTCTTTCTTTTCTTCAATGTCTTGGACATTGTCTACAAAGTTGTGCAGAGTGTTGACGGACATGCGCAAGGCAAGTACACGCGAGCTTCATATTGGCTCGCGCCACTCGGCACCAGCGGAGGCTTTTTGTCACCCGAATCCAAATCTAGGCCTCCTCCACGGTGCTGTGTTGCAGCTGTTCGCGTGATTGCGCGTCTCTAGCGTGCTTCTCGTTAGCGTAAGCCGCTAACGCGTACAGATGGGCATACAGACAACGATTAAAAAGTACGCTGGAGGAAACGAGCTCGGAAACCTTAGAAGCCGCGACGATGTAGGCGAAACTGCAGCAAATCGATAGCGCGCGTCTAACCACTGCTGCGTTTCCCGTTTCCGTGCCTCACGTGCTGACAGATGCCAGTGCTTTCCGAAACCACTCTTCACCGGTAATCATTTGTTTACAAACTTTGAGAAACAGCTGCGCTCGGTCTATCTGCGGGCGTATGGTTAGATAGCTATATGACAACTCGCTGAGGAGAGAGAGAGAGAAAAAAAAAAGTGCAGTGGTCGCCGTGAGAGTATCGACCAAGCAAGCGGCGCTTGCTGGCGCGAAATGGTGCGTGTGCGCGTGTGTATGACCAAGTGTGGAGTTTTTTTCTCGAGCGTGGTAGCGCCTCCGCCGTATGACAAATTCGTCGTGTTCGCGTGTGCTGTGGCTCGGCTGTAAAATGTGGGGCACGATTTTGATAGTTGAAGCTTTGCATAGGATGGCAATTGAAGCGCTGCATGGAACGCATGGAACGCTTGCCCGCGGCCGCAGCGCGTTACAGTAATAAGTGCTCAGGGACATTAAATCTGGCTGGACATCTGATATATTGGTTTTATTTACCATGTAAAATGCACCCATGCCGGTCGAGCAGCGGCGCATAGCCTCCCCCTTCCCCCCCCCCCCCCCCCCCCTTTTTTTTTAGGCCGTATTTAGACACGTCGATCAGCGTCCGCTCGCCGTCTTGCGTACGCAGTGGAAAGCCATCCGGTGATATAAGCAGTGACTCTAGTCTGCCACCATCTCTGTATTTTTTTTTTTTCTCATTGACAGATTTCTTGTGCCTGGGGCGGTTTTCGAAGTAAGACCGGCTGACCGCGCGCCTCGTGTTTCAAGTGCTTCCTTTGAAACCGTTTGTAATCGACGCGTATTGACAAGCCTTCATAACACGCGTCGGGTGCTTTCATTTTCGTGACACTTCCTTCATAGACGTGACTTCTCAGTAGCTCACAAGTGCTCGTCCCAGTTATGGGATTGCGTAACCGGCACGACGCGCTCCCACGCGCTTATGTTCATTTCTCAGAACGAAAATCAATTTCGCTGTGCTGCGTCGCAAACACAGCTTTGCCGTATTTACGCACAACATCTTGGTTCAGTGTTTTTTTTTTTTTTGCCTTACGCTGTGTACGCTATTGCTTATGCCTTTCCCCTTATTATTATTATTATTATTATTATTATTATTATTATTATTATTGCGAGTCAAGCAGACTATGACTTATACGCTTAGTTCGAGCATATTTCCTATTGTTCAAGTCTAAAGTTTAATTTTTTTTTTTACTTAGAATAACATTCGTATGAAATTCATTTGCTCTAAATGTCACTCATGTTTGATCTGTTGTGCATTTTGTATTATTATTGTTATTATTATTATTATTATTATTATGATCATCATCTGCTCATTTGGTTTACTGTTTTCATTAAAAAATCTGGAACTTAGGCAGAAACATCTTGGGAAATTCTCAACGCTAGCAGGCTGAAAACAAATATACAGTAAAATTTTCAACAACGCAGCTGCATGCGACTTCATGCCTGTTGCACACAATGATTCATGAGCCTTTTAGTATTTTTCTTTTTGTTGCAGCATCAAGGAGAAGCATTTCTTGTCATTGAAATTCTTGTACACATCTGTTTTTCGATGTCATCTATAGAGACGTCATTGTGTGACCTATGTTGTTGTTAGAATATTTGAGTTCATTTGTTAGCGGAACCGTATTTCACACTTATTTCCCGTAATGGACTTGAGTACCAAGCTTATTGAGTTTAACATTTTAAAGATGTGGCAGTGCAAATTTTTTGCCCTAAAGCAAGAAAGAAGCTTTCAACTGTTGAAATATAGTGCTTAGGGTATCTGTATGAAATACCTTCAAATCTGACAAATGAATGAGTATAAGTTTTCTAGAATACGATATTAGTTGTTAAAGGTTTGCTGTTTTCCTGTGGCACTGTATTGGTGCTTGTACCTTACAAAAATACATAAAAAAGAAAGTAAGTAGGCTTACTTTAACTTTAGTGTTGGCCCAGGATTTTGAGAACCCCTCCAACTGTTGAACAAACCAGTGTCTCAATAGTGAGGAGACCGGGAATGTTCAGTGGACGCAAAAGTCCTGAAATTTATAGCTTCATTGTGGCCATATTATGCGGGTTTCGATTTCAATGGAGCATGTTAGTGCAAGCCACATGGAAGGGAAAAGGTGATGAGATTGTCTGTGCACGAGACAGTTAGACAATGCTCTTGAGGCCTCAGGGAAACATCTCAATAAGCTTGAAAAAATTGTCCATACATGTATCTCATCGGTCTTTATGTACTCCTTTCACCAGGAGCCATCGGAGACATGCTATCACTCAACTGGCACAGAAGTTGCGTGTGTGTTTAAACCTCTCTAAACTTTTCGTTTGAAATATAACAGTTAGGTACATTGATATAGAGCAGTCAAATTAGCCGTGTCATGATTTTTAGTTTTTCTCAACTATGACAATGTGTTCTAAGTGCATTATGATGGAACAGTCAAATTAATCTTGCCATGGCCTGACACTGCACAGTTTTGCTGACAGTGTGTTAGGAGTGTTTCCATTTGAAATATCACTTGTAACTGCAGACTTTTTTTTACGTGATGCATTGGGTACAGATGAAGCAACTGCATATTGTGATAGTATGAATGAATAATCATTACTGATGTGAGCTTTATTATATTATTTTTGTTTCATGCGACAGCTTGACAGTGATGTCATGTTATTGAGAGGCTACCTTAACTTTATTTTTTATGTAATGTGAGCTTTTGCTTTCTAGTTCTTGTTGATTTACGCTGCACAACTATTTTTTTTTTTAATCTACTGACTGAATAGTCAGTCTTTTTCACTGTTTGTCAGACCCATAGTCAATCAGGGTAGTGTGGGTGTAGTACTGAAAAAAAAATGAAAAAAGGTGTTCTTTTTTTTTTCAATGGTTAGAACTTTCATCAAGTGCATCCCCCCTTCTACTCCCCTAAAAAAATTTGTTTGGCTCTGTATAGGCCTTAATTTTGCCTTTTATTGTATTCCACACCCCCTGTGCTTCTATATACACATATAGCACATATTTTGTGTATAATTGCTGCAACATAATTGGAAGGCAACTGCAATAATTATTTGTAAAATTTAATTGACTTCACGTTGTTATGGTCAGGTTATCTTAAGACAGTTTTTTTTTCTGTTCAGGTGTGCACGCATTGTATTACTACATGTGGGCAGGCTTATCTGATATATATTGCCTACCTTGTTGCTCTTGTAAAGCAAGTTTCATTTTTGTCCACATTTCAGGGTTTGTGCAGGCAGGTACCGACATCAGCGGACTTGTTGATGGAGTCCTCGCACATATTTCGGAGGTGTGTAGTTCTCAAACATTTGCCTAACTGCACCTAACCTATGTGACTCAGGTCTAGGCTCGCCTTCCTTCCTGCTATCCCCCCTCTCCTTTTACTGAGATTAGAGGACCTCCAGTTAAGATATCACCGTAATATTCGAAGGACTACACAGTTGAGGATAGGACTGGATTTCTAAGTGGCCAGCATTTAAAGTCGCGAGAACACTTTGTTGCTTGAATTTACTAATAAGGGCTTGAGATTTCGACACCATGCTTTGGATATGTTAATAAATTTATGGTATTCCAGAGTCTGTGAGCGTTTTATGTCAATTGTATTGTTCTGCTTAGAGGAAGGGAACTTCATTTTATGGTTCATATGACTGTGCTGCAACTTCACAGTTTTATGCAAGTGTAGTAGGCAGTTCCAGGATTAAAGGTACTTCTGGCTGAACATATGGTAGAGGATTTAAATAGGTCAGTGGGAAGCCACGAAGTTGCCTACATCACCGAGTCATGCTGCTATTGCACCGACAGTGAGGTATTCCTCTATTCGTCTTGCACATTTTCCGAGAGACTTCCCCTTTCCCGCACCCTGGGAACCCTTTCTTCAGGCCTCTTTTGAATTGAAGAGTCTTCATCAGATCAGGGCACTTGTGGTATACAAATAGATAAGCGGCTGGAAACTGCAGAGTGGCGTCTTTGCCATTTTATTGCAACAGACTGCATATGCGGTCTGTGAGTTGCGTCACGAGAATTGGTAAGCATTGACTTCAAGGAGCCGGCAGAGGGTGTAAAAGAAGCCATTTGTTGTGAACTAAACCTTTTTTTCTATTTTAACAATGGAATGAAACTGAGCAAACAAACAAAGATATTCGTGGGAATGAACTTTTACATCTAAGCATGAAAATTGAGAAATTACGGGTGCACATCTTCCTGGACAGAAGTAAACATCTGCTTTGTCGATGGATGAAACCTTTAACATGTGTAGGTTGTGCAAATTATCATGCGTTGGAGCTGAACTTGAGACTATGTTAAGCCACTGCACGACAAATCAGTATCTTCGTATACCCTAGGTCTTGTGACCTTCTTTTAGGTGATCATGAAAGCTGGATTTCTTTCTCGATTTTTATCATTTGTTCACTTGTGCATGTTCTGTGTATAGCTGCACATCTGTAGGTGCCTTTCATATGCATTCATCTGTGACATTTGCATTTCCATTCAAGCTAGCCCAGTCATTCATTTTTGTGATTTCTAAATGTAAATTTCACAAACATAGCTCTCTTTGCTTCTGATGGCTGAGGCACTTCCTTCATGTAAAAACCTTTCTTTTTCTTTCTTTTTAGTTATTTAACTATTTTCATGTTCAGTCAGGTGAGAAAAGACCTAGTCTTCTGGCTCCAACTCTGCAAAGAAAGCATGCACACATGTCCGTCACTAAGCAAAGGCACTACAGAGGTACAAACATATTAGAGCAGATTGTGACGGCACTTAAATAAGAGGTGCTTGAGAAGTAAAAACAGAGTAAGTTTATTTAATATGTACCAAAAATATTTTGAGCGGTCAGCAGATGTGCCCCCTATATGAGAATGGCTCCTCCCAAAAAGACTTCCTGTTTCCTCAGATTAAGGGAAGAATTTCAACTTTGGCACACCTGTGCTGCCCTTAACAATAATTTCTTTTACCAGCATTTAGTTTCATGGAAGGCTCCATGTCTCTTTGCGAGTCTGCATTCCAGCTGCCACTGTAAAGTAGGATATCTGTCTGCAACGTCCCAGCGTAACAAAAATTGTGGAGTCTGTAATAGGGCATCGGCATTTCAAATAAATATAATTTTCGTATTTACTGAAAGCATGCATTTATTTATTTTAGTTTATAAACTTACGTAGATTAGTAGGCTTGCAGATATGTGAAATTTTATCATTCCGGTAGCACAGATTGTAAGGGCTGCTTTTTATTGAGCTATTTGTGCTGTACAGCTGTTTATAGAGTCATCAATTTGCAAGTATGTTCGCAAATGAGTTTTTTGCTGAACCTAACCGGGGAACCTGGGTCACCTTTGTAATTCTCGTTTTCTTGTTTGTTTCTGTCCAGCCATCGGCAGTTAGCAGTTCGTCGCCTGTCAGGTAAGAAGCTTTTTCGCAGAGTTTCTCTTAATTTGCAGACTTACATATGAAGGAGTGGAGAGATTGATCAAGACTGTTGTTTCAAAGATATTTCTGTCTGCTTGCCTCGCACAGCTTTGCAGACTTGGAAGACAGTAGCACAAATATGTATGCAAGCCCGATAGCGTTCGAGCCCGCCCTCATGGATTTCAAGTCGCAGTAAGTTGGAGGAAAATTTTAAGCTTTTGGTTATTTCAGAAATCACCACATTTAGCTCATTGAGCTACATGCTTAGTTATATGAAATTCTCTGGTTGAATGTGAAACTTCTTGACCTTGGTCTTGGGCACAATAGTCAAATAAGTGTCATTGGGATCCAATTGAATAGAATCATTCGGAGCCAATTGAATGGACTTTGGATTGAGGAGGCTGATTGTTGTTAGTTGATTTAAGAGCAACTGCTTTTTTTTGTTGATACATTTTCACATCAGTGTACCCAGTGAGTTTGTGTGTTTTGCCCAAAATGTGTTGTGACACTGTTTGCAGTGTTGGTTGTGAGATTACCAATAGTGCTTGATTTTTAATTATGTTGTAGTGAATACAAGGGTGAGTTTTCCATGTTATCCCATGAGGAAATGCTGTAATGAATCTGCCTGTAAAAGCAAAATGGGACCGAACCTAATAATCACCCTAATGCAGTGGACGTTTCGTAGGCTTTGTAGCTTATGTAGTTCCGTATATGTGCGATTATTGACATGACTAGTCATTCTATAAAAGTAACGTTATTGCCAGAATCCTTTAGCACTTTTTTACTTCTTATGAGGTACTCGACCAGTATCAGACACCCATGATTGCTTTCCATCATTTTGTGTAAATTATTGTCTAATGAATGTCTTTATTGCAATCCTCTCCTAGACCATTAAGTATGCCTGTGCGGCGACGAGTAGTTGTGAAGAACCTGAGTCCCGAATCAAGCATAGAAATGCTGTCCATCAGTGGCAACACAGCAAACTTTCACTGTTCCTTCTTTCAGGAAAAGGTGCGTGGAGACTGAGTATTTGTGCGTCTTATGCTATCTTGAAAACTTGCCTCTCATGTCTGTTAAAATGTAGTGGTTTAATATCGTGACAATTTGTTCCCTTCTTGCATTTCAATATTGAGTGGATGAATAAAGTGATGTGTAAAAATTACGTTCTGCATTGGTAAATGAAAATGTGATGTTTAGGTGTACTCGTAGAGAAAGGTGATGCATTAGAATACATAAAGAAGTCTGATGTGTTCGAAATTTAAAGGCACAGTTCTGTGATCTCTGATGACTAGGAAGTTTAATACTCGCTGGATGCATCTATATGTGGCTCAGTGAGGTATGAAACTGGGAACTGTGCATGATGTGGGCCGTGCTTCAGGAGCTTTTCTAGTTTGCAACCAGTTAATGGGGGGGACAAACATTACTGCAGAGTTATAAGTGTACCGTTCTTTTGCTTCTGTCCCAATAGAGGATATCACCGGGTGGCAACACGACATTCGACATTGTGTACCTGGGAAGAGAACGGGGCCTAGTTGAAAATATATTATTTATTCATACGTCACTAGGCTCCTTCAAGTATCAGGTGAGGAAATGACATAATCACTCCAAGTAGTGCAAGACAGACATTGAGCAAGTTGCTCCGAGAGCATGCCTTAGTAAAGCTTGAAATACGTTTGCTAGCTGAAATGTGTGAAAGGCAGCTGCAGCTATACCACGCATTCCATTCTATGCTTATTCATTGTCTTATGCTTTCTTGCAAACCTGACTCTTGCATCCTTTAAGTTTGTTCGTTTAATACCATAACGTGTGACTTCATAACAAGTTTGTTTTTGCCCAGCACAGAGCTGCAATACAATGTCTTGCCTAAAATGTGTTGTGGACAAATGCAGCAACAAGTAATTCTGGTGCTTCCAAGCTTTCGACCTAGCTCACATTCATCCTTGCCAAATTGCCTAATTTGGACCAAAGCTGCACGAGTTCTGCTTTCTAAATGATGCGAGATAGCCACTTCATCAGCAGACTTGCTTTTCCGCATGCTACTGTGTGTAGGTTTCCAATGGAAAAAAAAGCTTTAAAGGATTCAGAGGGTGACCACTTGTAATTAGTATGTTCAGGGAACGGCATTTTGGTGATGTTAAATGTGTAGACTGCATGCGTTTATTGCATTTTAATTCTTCTCATCCTACTTTTAGGTGTCAGCGATAGGAAAAGAGAACCCATACCGGTTGCGGCCATTCATTGGGGTTCGCATGCCTCTCAATAGTAGCTACACACCACTCATCTACATGCACAACCCCCACAGTTCCACTATTCAGGTAAAAAGAAAAGCCATGCCTGAATATCAGTTCGTTCTTTGTTAAGCTGTGATTTTTTCCTACTCTGATGACTTAAATTCTTGTTAAAAAAGCAGATCTGGTAATCTTGGTGTATTATGTTGTAAGTAAATGAAATTTAAGATAATTTTACTCTTGTCAACTTATTTCACAGTTATTAGTTTTACCCAATTCTCTCTTATGTTTCAGCTAACTGAAATTTACACAAGTGGTGGAGATTTGCACCTTGAAATGCCAGATGGTGAAAACAAGATCTCAAAAGAACTTTGGGTGAGCTTACTTTTTGGCTGTGTCAACCTTTTATTTTGTACATGCCTTTGCGTGAATTTATGCGCTTTGCCCAGGAGACCGCCCTGAAGGCCCACGGTGTTCAGACATATTTAGAGATTATGCGAGCAGCCTGTAGGATTCTGTTCTTTTGCTGTGAGTGGAATGTTAAAATGCTTATTGGCTCATTTGATTTAGGCGCATTTTAGAGAACCTCGATTCTTAAAAATTTACGTAAAGCACCCTGTCCTTCGTTGGTATCCCTCTTTTGCAGTCCAGGTATTGTGGTAATGTTTCGGTACATCATACTTTATCAATCTTCAATAATTTTGTATTATATACCTCTCTACTGAAATTTTGTGAATTGCTGTAATGTCCTCTTAGTGGTATTTAATATGCAAGAGCCTGTCTTTCAAGCACTGCAGAAGCTGTAGCACGTGCCTTTCTACTCGTACACAGTAGTTTGAAGCTGGGGTCTTATAATTTCGCAGCGTATAATTTACATGCAGGCAAACACGGAGAAAAGTGCACCTGAAGATGGATGTGTTGTGCAGATTAGATGTTAATTAAACTAACAAATCTTTCTATTGCCATGACGCATGTGCATGTGCAGTGTTAGGTGAAATACCCATTCTTACGTCAAGTTTTGCTACAGTGTTTGTCACTCCACATATCGAGGGACGATGATAAAGCATTGTTCATCATCTTTCTCATCAGGCTTTCTTGGTACAGATTGCAAAAAAGTTTAGTCAATTGTTCATTGTATTCTCTTGTTTCGCTGCTGCAGGAGATTCCCCCCTACAAGACTAAGCCAGTGATGAAGGCAAACTTTGTGTCCCGAATAGAGAAAAACCACACAGCATTCATCCGCATAAAACTCAACAGCACCATCCGTGTAGACCTGATTCTACCTGTAGAAGTGGAAGTTGTCTCGTGTGAGTTTTTCACGAAAGTCACGCTTGCGGTCACTTGACTGGCATCTTCCAAGTCAGGGATAATGTGTGCCTTTGTCATGATGCAGATGTATGTGTGGAACGATAAACTTGTTGGCTGCTGATTAGCAAGCGTTGCCCAAGAGCATTGGCCTCAATGCTATTTGTGCTTGCGGATGCATAGGTGTTTCAAATGTTTTCAGTGCCTGGCATCTTTTCACCTACGGAGACACTCGACTTCGGGGTCATGCACAGCCAGGATGAACCGAAGACTCTCCCATTGAACCTCTTAAACTCTGGGCCCAAACAGCTTTACATTAGTGTGAGTGCCTTTGTCATTGCCAAACTTCTTTGTAGTCTGTATTGACATATGGCGTTCATGCTTCTGTAAGATGTGCTTGGTGCAGCTTACATTTAGTAGTTTTACACAAATTACACCTTCTCAGATGTTTGTTTCATGTATGTGAAATGTTTTCATATGTCTATGTGTGTCTTTTTCTTTCATTCGTACTAATGGCTTATATGGTTATAAAGACTGTGCCTGTGAAGCACTCTTGTCTGCATAGTCAGGGATAGCTTAAGGTCTTCTTTGTCCTTGTAATTGCTTCTTTTCGTGATTTACATGCATGAGAGAGCATGATTGATTGTCTGCTTTGGCAGAATGTCATTGTCACCCCGGTGAATGAGGCAGTTGAGGTCAAGTTCACACCAACCAAGGTGCCCCCTGACACAGTTCGGTCCACACAAGTTGCAACTGTGACCTACATTCGTGAGCAACCTTTTGTATTTATTCTCTGAATCTGTCACCCTTCAGCTGATGATTCGCATCTGTTATAACCCATACCATAGATAGGCATATTGAACTGTTTTGAGATAGATAATTGTAGTAGTATAGCATTTAATTGGTGGCCATGTCATTACTCATGAGTTTGAAGACAGTGTGCAGGCATTGACAGGGTTCTTGCACATGTGCTTTTGCATACTTGTCTGCTTTTAAGCATTATGCACGAGTTAATTTTCCATGTATCTTTGTGAAAATGGAGATAAAGTATTGTGTTTGATGATTTATGGCAATGTGGAGTTTCTACTTGCAATTTTTGGGGTCATAAATTTTTTTTAATAGAACTTCCTCTCGGGCTAGTTGGTGTTGTATCCCAGATGTCATATTTTTTAGTGCAAACTGGAAGAAAAAAAAGTATAGCTGTGAAGAGAAGTTTCTATAGCTGAGAAGAGAAGAAGACAATGCCCTGTGTCTGCTTCTCTTCTCAACTATAGCTCTTTTTCTTCCTGTTTGTGCTAAAAAAATATGTCTGGCAAATTTTTTATTAGTCTTAGTAGTTAAGACATGCTGACCCTTCAAGTATAAATGCTAAATGACATAACTATTCTGTGTCGATCATATCCCTTTACATGTTTCTGAAATGAATGGCTGTATTTGCTCTCTTTGTACGAAAAGCAACAAAAACTGAAGCTTGTAGTATGATTAGGGAACATCATTATATACAGCCCTTGATAATAAAGCATGTCTTGCAAATAAGAGTATGCCAGTGTGCTGGCATTAACAGGTGGTGTCCATTCGCCTTGAGTGCAATCTTTAGAAATGCACTTGCTAATGAAACTGTAGCCATGGACAACAACAGGATAGTCGGGACTACAACTGTGAGACATTGTCGCTGTCAGATATTAATGATTACTCGGTGTAAGATACCTGCACTCTTCACTTTTGAGGGATGAGCAGACAGCAAGTCCACCCCGCATGCTGAAGAGTGGTTCGACCGCTGTCCGGCGATAGGTCCACGCCTGATCGAACGTGGACCAGGGGCAAGAGTCAGGAGACAACAAATATAAAAAAACAAATGCACTTGCACACTTTACTATAACAAGAATAAAAACACTCGAGACTAACCAAGATTTACATACTAGGCGCGACATTCCTCCACGGGACACACCCAGTGCACACCACGTGGTGACGATTTCTCCCCACAAAATACCCCGAAATAGCCCACTCTCTCGAAAAATATACTCGACGTTAATCATAAAAACATCGCCCACATGTAGACAACAAAACACAACTCGTGAACAATCAATAAACACTGGATGTAATAAAATTATGAAAGTCCCAGCCAGAGAGGAGAGCGATCAAATGCAGCGCTTATCTGCGGTTGGTAGGTCGTCGAAGGCCCAAGCTTGTGGACTTCGGGCTTCTGCTTCGCTGTCTTAGGTGACTGGTTGTGGGGCAGATCTTCAGGGGACACACCGCTGCCGTAGGTTTCACACTCTAAACCACTGGTTCGACCACGAATGCAGGCTACCAGCTACCACGTGGCCTGGCCTATGACGTTTCGTCGTCCGCACGCTTTCTCGGCTCAACCAACTCTGTCCGCCCCCCGCAGCACCTCTACCGCTCTAGCCTCTCTCTCGTCTCCTCTCTGTCTTGAGTCATCGCACTGGTCTTCCGGTACTCAAAAAGGCTGGCGTTGACTGCCACACCCCTCTTTTGTCGAGTGCATTGATTATGACAGGGACCCGCTCACTTTATCCTCGCTTGACCCCGCACTTGGATTGTGTGATAGTCGCTGTAATGTGAAGGGCTTTGAGCTGTCAGGTAAATATGTATGTTATGGGTGATGACTAGAAGTTGTAGATTTTAATGAAAAATGATAGAATAATGGTAAGGTGAGCCGACGCAGATGTGAATATGCATGTAGTGCCAAGCAGTGTCTCGATAGTTTGGCGTACGGTCAATTGCAGATTTCTACGTAGCAGACAGATTTGGTTACAGAGAAAGCAAGGCAAAGCACTAACTCTCTCACACCTGTTTGCCTCTCTAGCCTCAAAAGTTAAGCACCTGAAACAATGCTCAGGCAGAATTGTGGTGAAGTCCAAAAATAACCAGTACAAGTTGACGATACCATTTCAGGTATACTTCATGAATGGGTAAGTCGTGCCTTTTCTCATGTTATTTGTCTCCATGTAGCTGTTACTTTATGCCAGAATAGATGCTTGTACATATAATCCAGCATGCTGCAACATTTTCTGTGATTTCTTACATTCATCTGTGTTCTTTAGCATTTTTCCCACCTTTTTTGGAAAACCAACTGACCAATGCTTTCTTGCTATTTCGAGGCATGCGTATTTCTCGAAATATTCATGAGAGCACGCTGATCTTTTAAAGGTGCATGCTAGTTATAGTATCAGGCATACCTGCCACATAGTCATCACGCTGCATGATTGGTGACTGCATTGAGAAGGAAGGGTAGAGAAAGCAATTTTTCAACTTTCAGCTGTTTTTGAAATTGTGAATATCCTGCTTCATACAGTGCTATATTTGGCTCACACATTCATATGAGCCTCAACTACAGCTCAGCAAGATTTTTTGACTGAGTTCAGAAGGAATAAATGTAATAATAATAACAAAAAAAGAGTACATCTTGCACGGAGTCACGCAACGCTTGGTCACGGAAGAGTTGGCAGGCACTTACACTCAAACCTCGTTATAACGAACATAGGTATAACGAATTATTGGTTATAACGAGATAAATGGTCTTGTCATAGATACAGTGTTTCAATTATGTGTTTATAACAAATTTCTGAGGGTAATGAAATTAATTTTGGGTCAGATGTCATTTCGTTATGATGAGGTTATAGTGTCCTGACTTGGCTAGGCACTTGGCCACTTACTTGTGTCTTTCCTGCCCCTTGCTATACTATGCCATATGTGGCTATGGTGTGGCTATGCTTGCTCTCTTTTTAGCCTTTTTTTACTCTTTGTCCTTATATTAATTCATCTCTACATCTGTTTGTTCATCTCTCCCTTTGGTTCCTGTGTTTTTTTTTTCTTCATTTGTTTTTTGTTTTTTCTTCTATTTCTTTCAATTTACTTCTTGTTCTGTCTATCTTTTCTGTCTTTTTTTTTCTTTGTTCTTTTTATCTCTGTCTGTGTGTGACACACACAAACCTCAACTCCTGTGGTGCGTATGTGCCACACAAATTGGCCAAATCCCACTAATCACCACACTGGTCTACTAAAATTTAACTAGGGAATACTAGGGCAGCAAACACCAATTAAAGAGTGAACTTTGCAGCTTCTCTTGTTAACCATCTGTACTGAGTGCTTAGGTAGTGGTTGAGCACATACCAGTTTGTGATTATGTTAATTTCATGACACGGGGCAAACCTCTAGCATAACAGCTCTGTTGTAAAAACAAAAGAGTTGGGCCTTTATTGAAAGTGTGGAGTACCGTCATGTTATTTTCAAATAGCTTGTCGATTACAAGCAAGTATTGCCAGTCAGCTGATTGACTTCACTCATCCTCTTTTCCTTACTGCATTGAAAAGTGAAAGTAAAAAAGAGCTTTTTCATGATGAGATAGGCAGCTTGTTTCGGTAAATGGTGTTTCACGTGGTTAAAAGAGCGACGAATGTTTTGTTGTAAGCGCAGTGCTAGCTAGATATACATAGCAGACTGTTTTCAGGGGTGGGGGGGGCAAACTGAAGAGAACTGGAAACTAATCCGTAGTAGGCAGCTTGTTTCGGTAAATGGTGTTTCACGTGATTAAAAGAGCAACGAATGTTTTCTTGTAATCGCAGTGCTAGATATACATAGCAGACTGTTTTCAGGGGTTGGGAGGGGGAGGCAAACTGAAGAGAACTGGAAACTGATCCATTTTTTTTTATATTTTTCTATTTTTCTAGGTCACTGGAGTACAATGTGAATGGTACTGTGTTCTACATAGGGAGAGCAAAGAGCCTTAGCAAGTCAGATGTTAGGCCACTAAATATCTCCAATACTTTCCCGGTACCAGTCGTCATTCACAGCATTGAACTTCAACCCGAGAGTCAACCTCATTTTACTGTGAGTACCAAAGAAGAGTGTCTTTTAAAGGTGCCCTATGACACTTTTGCAAGTGACAATCAAATGACTTCATTAAAACAGTTTATTGCCTTCTGAATTGAATAGCGCAATAATATTTTTAATCCATAAAGTACAAAGTCAGAGTTTTTATTTGTTGCACGCTGCAATCGCTTTTCTCTTTTCTCGCCTCAAAGAGTGCGCTGGAAGCTTAGCAGGGAAAGATGGCATGAGGAAAAGAAATTACTTTATGTGTGCGTCACGACCTTGAGCACGTTTTCTCTTCGAACACGCGGCTTACTTTCAATGTGATTGTTATCCCGTAACGACTTTCCACAGTGGCCTCGTTGGCTATGCAGCTTACAATGCTGAAATCACATGTTTGCCTTGGCAAATAATATTGCATCAGTGCAGATTTTTCATTCTGAAGTCATAAAAATGTACTATCTGCACATTTTGCTTGTTTTCATGTGCTGTGTTACTTTGACAACATGTTTTCAGCCGATGTGATGCATTTAGTACGAGTGGGAGCAAAGGTTTGTAGACCAGTGTTGAATGTTTGAAAAAAAAAAAAAAAAAGATTTTTTCCTCAGTGCACATTCTGGCTGATATGAGTAGTATGGCTTACACTTGTTTGATGAATGAAATGTATTGGATCAGTTTATACATTCCAAATTTTTTATTCAAAAAGAAATCTCCTTTTTATTTTTGTTTATGCCATGTTTTCCAATAAACTGCTCATGTTTGCACATAAGGACAAACTTGTTTCCCGTAGAAGTTGATTGAAATTCAAGTCAGGCTGCACAAATGATTATAGTAAGATTTGGCCAATATCACTACTCTTAATTGTACTTTAATAGTACTTTTCTTAATGTTTATGTTAAAACTATTGTACTAGTGCTTAACTTGTTCGTTTTAGGCTACATTTTGTGGTCACCTGATCTGTGTACTCACCCCTTCTCTCAGGTCATATTTAACTCATCAACAGTTCTGCAGCCAAATGAAACAAAGCCAGTAGTATACCTCAAGTTTCACCCACAGAAGACAGCTCTGCAACTGAACGCAACACTAAGGCTGCATACAAACATATCGCACTTCAACATTCCTCTCACATGCTACAGCGGTAGGCTCACATTGGTAAGTAAATTTTCCACCAATTCACAGTAGATTTTTAATTTATCTACAGGTGCTTCCTTTTTTTTTCTCTCTCTCTCTCTCTCTCTAGTTTAAGAGTAGGAGGTGTTTGTGATCAGTATATTGCTTTTAAAGGTGAATTTGAGATGGGGGATTATACGTATGTTATTGTTGAGGCCTCTGTACCTTGACTCCTGAGTTTTTACCTGTATTAGTGCACAAGAGTAATTACATTTAATTTTTTTTTTTACTTGGCTTGGCAGAGGCTTCACCATGCTGTCAACAATGAGTCCTTTCTTGACTTCGGTACCCTTGGTATTGGGAACAAGCGCAGCATGTTTTTTGTGGTCATCAATGAAAACCCTATCGAGGTGGGTAGGAAATTTTTTTGAAGTTTCTATTCGTAAAACTGTGCTGTGTCAATTTTCTATGTACTTGCTGTTGCATTCTTCTCAACTCACTGGCTTTGTCTAGAGCTCTCGGGAGCCCTGTTATAGTAAACCATTTAGGGCCGAGCCGGCTGTGTACTCTGTCCATAGCTTTACTATAAGGGGGGAGTTAAGCTGACAATCATGGTAGTGTCGCACGGTTCTGACGGTCAACGCGGCAGCCAATGTGTTAACGATTAAACACATTATTTGGCAACCTTGTGGCTGACAGAGCAAGCAGCTTTCACGATACAATGATAGCCATGAACACAGTTGGAAGGCATCGAAATCTGCTCTGCAGCGCAAAAATTCAACTCTTAATACATGTGTCCTCCTATATTTGAATGTAACAAGGGATGCCCGCATAGGTAAAAAAAAATTTACGGGGCCGGTCTGTAGTTCCCAGGCCACTATCCCATGTATTCCTATGGAAGCGTGGCCGGGGAACTTTTGATTCTCCTTGTACACTACTGCTATGGTGTTCACAATCTGTCTAGATTTGGAACCAATATTTGTAAAGCTTCCGAAACAAGAAGGCGCTCAGACAATAATGATAGTTCCGGAGATACTCAGACCATTTACTGCTTTTGCAGTAGCATTTTTGTTTCTTCAGTTGATTTGCTTCCCTTGCCCTTTTTCTGCTGTTTTATGTCTTTTATCTGAGCATCTGCGCATACCAACTTTACAGCTGCCCTGGTAAGAACCATGTTTCTGTGACAGTAAGCAGCGCTCCTCATGCTCACCCTTTATTGGTGTCACAAATTTTCACGTAATATTTACTTGGTGCTCCATTAGGATGAATTAACGTGCATTTTGCACCAAGTCATAAGTTTAGAATGTGTCCTAACTGGTCAAAATATTATACCAAACTAATGAGCAATAATACCATAGAAGGTCTAGGGGAAAGGGTATGTGTAAAAGTATAGGCGACAAAAATGCCAAGGGCTTTAATTGGAATCATTGTCTGCACTCATTATTATTGTGTCTAACAAAGAAAAGACTAGCCGTTCAAGTTACCCTTCAAAATCTGTCACCGAAAAAAATTGAACAACTACACATGTCAGTATTGTGTCGATCATTGAAAATGTTACACCACGTTTTCGAAGACACATTTACATTTCCACAACGCTGCTATGAAGCCTGATTTACCGCTAGTGTAGTATAATAATGTGCCAGGAGCCAATGCAGCAGGGGTTTTTCATTTAGGGGTGAAATCCGCAATACGGACGGTTTAGTGTAGAAGGTGCTGACTCAAAAGTAGGAGAAAGGACAACACCATCGCAATTCATCCTGTTCTACTTGTGTTTCCCGCACCCAACCTTACAAACTATAGCTCATTTGCCGTCTCACTCGGCTTTTTGTTCAAAGTCCTTCATGTTACTTGCAATACATACCTATGTCCTGTTAATGGAATAGCTCGCATCCTATTGTAGCCTAAATCCCTTTTTTCATTTTTGTTCACAATACAACTTTGCAGGTAGTGATCAAACACTGGGGCACAAACATGACCAAGACATTAGTAGAACTTGCTGCTGAAGCTGAGAACAGCAGCACACTAGTCGGGAATTACAACTTCTCAAGCGTCGTAAGAAAGGTGTGTATGTGTGTGTGTTGGCATCTGCTTGTTTTTCAGGTGCAGGTGTAGAGTTGGTTTGGAAGGCCAGTGGCGACTGATAAACTGTATATCCTTAATTGCGGAAACCAGCAGATAAGTGAGTCAAAGGCGCAAATTTCAGCCAGGTAAAGCAGTACAGTCAATTCCCATTATAATGATATAGAAGATAATAAAATAATAAATACAACAAAGCAAACCTAATTCTCCTTGGAATTTCCGTAGGGTTACACTTATTTGGAGCCTCATTTTAATGAAGTAAATTTGACTCGTTATTGCATACAACAAAATAAATTCCCCAGAATAAAAAATCTTTACGTTTTCATGCCAGCTGTATGAATTTCCTCACAGATTACAGTAAAAGCTTGTTGATTTTTACTCGGTTAATTCGAATGGACTGTTGTTACTTCTCACTGATGCCTTGTTCTCGATACAGCCCTGTGTGTTTCTAAGAGGGAAAACTCCCAATAATTTGAACGCATCAGCATCCACAACATTTAATCCGAACTGGGAGCCCCTTGTTTTCATTGCCCCTTGCTGAAGTCGGCCCAGGGCATCCACTATGTGTTGCAAAAACCAAACCAAAGCAAATATACTAGATATGCAAAACAACGAAATAGCAGCATTTCTCAGCAGATAGGATTTGGACACTGTGCTGGAGCTGTTCGGCAAGCCGCAAACACCATGTTTGACACCACAGAGTCAGGACAGAAGAAATGCTAGAAAATGCATATTACTGATTACTTTTAATTTTAATTGCATTGACTCTGCCATGCAAGTAAATGTGTTTCAGAGAATAAATAGCATCGAATGTGGTGATATTAAGGCTCACTGCTCTCGTAAATGTGTGTCGATGCATTGTCTGGTGTATCACTTACTGATCACAATTTTGTTTGCTGTTAGAGTTCTATGAACTCAATTTATGAAATCACCTGCCAGAAACGTGCAGTAGCTAGTCCATAATAATGAGTGCAAAGATGGCTTTTTTTAGGGTTCTGCCCGACAGTGTGGTGTAATGTCCATTTATTCTAGCGCCTACCCACTAATTCATACTTCACTTAATTAGAACAATTTTATTGTCCCCTTTGAGTTCGAATTGATAAGCTTTTACTGTATCTAGCATTTCGGCGTGGCAGTTCAAAACTCCCATGTCCCAGTTGGTACTCGTTGGTAGACCACTGTGATATACAAGTGCGCGCTGTAAATGTGCGCCACTCATCAGCATAAACCGAAGAGGACAAAGAAGATTACGCGCAGCTGCGGCACATGTGAGCGTGCGCATTATAAGCCAATAAGGAGCTTCCACAGAGATTCAGAAGAAAAGCTATGGGTGCAGAACAGTGAAGCTAGGCAGACGTGGCTGTGTCGGGACCGAATAAAGAAGGTGTCCAGGGCGCGGGAGTGATGGCCAGCAGAACCTCAAGGTCGCTGCAGGCTCCCACCTGGACACAAAGCTTTTCATCATCTGGCGTTGGCCAGGCTTGTTCCCATCAAGTCTTGCGTCTTCGGCTTCATGTCCGACACTTCCTTCTCCTTAAATGAGTGAGCGTCTCTGCCGTATTTCAGCTGTCACCCTCTGTGTGAGTGTGTTGATGCCTTGCCACCAAAGCCTTCGCTGTTAGCTCAGCATTCCTTAAATGCAGGGCTAACTATCCTTTTCGTCGAACATTTACTTCTACATACTGTTCGTGTCTTTTTAACTTTTTCCGGTGCCTCTCAGCTTCCTTTTTATTTGCATGCTCTGCTCTTTTGTCTGATAATTGTTATATTTTTGTGTTTGAGTATAGCGAGTGTTGTGGGATTTTGTGGACACTGTAACGAGTCCACAGTAAATAGTCTCGTCTCTCATTTCTTGATGACATTTAAGCAACTATTTTTACACGAACCTACACAAGCACTTACTGATTGAATGAGCCCGTTACGGCCTCCCTATGTGAGTGTATTTAAAAAATAGAATAGCTCAGTTTCCTCTGGAGCAGAACATGCAATCTACTCACAGTTTCTTCAATTTCTTCAAACTATTCTACAAGCAACACATTCGTCAAATCGGCAGTTTACAGGGTGAGCAAAGGATCACCATTTTTCGAATTGATATCCATGCGTGATATTTGTTTGAAGGCTGCTGGAGTCTGCACATGGTTTGTGATGGCTTTCATATACCTGGGCTCAATTCGAGAAAAATAAGGCATCTTCTTTCAGGTAATATCGAGTGTTTAAAAGATCGGCGTTTGTTGTGTCGAGCTTCTTCAACTGTGACAGAACTAAAATTCGTGCAGCTGTGTGTCATTTCATTTTAAAGGAGCACTGAGGAGCAAAATATTTTTGCATGTATTAGTAATTTACTCTTCCGTGACACCAGAAATGCCAGCAAAGGTGCAAAAAGAAAATACCTCAAAAATACCACCTCAAAATTTTCATACGAGCTCACAATGAAGTCACGTATTAGAATGGCATCTGCTAAAGCCCAGACAATTATTAGTTTGTGAAAATCAATAACATACATAGTATATTCCCAAAGAGGCAGATTATTAATCTAGCACAAACATTTTCTGAGCCAATTCAGCCAAAATTCTGGAAAATACAATAAAACATTTATGATATCATACTGTTGTAATGGTAGTGGAGTTATGGCATGAATTTTTGAAAAATAAGATTTGACTTTTGCTTTCCTTATCTTATCATCAAATAACCATTGTGAAATTATGGCAATAGGTTGTTCGAAAAATACATCATACATCTAAACTGACTTGGTGTCCCCCATTGGTGTCCCTTTAATGTTTTCAGATTTCATGAAAACTGATTCTCAATAGTGGAGTTTCATTTGAACCCGGTGTCCAAGTACAGTGTTGGGTTGACTGGTGAATAGCAAATGTTGGGAATACATATATTGCTGTGCTTTTGGTGCTTCTGTTCTGCAGTGGAAACTTGCCTACATCTGCTTGAGACCCAACGATGTTTCTTTTTAATCAGGTCACACTGCTGCCCCTGCATTATGCACTGTTTCGGGTCAGTATCACAGCACCGGAGACTGAGGGGGTTTTCTGGGGTGAAGCCTCCATCGAAACGAACCACGAGGTAAGGGCTAGAAAACGCCTTTTGATGTTGTAGTACTAGTCACTGTGAAAACACACTTGGACAGTAATAATGTTGTATCCATAGATAAGTTCCGTAGACCCCTAGCGTGTTCCACAGATGCAGAAAAAGTGTGGCAGAGTTCCTTTTTTTTAAACGCAGCTACATGTTGGCCAAAAATTTGCACTTCGAACAGTTTCATAAGAATTTATCAGGGTATCGTTCATACCGTGTACATGCTACTTGGTATTGATTATGACCATGCTTTTAAATGGTGTGTTTTGTGCATGCAGGCTTGACATCTGCCGCATATGAAGTGCAAAACAAAGCTATAAGTCTCAAAGAGTTGTTCAACTACTTTTGTTTGAAGTGCGATATCAGATTTTGACGAGTACTAGTTGCATTTCATTCGATGAATCCTGGTTTAGCATGTGGCCATAGTCACGCCCCAGTGCTTCTTTCTTTTCTTTATGGGCTAGTGTATGTTGAAAAAGGATTTGCTTTTGACTCATTGCTGGGGTGCCCAGCTGTCGTCATCGCTACCTTACACTATCGTCTTTCTTTTGCATGGCAGGTGCTCAAGGTCCAGTTCACTATGAGAACGGCTAAAGGCAGCCTCATGTCGGATCCGATTGTATTCGAGAATGCGTTTCCGGTATGTTGTCATCTTTTTGCTTGAGCACATTAGTGGTTTTCTAAAGTTTGGCAGGAATCCCAGTATATTAAATAAAATATGGACAGGTATCCAATTCAAATATTCAGTCTGTATGTGTTTAGGCTGGAAAGGAACAAGAGTACAAGACAGAGTGCAAACACTAATACTCAAACAAGAAAAAGCATGATGTAAGAAAATGTTTATATTAACAACTGAAATTTCTAAAAAGAGAAAAGTTGACCACAAAATCATAGGAAAACAATATTAAATGTAGAGTACTGCATTTACTCATGTAATGAACCCATTTTTTTTTTTCAGGAAAGTTGACGCCAATTAGGGGAAGGGCTCATTACGCGGGAGAAAAAAAGTCAAGGGAGTTATAACGGCACAAATTTTGCATGAAAGTATTAAAGAACTCGCTATTCTACCACTGCTGACTTTCTATTGTCTCGGGACTAGAGAGCCTCTATTCCTCCACAAAAGAAAACTGTCCTTGCTTTGACCTGCGAAATTCGCGCTATACTTTTTGTGTAGCGCAAAGCTGTACACACACTATCCGCAGAGCCGCGCCGCCAACGCGGATAGCGCATGTACAGGCCAACGCCACGGATTGGCGCTGAAAGTGTTGTCCAGCCACTTGGTTCCCATGCTCTTGCGCATGCTCGTCCAACTTTCAGATTGAAACTGGCCATGTTGCTATGTACCGGCCGATCGTCAACAAAAGCGCAGCGCCAAATGGCGGCGAACGCACGTTGCGGGTGCGCGCCGCGCTGCTGTGCTTGCGTGGCGCTATAAGCTGAACGTTTCCTCTGCATTTGACAGATGGCGCTCTGATGGAAAAGGCGCGACTTCTAAATTCCATCGACGTCCATGCTCACACTGTTCGCATCTGTTAAGAATGGTTCTTAGGCTATCTTTTTTACTTTTATTGTGTTGTTTTGTTATATAATGGCACGATTTATTTTTGTTTTGATCGTTAACAGCACTGGTTATGACGCCAAAATGAAATGCAAATATACATTAAAAAACAGTTATTTAATTTTTCAAGGGCCAAGGTGGGGGGGGGGGGTTGTTAGGCAACTAAATACGGTAAATAGTTGTTGATAGCAATGGTGATACTGCTGTTGTGGCGCAATTGTTACGGTGCTTGACTTCTGACCTGAAAAATGCAAGTTTCATCCCAGCCTTAGCATTTGTATTTTGATCGAGGCAAAGTGCCAGAGGCCTTTGTACTGTGCGATCTCAGTACACCTCGAAGAACCCCCTGATGATAAAAATTATCCAGAGCTCTCTACTACTGCATGGCTCACAATTATATTGTGGTTTTTATTATTATCAATATCAAGGAAGGGGTCAAAATTGTTGTGGACATAAATAAGCAAGGCAATGATAAAAAACACATTATGAGCAAGAATATAGTCCGATGGAAAAGGGACAAGTTAAGAAACATAGTGACTCAAGACGCAAGTGAGGATAAAAAAATCAATATAGCAATAAAGCACAAGTGCTGTAAAAGTAATGAAGTAAAAAAAAGTATGCTCGTTTTCTGATAAGACCAAAGTTGTTGCATCAAAGATGCATGGTGATATCAAATTCAAAGAGCAATATTAGAAAAAAAAAACCAACATTGATTTGTTAACTGTAATTTTGTTTATTGTTTTAAAAGCACATTTGTGTTTTTGCTAAGAACTTGAGCAGAGCTCTGTATACTCGCATGCAATGCCTAAAAGACGACACCATGACATGTCTCGAACATTTCAGCCAGTTGTGTCGCACCTTGTGAGCTCGTTTGAAGCACCTCTAGAAGGCAGTAATCTATGATAGTCTGCATAGTTATTATCCCGTGAGGACAAGTTTCACGAGTTCAGATGAAATGAAAGATGGAAGCATTGGAAACTTGGCAAATAAGCATTAGGCCAATAGGCTGTCTTTGTCCTTCTGAAAAGTTGAAAAAATTTCACCATGCCGCTTTCTCTTCAGCCTTCATCACAAAATCAACATGCAGCATCTGTTTCAGATCTTACACTTTTTTATTGCATTGTAGCATCAATACACAAGCTCAGGGTTGTTAATAAAGATGGCCCTTGAGTGCATTGTTAGTGTTGATGTGGGCGTTCATTCTCATCACTGCGCCATTTTCTTCTCAGGGTAAAGTGTCGTCGCAGAATCTGTACATCCACAGCACATTTTCACACTCAATGACGGTGACTTCAGTGCAAATAGTTCCTGAAGATTCTAGGTTTTATTTCGAAGTGACTCAAAATGCTTCGCCTGTGCTGCAACCAAGAAGTAAAAACTGGGTAGGTAGTGCGTCTTTGTTATGCGAATGCTACTAGAATTACGCATGACTGGCCAAGTGTAATGCATGTTTGGAAGCATGATTCTTCCTTCTTGCAGATAAAAAAGAAAACTGTGTGCCCATTTGACTTGCGGCTTTATGTTCATAACTTTGTGGGTATAACAAGTGCTGCATCACTTGAGCACCAACTGTGAACTTCGATCGTAAGGGTACAATCGCAAGCACTATATTGACAGACATCAGTAGATGGCTTGTATACCCTTGTTCATGCTATGCTCTCATCGCCTTAATTGCATTGGGACCGCAGACACTACGGAAACTGTTTCGCTCCTTGGCATGGTTGTATTCCCTTACATCAGCGTCTTGTAGAGTTAGTGAGATCGGATTCAAAAGAGCTAGCTGCTAACCCTACTTTGTATAACGTTCCAATTTGTTGCTGTCTAACTGATTGATTCGATCTTGAGAGAGAAACTGTGATTTTTTGTGCTTGGTATTCTGCATTCATCGAATTACATAACATTGATTTCTGCTTTGAGTTTCTTTCTTTAAACTTGCACTCTCTTTCACCTTGACCTAACAACACACCCTGCCACCCAAGATTATCTGTCTAGTCACAAGTTCTGTAACAGCACAGATATCGTATGACTGCAGCAGGTTTATTGGGTTAACCACTTTGCACAGGCAGGGAAGCTGTACTTTGACCCTAGACGGGAGTGCAAACAGGAGTGCTACAGCGGGCTGCCAACAGCAACAACGGGTGAGTAGGTAGCGACCACTGCATATGAGTGCATCATGTTTCTTTCTGATGTCTGTGTTTTTTACAAGAGCATTCACGGTGTACATGACTAGGCCATAGTCTAAACAGTACATATATCAAAACGAAAGCCTTAAATTTAATGGCTTGTACTCGCAGCGCCCGTCTGTCCAGGCCTGAAAATGTGTGAGCTGTGACCTTTTCCTCTCACACTCTCTCAACAATCATGTGATGGCATAGAGTTTCCTATAAATACACAAGAGGGAACTCTGGGTCTAGTGTCTAAAGGAGCTGCAGCGCACGGCACTTCAGCAAGCATGGGAATGATGGGTAGTACACGGATTTGTCTAATCTTCGTACTTCTGGCTCCATTTGGGTTCGTGTGGCTTGAAGCTGTTTTGTCACGAAACTGAAATCAGCAAGTGTTCAGCAGTTTGGCTTTACCATCGTAATCTTTCAGGCTTATCGTTTCAAATCAGGTCATGGAGTTCAAAAGTATTTGTTCTTTTTTTTGTTTTCTAAACAATGCCGAAATGCAACAAGAAACAAAGCCACAAGTGCGATTCGAGGGCTGTAAGTAGAAAGACTAGGCAAGTTCGTGTACTACCGATCATCCCCATAGTCGTCGAGCGAACATGTCGCCAGAGTCCCCTCTAGTTAATTCAAAGAAACTCTACATGTGATGGTACAGCGTTTTGTTACAGCAGTCGAGGTAGTCGGTTGGCTCTCACTAGCACGCGTCTCCCCTGTAGCCCGGCCGCCATCCTTCCACTCATGCAAGAAGGGAGGGGCACGCGTCATGTTGAATTTTGACTGTCACCCATCTGAATGGGCACAGGCTTTCGGCGGACACACTTTGGAATTTAGAAAGTCCTTTCATTTTTGTCCAACGTCGTGTGTTTAAGTTGGCGTGCAAGTTCTGCGGTACTTTCTTTGCAGAAGGCCGCCAGTGGTTATCTGGGCTCAGCCTGCCCAGTGATGTTGGCGATGCAGACCTGGAGATCTTTCAGAGCATTCGAACACGCTGGCTGGCCCTGCAGGAAGGCAGGCAGCACATGTAAGTATCTTTTCTGCTGTTGTGTCCTATGTACAGGGTGGGCAGCCGGAGTACTGTCTAACCTCCCTGTCCCTCTGTGCTTTTCTTCCTTCGTCTTGTCAGTTCTGGTCATTAGAGTCCTGGCTCCCATGCAATGTGCACACAAACGAGTCCACTGCACGATATTGTTGCCTAGAGTCTTGCTTAAAATCCAATAAAAACATTGGCTATTACCATCAGGTGTCATGTGGCGGCTCACAGTTTTCCACCGGACATTCCATAAACACGTGCGCAAAGCAGCACCAACACATTATTTTTATTTCTAGACGGGTTTGGTCTGCAAGCGCTGCGGTAATTTTACAAAATTCACTAAAAAATTGCCGCCTGCATTCTGTGTGCCATTTATGCAGGGCTCAACTGCCGCTTGGCTTTTCGTGTTCAGATGTATTTTCATTATGTTTTTGTGTGTGACAAAGAGCAGGTTTCATGTTTTTCCAATGGCATGACTAAAACACGTTCACGTTATTTCATACACAGTTTGTAACACTGTAGAAGCTAGCTTCCTAGCTGTGTTTGCTCGAGAAACTTGAAATCGTTCATTGTATAGGCTTGGCAACTAAGGAAAAAAAGTTTTTATGGTTAAAAAAAAATTTAACAATTTATGCTATACAGCTATTAATATGAGCATTGTTTCAGATCAATTCGAGTTTCGTTGATTTCTTTGTTCTCTTCGATTATTATTATTATTATTATTATTATTAACTGTGCCCTGTTTCAGCATTTATCATACAGGCTCGTGCAAATGTGCAACCACGGAATATGCCAACTTACTCTTTGAGATTACTTAACTTATGCTATGTTTGAAACGGAGTATATATAGATGACAGTTGCAGATTTCAAGAGCTTTTGAACATACGTTTTAACGTAATAGCGTTTAAGCGCTCGTCTCACATTTTCACAGAAATTGTAGTGCCAGTGTCAGCGTCGTTGATTGTGCCCCGCCGCGGTGGTCTAGTGGCTAAGGTACTCGGCTGCTGACCCGCAGGGCGCGGGTTCAAATCCCGGCTGCGGCGGCTGCATTTCCGATGGAGGCGGAAATGTTGTAGGCCCGTGTGCTCAGATTTGGGTGCACGTTAAAGAACCCCAGGTGGTCTAAATTTCCGGAGCCCTCCACTACGGCGTCTCTCATAATCATATAGTGGTTTCGGGACGTTAAACCCCACATATCAAATCAAAATCAGCGTCGTTGATTGTGAAAAAAGAATTATCTTGCCTGTGACAGAAAAATCGAGAAAGACGCAACTAAAATTAATTTAAAAACTTTGATTCGGGTGAGAATTGAACTAAAGGCCATCTGCATGGCAAACACGTGTTCTACCACAGAGACGTGCTATTGCTTGGAACTGCTTTGGGGAAAAAAAAAAATACTATGTAAATGTCATGTAGTGGAAGGATATTAGTGAGGACTCACAAACAGTGATGCCAGGGGGAAGTATAGGAGTTGTCAACAACCCCTATACTTTTCCTGGCATTATTGTCTGTTGTCATTGTATTGTGTCTAACAAGGAAAATGAGTCCTTAAATTTACGGTTTTCTTCATATTGTGGGAGGAGTCGCCTTAACTCCTCTTATATTGGGTGACAGAAAAGAGTGCCTTCTGTCTATGCCTTCCCGTTATCTTTTCATTCACTATCTCGTTATTCTGTCTTTACGGGCAGTACGATGTAGAAGCAGTGAGTGTCCAGTAACATGCTCTTCGTCACTGAGTGAGTTGTGACGCATGTTTTTGCAGTGTCAACGTTACTCTAAAAGTGGACACTAGTGAGGCGCAGGGTTTCCTCATGGAGGCACAAGTGCTCTTTCACTGGCCAAAGCTGTCAACAAAGAACATTCTAAAGTTCCCCGTCACACAAGTGGGAAACCTCACTGTAAGTACTGGAGCGTTGCTCTAGCTGTTTTATTTTGGGGATTACAGACTGTTGGAAATGGTGTCGCATTTTCTCTTAGTCCAGTTACTTCTGAGATACAGGCTGAAGTCATGTGCACTCAAACCTTGGTATAACAAACATGGACGTAACAATTTATTAGTAATAACAAAGTAAAGAATAAATTTGTAATCGATACAGTGCTATGATTGTATGTTTAAATATAACAAAGTATTTTCATGGCAGGTGGAACTTTGTTATAATGAGGCAAGTGTCACAGTTAGCCCAGTGCCTCTCGCAGCTTGTTGATCTATCTTGGCATCACAAGCTGTCTTTGTAGCTAGCCTTGCATTGTAACTGATGAAAATTGAGGACCGCTATCAAATGTTAGAGTTTTATCTTCAAGACCGAATATTTTCGTTAACGATTTTCGAGTGATATTGCCACAACCAGATGTGCCAAATTCAAGTGTAAGTTTACCATACTGTGTTGCAGCAACACGTGTTGCATGTATGTTACAGGTGAGGCAACTGACACTGGAGAATCCATCCAGCCTCCCTGTGCTGGTTCAGGTGTTGCCGCTGTTCTTGTACCCGGACTTGGATGCAGCCCTCGCCATGGCTGCACAGTCGACCGGCATGTCGAATCTTTCAGCGGCATTGAAGAGTGAGCCCCACGTGTTCACCCTGCAGGACCTTGAGGAGTATGACGTGAGCATAACACCTTAGCTCCAGCTACCTTCCACAGTCATTGCCCAACTAAGCAAATGCGTGTTTTTGTGCCAGCATTGCGAAGATTCCAGATGTGTGCTTCAAGGTTTCTTTGGGAGTGTGTACATCAATTTTATTTTGACAGATTTCTCTATAGACTGAGCATTATCAACCACTTTACTGTCCATTTGCACCTACTTGTTATGACAGGATTGTTATGGAGATGAACTCGGCAGTCCATGGAACAGTCCAATGCGACTTTTGTAATGGCAGTGTTCATTAATTTCATTGTTTACAGTGAGCATAAGTGTAGTTCTTTCGCTTTTTTTTTAATTTTATTAGACATACTGTTTGATCATTGGCAAAAATTAATATGCATCTTTGTAACACTCTTGAGCTAGAGTTGGAAGTTGTTTGACGACCACATACCCAGCTGCTAGGCAGAGCGTTTTTTGTGCCTGCTGCGCTTCCGCATGCCAGTATGTTAGCTTCCTGCTCTCTTGATTCTTGTTGCTTTTGTGCAGCCAAGCCCCGACAACGTGTTCCTAGCCTACGGCAAAGGCCTCGAGGAATATTTCCACGCTCAGCGTCATAGGAGGTCATTGGCCTTCCAACTGACGCCAGGCATGAGAGTGCGCATGAAGGTTGGCTTCTCACCCAAGGATGACCAGCCCGCTGCCTCCTTGTTGCTCATTCGGTACGGCCATTGGTCCAATCATGTGACGTGCATAGTGACCGCCATTGCAGCCTCTGCTGTGCATTCTGGTGGACTTACTGGCGGCATTATGAAGATTCAGCTCTTTCAATAAGCTGTTGATTGGTGAGAAAATATGGCCACAAGGAAGGATATCCTTGTGCTCATAAACGGCGCACTCTATTTTCCGATACATTCAAAATAAAGTTCAAAAGGGTTGAAAGCCACGCTAGTTGGTAATTGATCATCATACTGTATGGTGAATTTGCATGCTTTTGCAAGGACTGTAGAGGGTGTTTTGTCTTTCTCGTTCCCTTTGTCATCGTCTAAAGTGCACCGCTTCGCTGCACAGTATTACGATATAATATATTATGCCTGGTTTACTACGGAATTTCAATTGCCTGTGAGACTGATGAAAAATTCGTGCATACACAAATTTGTGATCCTGGAAATATGCCAAAAGGTGTAGTGTGCATAAAGGCTGTTGTTACACTCGAAAAACTATACAAATGCCTCCTGGAGCAAGAGAACGTTATGTTCTTGTAGAAAGTTTGTGTGTATTTATTTATTTATTTATTTAACAATACTGTAGGCTTTTGTACGGGCCCAAACAGGAAGTGGTTAGAAAAGTATACATGAGCATGGGAATAGCAAAACAATGTATGCTGGAAAAAGTGTCCACATGTGTATTTTTTATGGAAAGAGCACATCTGCATGTGTGTGCTGCTCTCATTTTTGTTGCTGCTCACTTGAAAGCTTGGAATGCCTTTTGTTTTTGTGGTGCAGGAATAACCTGACTGTGATGAGTGCAGTAATGCTAAAGGGCCAAGGGGGCTACGGCCAGCTGCGACTTGGCAACAAGGTTCCAGGTGCAAATGATGCAGCTCTGACTTTCGAACTATTGGAAAGTCACCTGAAAGACTGTGACGGTGAGCGATTGCAATATGTACCAGACCTACAGCCGTGACATATGCCGCGGCCACGTCTTCTCTCTGGCTCTGTGGGCACTGTGCATTTCATGGACAGTGTTTCAGCTTTTCGGATGTGTAGTTGACATCAGCTGTGGAGGTTTAATGGCTTAGGTGTTCCGCTGCTGTGTAGCAGTTGCTTGTTCGATACCTAGCCATACAAGTGCAACACAACAAGTATGTAGAATGCCAAACTGCTTGAGCTCTGCGCCTTTGACACTTAATAAAAGACCCTAGTCAACTTGAATCGGGTTGGAGCGCTCCACTTCACTGCCTTTCCTAGTTACCCTCAGCCTTGGGGCATTTAACTCTATAAGTAAATTGAAGCAATAGCAGCCATGTAATGAATTTGACTTGAAATGCTTGCATAGATAAGGACTACGGCTAAGGTTTTACATGTGTAAACCACAATACGGTTATGAGACATAGCAGGGCTCCAGAAATTTGGACCTCCTGGGGTTGCTTCCATCGAAATGCAACCACCATAGCCGGCATCGAATCTGACGTCTTTTAGGTCAACAGCAAGTGTCATAGCCTCTATAGACGATTTTTCGCAGCTGGTTTGCTCTTTCAAATCTAGATGGCCTCACAACACCGTGGACACCTCCCTACCGTGGCCATCTTTTTGCCGTGGCCTTTTGCAGTGGCCTTCTGCAGCGCTGCTCAACAACCGCCTCGCGTCGTTTGCTCGACATCCCCATAGCGTCTGCGTGCATGCGAGTAAAAGCGAAGCAGGCGCTATGGGGGCGCCGAGCAGATGATGTGACGTGGATGTTCAGCAGTGCTGCAGGAGGCCACGGCAGAAAGACGGCCACGGTAGGGAAAGTCAACATGATGACACCTATGGGTGCAGTTTCCTTCTGCCTCGATCTTATCACATTGTTGTCCTGCGCTGTGTGGGCCGTAAGTTCACGACGCACGCATTTATTTGCTTTATATTTAAGGGTCCTGAGGCTTCGAGAGCAACGTATATGTCTGTATTTTGCAGTGTTTTCTAGATTAATTCTTGAATTCTCGGAGACGAGACTTAGCAGGCATGGATAAATAAACACAGCTAATCTCCTTAATAAAAACAGTACTTACCCGATGTCATTTCCGCAGCATGGGGTGACATGAAGTGGTAGCTGATTTCACCATTTATTTATTGCTGTGACGACAGTAGGCGAGTACCAAGGGGGGGTTTAGATTGAAGCGGGCGGTCACGTCTGCACGGCTGCTGCCATGTTGGCTTCTAAACCCAGATACCAGCGCTTAAGGCTATGGCCACTTTGCTGGCCCAACGCATTTGCTTGGGCAACTGGCTTGGAGAAGGCCAGTTTATGGTCATGTGATCAAACATGGCAGCACACAGGTGCCACTGCGGAAAATCTTCTATATTACTACGGTGGCTTGATGCTTGCGTAGACTCACAAGGTTAATTTAGATAATTTTGCTGACTACATTTATCTCTTTGAGAATGTTCTCAGCAATGTTTCATGGAAATACAGCAGGATCCTTACAGTTCAATGGAATCCTGAGAGCTCTCAATTGTACTCATTGTGCAGGCACGAGAATCGGGCGCCTGTCGCAACCCAACTTCACAGTGCGGCGAGGATTCACAGCCCGCAACACCGGTCAACTTCCAGTGTTTGTTCGGGGTTTCTACATCAGTGGCAAGCCGTGCCAGGGATATGGCTTCAGGGTGTTGGACTGCCACGGCTTTGAGCTAAAGCCAAATGCCACCCGGCGCATTGACATCGCGTGAGTTATGCCACGTCATCAAACCATTTCATGCTGTAAAATGCTTATGTTCATCTGCGCTAGCATCTGCCCTAACAATAACACTGTTGACGTAAAACAAAGTTGCCTAAGCAGTTGATTGGCTCTTTAAGTTGGGAGTCAGTGCCTTGTTTGGTATTCTTGTTCTATTCATTCCTACGATGTTGCAGTTCCATTGTTTGCAGTTCCATGCAGTTCCATTGTAAGGGAAGGCAAATCAGTTCACTGTGTTCTGTATAGCAGTGCTTACGAAATGTCCGCTTCTCTCATTGTCAGGTTTACACCTGATTTCATGCTGTCACTCGTGGAGCACACATTGGAGCTGCAGACAAGCCTGGGTCGCGACCGCGTGGCCTACAAGATGTCGGCGACAGTGCCGCGACAGTACCTGGGGCTGTGCCAGGCATCGATGCCACGCCCTCGCTGGGAGCCATTCATGCAGTGCTGCGCACTCAGTGCGGCCCTCTTCCTAGTACTCTGTGCATTGGCTTATGCCTACCTGGAGCGAGATCGCATCCTGCACACGAGTTTCTACCCACTCACCACACTGACCGATCAGGGGGCTGTGGCGCATCCCACTGGAAAACTGCAGGCATTTGACCTGCGCTCCCTGGCTGCTGGCCCTTCTTCGCAAGGGGTGGTGGCTGATGGCCAGAGCTATAGTGCAAGGTTTGTATAACATAACTGTTGGGTACATCTCAAAACCACAGTATGATTATAAGAGACGCAATATGCAGAGCTCTGAAAATTACGACTTCTGGTGATTCTTTAATGTGCACCACAGGCAGACGCTTAGGGAGAAATGCAAAAATGGCCATTTTTCACTGTATTCGTGTTGTTCACTCTTCGTTTTCGATGCCGTGCGTGCATAGTTTCACTGCGCGTGCATGATGTGGCCCCTGATGACATTCAGCTTTGCTTTTTTTTTTTTAATGCGGACAGCCTTGTCGTCAGTACCGAGGGGATGTCAGATTAGGTGCCGATGGAAACTCTTTAAGACGATGGAGATGACGGGTTTTTGGAGGTCGACTCGTCATGCACTTCCGTCTCGCGCCACGAGTTCGTGGGACCGTAGCCTTCACGATTAGCTGATTAGCTGTGGCAACAACAAGACGGTGCATTGAATGCAATGCAATGAATGCGATGGCAACAAATTGTAATGCTATACCAAGCAAGGCTGGCAGCCAACCCTTTTAGATCTTATATTGTGGAAATCTTACAATACACTGGTTTAAGCACATACGGCCGCTACAGAGAGAACTGCTCTTTTCACACAGTTTCTTCATGTTGAAAGGGCACTGATGCTTGCCGAGATAGCACGCGCCTGTGATCGCGACCGCGCCTTTAACATCAAAGTTCACCGTTGCTACTCAAGCGACCCCCTTCGCCCTTGTTTTTTTTCATGCTCGTTCAAGACGGGTGGTTTCCTTTCTGTTTGAGCATTCAATGGCAGTTCTAACATGTGGGGGGATGTTATCGTATGTGCCGTCCAGACGATAGAGATGCTCCGGCTCATTTGATCACTGCTTCAACAACACTCACACACTTTTAGCATCTCGTAAAAATTATGATGCGCGGGGGCTTGTTATCAATTTGGACTTGTTACGGAACATGGCAGTAATGGCAAAAACCCACCAAGAGTGTCCATATGATTGCTATTGCAATAATTATGCAGCTTTTTACTGCTAATTAAGTATTTTGGGTTAGCTCTACAATTAATTTTTCTTTTTGTTTAATTTGTGCACTTATTTTTCGAATTTTCATACTGAATCTGCATATAATGAAATCCTCTTTATAATCAATTTTTTCTGGAGTTTGTAAATTTTGTTATATCCAGGTTTTACTGTAGTTTCAGACTAACGCGTACCAGGGCTAAATACAAAGGCACAGGCTTATTTTCCAGCAATGGCAAGAGAATTTCGAAGGGGGCAAATGGAAATACTATGCACTCGAATTCGGATGCACTTTAAAGAATGCCAGATGACCAAACAATTATGGCATCCCCCGTTTCCCAAAGTGTCATAATATGATTTTCACGTGTGAAACCCCAAACTAGCATTTAATTTCTCAAAGGACGACATTTTCGTCTCATGGTCTCTGAGCTATTTGCTCTGTCTGCTGGTGAACTGCAGTGTGCTGCAGTCTAATCTCATTATGCCAAACCTCAGATTAACAATTTTTTCTGATTAAAAGCTTTTTAGAAAATCTCCCTCCATATGTCCATTGACATAATGGAAAAATGTTTCACTACAATTAATTTCAGAGTACCGAATGTTTCAGAATAACATATCAAATTTTATCCCCCTTATATCTCCACAACACTCCAAAATAACAAATATCGGTTGTAAAAAGTTACTCACTGCTGTAAAAATAAGGCCCAGCTCTGTACCTGCCACTATTCAATGTGCCCGCCCTATTCAAATGTGTGATAGCCCTATCGCCATCGTCATCGCCTGCTACTTGTTTTTAGTGCTAGATTTCGCCCCGTTTTCTTTCTTTTCGTCGGGCAGCTTTATCTGCGTGTTTGTTATGTGGCTGTATTCTACTTGAACTGGTATAGCGCATTACGGGGAAGAAGAAACGGCCGAGCAGACCGACACAAGAGGACAGAGCGCTCTGTCCTCTTGTGTCGGTCTGCTCGGCCGTTTCTTCTTCCCCGTAATGCGCTATACCAGTTCAAGTGCGACGAACCAACTCTCCCAATCTTCAACACTCGCTGTATTCTAGTCTTTTGGTTGGTGCTTGAACGTTCAAGATGACCTCCGGAAGCAGCACGAAGGAAATGCTACGACAGTGAAAAGTGTGACACGAATGACCTGCGGGATGAACTCGCTGATGGTTTCTCGTGCATGCTTTACTGACGCTCGAACAGTATGCAGAGCGCGACGGCAAAGCATGCATGTGGGCATAGCTGACGACTGATAGGATCTATACTATTTGTTGTGATAAGGAAACGGCGATGAGTCCCAAGACGACGTTGAAACAGTGCAGGCGAACCAACGAGAAGAATCGGTATTTAACACCGATACTTCGCAGTGCGTAAGAAGAATGTGCACACTTAAGAGTTCATCTTTCGGCAGTCGAGATGCCCACAGCAGGATAGATTATGCTCTTCATCAAATAAACGTGCCCTGGTTCCGAAATATTTCATGTTTGTTATTTTACGCTTTATTAATGCATTACACTGTCGCGACTGTATACACAGCACAGGTAGGCGGCTCACGTGTTTGTGTTCATAATTTTTGGTCAAATTTTTAATACTTGCACTACAGCGACTTTTCAAATTAACTTATGATTTGTAGAGGTCCCTTGAGATTCGTTGTATTGAGATTTACTGTACTTGCTATGATATAGAGGACCAACTAGTAGCCGAGATTATCAGTGCTGGTTTGAGAAGGTACATCCGAGTTGCCCAATTTGAAATTTCTCCTCACCAAATGTAGCAGAAAAGTTACATACACCTGTCTGTAGTTGAAGGCTAAAACAAAAAGGTACTGCTTTAGGTGTCTTGAAAACGTGAGTGCTACATTAGAAGTAACATTTGCCCTTGTTTATAGAGCACTGTTGGGTTTTGTGTTGAATTGGGAGAAATATTACTGCTACGGCATTAGCCCACTGCATTTTCAAGTAACTATGCTCTGGGCCTTCTGTACCAACATTGTTGTAACCGTCTGGATGTTCAGCTCTGTTGAAAATGATCAAGATCGACTATGTTAATTGTTTCTTGCTTCCGCTGTCATCCATCTTTAAACTATTTTTCTCTTTCTGCAGCTACAGTAAAGCACCTAGCAATAGCAGACGAAAGAACCACGATATGCAACAACAGCATGTGGGACCATGCCGGGTCGATTCATCGTGCCAGGTGTCAACGAGTAGAAGCTCGACGTCATTATCGCGCACGCCAGACGCCGAGAACCACGCCACACGAGACCCTGACACAGACCGGGGCATGAGCAGAAATGGCGTGCGACGCCGCACCAATGCTAAGCAGAAGCAGGAAACTGGTGTTCAGGCATCTCTGACTCCAGGAAGGTCGGAGTCGCCTGTTCGTGCCAAGCAAACAGTTCCCGCATCGCTCCTCGTGAAGAAATCCGTAGACGAGAGGAACGACACGCAGCAGGCGGCATGGTGGAAGTTGGTGATGTGGTTCAACACGGACGCGTGGAGCAAGGAGCGCAGCGTGGAGGCTGTGGCGAGCGTCGCAACTCAGACTGCACGTGAGAACCAAGTTATTGCTGGCGAGAAGAAAGACGATGACAGGAAGAACAGGCGCAAGAAAATGGTGATAGAAGAGGAGACGTCGTCAACGACAACTGAGACGTCGAATGCAGACTCCGACTTGAGTGAAAAGGCAAGTTTGCTGAAGTTTTACTTCTGCTACTTTCTGTTTCATACATGAGGTGCCATGAGAATGTAGATGCTGTCAGTGACCAAGCCAAGGTGAAAAAACACAGACGTTTTGGGACCCATACAGGCTCATACAACTCTTGCCTGGTTAGTGTGAACAAGGAATTCGTATGGTTCCCGAAAAGTAAAAAAGTTTAAATAACGCTGCTTTTTACTGGAAAATAAGTGTTTTGGGTTAGCTCTGCCTTCATTCTCTTTTTTGTTTAATTTGCACGTTTATTTTCGTACCGAACCTGCGTATCACGAAATCCTCTTTATAACAAGTTTTTCTGATCCAGGTTTAACTGTGGTGCAGATATTTGTGATTTCAGCGATGTATAGATTATCCATGGTATACACGAGTTGGAAATAAAATTTTTAGAAATATTACCACACTTGATAGGTGCACCCCGAACTTGGAGCCTGATTTCCTGGAAAAAAGTGCACCTGTTATGCGAGTAAATACGGTATTTTGTCGTTATAAACATGGCCTTTGTAATCAGCTCCAGCTGTGCACTACCGGACCTAATCGCAGAGCCCACGATACGAAAACAAAGTGAAGCTAGTGCATTCAGCACAGGTTCTTGACAACTGTATAAATAAAGGAATCTCTCATTTGAACAAATGTTGGTTTAACGAATATTTTAGAATAAAACACTATTAGAAAATCTCTGGAAGTTTTCCTATGCATTCTATACAAAAATCTTCAGTTAAACCAACTTCTGAATAGTGAATACTATTTCAGTTGAACAAGCTTGATCTGCGGACCCGAACTCTTCAATCATGTTTTGTACCCTTCACTGGCATATCGATGCGCGCCGCTGCCAAATCACACATACATTGGCGGCAGTGCAATAACATTTGTGCATGAAGTACCGCTGAGCCGAAGGAGCCATGTGGGAGAAGAAAACGAGCCATGTGTGCTTCAATACATGCACATAGTTGCCATATTTAGAAATCGTTTCCGCTGTCGTGCTAAATCAAAACACAAATATTGCAACAAAGTTGTCATGCTTAAGATAGGCTCAAATCCTGTGTCTCTAGATGAGGTTATAGCATACACCGTATTTACTCCCATAATAGGTGTACTCCCCCAGAAAATGCGGCGCGAAGTTCATGGTGCGCCTATTGCGCGGGGTAAAATTTCCAAAAATTTTATGCATAGATCGCAGATAACACAAGTCGCTGAAGTCTTGAATATCTCTACTACAAGCAAAATAATCTTCGTAGGCTGCACTAGTGCAAAATGTCTTGAGCATGCAGTCTCGCATGTCCGTGAATCAAGGCATGCAATGCAGTGTGCTTATTGGCATTGAAATTTCCAAAAATTAACATCGAAATACCCGTGTTATCAACAAAATGAATGTGGAAAAAAAAAAGACTATAAAAAAAAGTGCCGTTGCGGAAACTCACCGATGACGTTTCAGGTTGGTATATACGGTATATTTGAAAGTTGTAAAACTTTTTGTCACTGCAACAAGCTGTATCAGAGACAGTGCAGAAAAACGTAGGCTATCTGGATAGTTTTGTCTCTTCTTGCACTTTAAGGGTGCTAGTACAAATGAAAACTGCAGAATTATTTTCAAAATAATTGGCATTTCACCCGTTTGACTTGATTTCTTCTTTACCCAATGAGTTCAGTGAACGTCCATTTAAGTGAACGATTTCCTTGGGTCCCTTGAAGTTCACTCAAATGTGAGTGCACTAACATGATTCGCTTACTTGCCCAGCATAAAGCATCTTCATTTATTACTCATTCTAAAAAAAAAAATTGTGGGTGGTAAGATCATTCAATAGTCGAGCCCATGTATAACGGCCCCACTTAAAACGAATTTTCGCTTAAAACGAACAATATATGCGTGACCGTCAAAATATACATTGGTTCAATGGCACAAAATCACACTTACAGCGAACGTCTCAGAGCGCCGCTGATCGGTTACAGGGAACGGAGTCAGCTGTCTGCCGACTTCCTGGCAAACCAATTTCGACCACCGATCAGGCATCGGCGAGGTGCCCATACATTCTTATTGTTAAACCCCGATTCTGCCTCCGCACCCCTCTAGTTGCTGCTCTCCCCGACCGCTTTTTGCTACACACCCCTCCGTCCTTTGTCCTCCCGCTACTCTGAGCACCCCGCATTGCCAGACGAGGCCTGTGTTTTCACACTGCCATCGATCTTTCGAAGACTGGTCGGCCACGTACCCTGTTTTTGATCGCTGGTACTGTCGTTGGCGTCACCGGCTTGGAGTGACCAGACCCTTCGCCAATATCGTCGGCCACCGACTGTATCCGATAGTCTGCGTCTAGAGCACGCGCGCACGCTACCCCACCGACTCTGATTATTTGCGATTCGTTTCGTGTTTAGGACTTGTTCTCGCTCACTTCGCACTCAACTCAGCACGCCTTCTGCGCGCGTGCGGAAGCGCGAAAACGGCTGTTAATTTGTGCGGAATGAATCGCGAAATATCGAAGTTCGTGAGGCCACGCAAACCCGTCGGCACAACAAGACAATTTTTTTTTATCACGGTCGCCGATTTTTCGAGCGCCGCCGTGCGCACCGAACGAGGCGGCCATGCTTTGACTTCTGCGCGTGCTAGCACTCTTTTCAAGTTTTTCTACGTGCGAGTTTCGGGGACCTTTCAAGCAAGACGATAGTTATAGCGCGAGAACAAACCGACGACACAGAGACAAGAAGGACACGAAGAACACGAGCGCTAGTGTCCTTCTTGTCTCTGTGTCGTTGGTTTGTTCTCGCGCTATAACTATCGTCATGCCATACCAACTAGCCCAAGCTGCCACACTTCTAAGTTACTTTCAAGCAAGCTACCCAACCTGCCTCCTTCCCGTGTGTTTTGGTTTTCAAGGTCGCCCGCCCGCCGCATCCTCCCCTCTCTTTATCGCAACTCCTTGCCCTTCTCTCGCAGGTCTGCTCTCTTCTCTTGATCACAACCCCTTCGTCCGTCTCCACCGCTCTGCGACGCCCGCCACGCTGGCTCGAATTAGTTTCGTTTTCCGACTGGAAACGCACCCAGAGCTGTTCCACGCGTGTGCGCGTCTTGCTCGCTCTTGGTGTGTGTGTGTGGTCATGATGGCCGACGGGAGGCTTTTTCGTGCCGCTCAACAAAGCGTTGAAAGTGTGACCGCTTCGCTTGAGCGCAATCCGCGCGTTAGGTGCCGCGTTGAGGAGCGCTTGCTCATAGCTGTTGACCACCTGGCAGCCAACTTGCCGCTTCAGGTGTCCCGGTAATCAGCTGTGGAGATGGTGAATATTTCGTGGGTGGCAGTGACGGCTAAATGTGCGCGAAACTATTTTCGCGAGGCCGGCTTCTTCGATTGTCGGGCCCGATGCCGAGCCTGAAGCTTCCGAACAGGACCACTGGGGCGGCGATTTGTGGCAGCGCGTCGTCGACTCCGACCTGGGAGAGTGGGTGGGACATCTGTTGCGATGATTTAATTACGGCCGATGATAATGCTGACACTGCGGAACCGTGCACGGATTGGGGCATTGTGAATGAAGTACGTGGCGAGAGCGATTTGGAGGAATCGGATTGCGAGAATGACGAAGCTTTGGAGCCAGCGCCTTATGCAGCTTATGCCACGGGCCTCGGCGAACGAGCAGCCTGCCGTTTTAAATCAACACGAGACCGCCCTTATCGTTTCTGCTCTTCGAAAAACGTGCATCACAAACTTTTTGGGGCAAAAAAAGTTTGTGTTTTCACTCGAAACTTTTTTAAAAGCTGTGTTTCATTTACTACGAACTTCGGGATACAGCGATCGAATGCCGCGTCACGCTCAGGTTCGTTATAAGCGGGCTCGACTGTATTGAACCATTTCTTGGTACAAACGCATCTACTACAAGAAGTCTCGCTATCTTCCATAGCGTTGCACCTGATGTATGAAATGGAGCATAATGATGCACGGGAACATTTCTCTTGGCCTTATCATTTAAGAGTAGCAGGCCTGTCTTCAAATTTTAAGCCACCATAGCAGCTTTGCAGCTATAATGTTGGGCAGCTGATCATAAGGTTGGAAGTTCAATTCTCAAGCATGGCAGCTGCACTTAGGTAGGTCATGGGCTGAAACACAATAATGCCATTTAATTAAAATTACCAGTGTACACCCCCCCCAAAAAAGATACACACACTAGCGCAACAGCACTCCTGTGTTTATCTTCTTTTCTTTGTGAGGCATGTTCGGTGTGTGTGCTGATAATTTTAATTTGCATATATGTACGGACTAGACCCAAGTAAAGTTCTATAAAAGAATGCCAGCATGCATGAATTTAGTCACCTAACTTAAGAACCCCATGTGGTGTAACGTTTGCAGTGCTCGCCCTCTTTCTACGTCGGGGCTTTCTGATAACATTGCCCGATTGCTGTTATCTTGCTGTTTTCTTTTCTTTCGTGCCAACCTGCGATTGGCTGCGTAGCGCTTAAAAACGCGCCGCAAGGTGAATAAACTGGGATTGTCTTCCTGGCACTGCTTGAGTCGTCTCTTTCCTGGGCCGGCTGTCGTCCAGCCGCCGAATACGTAACAGTGGTCAAAATTACTCTGGAGCCACCTACCCGCTACAGTATGGCTCATAACCGCATAGCGCCCAGAAATAAATTGCCATGATTTTTTTTACTCTTCATTCCTTTCACCTCTTTATTGCTGCTTTTCAACAATGAATGAGAACAGGTTCTCTTAATTTCATCTTTGTAGCATTTGTTCTTTTCCTTGCATTGCATAGAAAGAGTCTATGTGTTCTTCATTGGCGTCTCGGGCTATGTCATCAACTGACAATATAATTGCAGGTGCTAGAATGAAGAATGAGAGACATTTCAGATAAGCAACAGTAGGATCTAGTTGTGGATAGCATTCTGAGGAAATGCAAGTACCAAATTATTAAGGCAGAAGCCCTAAGTGCGTCACGATTTGCTATCAACGGTGTGCGGTAATAAAGCTCCGGTGACCTCAATAAAAATCAGGTAAATAGAAATCGTGGTTTGAGACAGAACCGAGCCAAGCTATTCAGCATTGCAGTTGGGTATTCCACCACAGATCTATGCCTATGCTTGAAACCACTTTTGGAAAAACTAGGGAGAAGGTCAGTTTAGTAAGGACTCGCATTAACAGGTTCACTATTGCATGCCCGAAGCGTAGAATCAAACCAGACTTCACACAATGTGAATCTCATAATGAGGGGGGTAACTGAAAACTGCCCACCCTTTACAGTGGGGCTGAGCTATATTTCATCATCATAATCATCATCATCAGCCAAGGAATCAACAAAGGTGTGTCGCGTCACTAGGCCTGACACCCCGCGTGCCTTGTAAGGAAAGAACATATAAGGAAGGGTTCAGAGAAGGGGCAAGGAAGGTAAACAAGCTTTCTTCTTGATGTCCCTTAGGTAGGACCCAATGACCTGGGCTTCTTTTATTCTGTGCTGGTCAGGAAAATGTTGGGCATTTCAAGGTAGACTTCCTATCTTGCTCTCCTCTGCCACATTGCCAAGCATTTACCACATTCTGTATTTGTTCTGCTTTTATGCTTCTGAAAGGAACAGTGTGTGAATGCATGATGATATGGACTCTGCCTATCTTTCTCATTGCAGGATCATACGTTGCTGCATCTACCAGATGTGTGCACGTCAGCCAAGTTAATAAAAGGCAAGCGGCCAAAGCTAAAAGCTGGTTCTGAACAAGGCAGCAGCGGAAGTATGGCCGAGTCCAGCAATCAGTCATCCTTTGGCGCGCCTTTGTTTCCACCTGATGGGAACCTTGCAGATGAAAGTTTCGAGGCCAGCACAAAGCCTAAAACGCACAAGAAAAGCAAAATTGAGAGAAAGAGGGTTCATGACGAGGAAGCAATCAGGCAGAGGTAAGTGCTTGTACTAATAGCAGAAGAGTTGCTGTATGGTATTTGTTTTTGTAAAGGTCAGAAACTCTAGATTTGTTGCCTGTGCTGCTCGCATGCAACAAACTTATTGCTTGATTGCTTGAAGAGTCAAAGGAAATTCCTTCAAGGTTTTTGCCTTCTTAAATGTATGTGCAAATGTGTGTAAAATTGTGTGTCCCCAGTTTTAATTTTGCTTTGATAGGGATTAAGATGTTTTTGTCTTTGGTCTCCAAGCAGGGAAAGGAAGGTTGTGCAGCGACGATAGCTGAAATCATACAACACCACAGTAGTTTGTCCTCCTTGAGAAGAATAAGCTTGTAGCTGATCCTGGGGTATTGGTGAATGATTTATGGTCAGTTTTATGCAGACTCTATGCCAATGCCGCAACCTGCTATACAATTTGAAGTTTTGTTTGAATAATCAAATTCAAGTTTATATTGCCGCATGTTGTTAGGCACCTACCGAAGTCTTGCGCCGCTTCCTGCTCTTATCAATTCTGCCACACCGTGGGCATCACCGTGGGCATCACCGGTAGTGCTAGTCAAAAAGGACAACAGCTAGTCAAAAAGAAGGACAACACTCAAAAAGAAGGACAGTCAAAAAGAAGGACAACGGTTTTGCATTGACTACAGAAAGCTGAACCAAATGCGCCAAGCTAAATGCGCCATGCAAAGCTGGCTGCACGTGTCACCACACCACACGCTGGAAAAAGAACGCTGGCGGTTTTTCGAGGAGCAGCTCGAGGCAAGACGCATGAGAAGAAGTTGACGAGGTTTTCACTAGCGAGCTCACAACCTTTGTGTATTTAGTTAACGGGCACAAGTTCGCCATTAATAAATAGCTGTTTTAGCTTCCGGCGCTGTATTTGTTCCTTACAAACTGGTGGAGGTGCGGGGTATGATTCCAAGCCCATCTCAGGATGGGGAACATACGGTAGCCCAGAACCCCGAAGGTTGGAGCCAGCGCTGTTGACTCCCGTACCCCAACGCACGAGTCGTCGCCTACGAGGTGAGCAGCCCGAGTTTGGTGCCCTCTTCGATTCTTCGAGACCCGTGGAGGACGTAAGTTCCAGAGCTCCTGCAATGGCCACCCAAGCGACTTCATTTCCATCTCATATCGTCATGGACCTGCCCCGCATACCAGAGGTATTTCACGGTGATATTTTCGAGGATTCCGAGGATTGGCTCGACGGTGTCGAACGCGTTGCCAGACTGAACGGTTTGAACGAAGACAGGAAACTTCGCTACGTCTTTGTGGCACTGCAAGATTCTGCGCGTGCATGGTTCGAAAACCACGAAGCGTCCTTATTGTCGTGGGACGACTTTCGAAGAGAGTTTCTTGCTACGTACCCAAACATGGACCGCAAAGAAAAGGCAGAGGTCGCTCTTCAGACGCGAAACCAACAGAACAACGAGAGCGTCGCCATGTACATTGTAGACATGTCCCGACTGTTCCGCCGGGCCAACCCGAACATGGCTGAGGAAAAGAAGTTGCGGCACCTGATGCGTGGAGTGAAGGAGGAGCCTATTGCAGGCCTGGTGCGTAATCCACCCCGCTCTCTTGCTGAGTTCAGATCAGAGGCGACAATGATAGAAAAGACCCTGCAGCAGCGCCCGTGCCAATACAACAGGGACGTAAGCGTCTCATCTGTTAGCGCGGTGTCGACAACCCTCACGAGTAACATTGACCTCTTGCATGAAATGGTGAGGGCTGTCGTAAGGGAAGAACTTCAGAAAATACAAATGACTCAAGCTCATCCAGCGATGTCCTCACTTGCCGACGTTGTGCGCGAAGAAGTGCGGCAAGCGGTTCTTCAACCACAACCTCAGGTACTACAGCGTGCACAACCGGAGCCTCCGCCTCAGTTGTCGTACTGCAAGTTGTACGACAGGACCTCGGGCGCATGAATCGGACCGCTGCGACTGCTGTGATGCCTCCGACGTTTTCTCCGAGTACGCCGCTACCAATGCCGGAAGCAAGACCACGTAAGAGCGATGTATGGCGCATTGTAGACTGGCGGCCCCTTTGCTACCATTGCGGAGAAGCAGGTCACCTTCACCGGGCGTGCCAGTATCGTCGATCGGGACTGCGTGGTTTTCCAGTCAATGCATCATGCCCACGGAACGGTGAACGGCCCTACGAAATCGAAGAATACTTGTCTTCACGCTATTCACCTTAAGACACGCAACAACGGGGAGTCGCGTTCGACAGCACCGATGCGCTATCGGTCGCCGAGTCCATGTCCGTCAAAAAAATCTCCGAAGATCACGTTCACCTAGCCCGCGGCGGGAAAACTAGAGCCAGCGACCTCTGGAGGTGAGGCCGCTGATATACTGACAACTGAAGACCCTCCGTTGTTGGCCCGACAGGACGGTGGCAGTTACGCAACGACGGACAAGTGCAGTAGTAGCGACGTTACCTCAGAGATATTAGCCACGATCGACGACGTCGAGGCCATTGCGCTAATAGACACTAGTGCAGACTATTCCGTTGTCAGTAATGCTCTCGCAAAGAAGCTTAAGAAGGTGATGACTAAATGGATCGGACCTCAGATACACACCGCTGGAGGGCACTTAGTTAGTCCCATGAGGTTATGCACCGCAAGGATAGGAATAAGAGGATTTGTGTATGTCCGCAGCTTTATTGTGCTTCCTGAGTGCTCCCGGGAACTGATTATAGGCATGGACTTTTTGCAAACAAACAATGCGGTCATCGACTTGCAAGAGTCCCAGGTTTCGTTTTCTACGGAGAATGCCGTCGCCTTCTGTCATGCAGAGAAACCAATCGTTCTACCTCTCCGCATTGTGAACGAAGATGTAACCGTGCCGCCACGTTCCAGTGTGACGGTTCTTGTGAGGAGTGAAGTTCTCCGTGACTGTGGCGGATTAGCGGACGGAAACATCGGACTGCTACTAGAAAAAGGACTATGCGTGACAAGAGGCCTGGTGAGCCTTCATGATGGATGTGCGTATGTCCTATTAACTAACTTTCGAAATGAGCTGCAGCATGTTGCGAAAGGAACATCCGTAGCATCGCTGCAGGAGTACGTGCAAGTCTCAGATGTTTGCACTCTTGATAAAGCTTCAGAGACAGTAGATAACGTACTCCAGTCAGTAGACATTGACTGAGAGCTCTCGTCATCTCAGAAGCAACAGATTGCTGACCTCATCAGAGAGTTCGCCGACTGCTTCTCCACGTCGTCGAAAGTCGGACGTACTCCCGTCGCAAAGTACCGTATCGTGGTCGAAGAACACGTGAGACCTGTGCATCAGCGCCCATACCGAGTAGCGCCAAAAGAAAGGGAAGCCATCAAGAACCAAGTGCAGGAAATGCTCAATGATGATGTAATCCAGCCATTCAACAGTCCGTGGGCATCACCAGTAGTGCTAGTCAAAAAGAAGGACAACAGCTAGTCAAAAAGAAGGACAACGGTTTTGCGTTGACTACAGAAAGCTGAACCAAGTCACAAAGCGTGATGTTTACCCACTTCCACGGATCAATGATGCCTTGGATAAGTTACGCAATGCTCACTTCTTTTCATCATTGGACTTAAAAAGTGGATATTGGCAGATCGAGGTGGACGAACGAGATCGCGAGAAGACGGCGTTTGTGACCCCAGACGGACTATACGAGTTCAAAGTGCTCCCTTTCGGTTTGTGCTCTGCTCCCGCTACCTTCCAGAGGATGATGGACCCTGTGCTCTCCGGACTCAAGTGGCAACCGTGTCTCGTCTACCTCAACGATGTAGTGGTTTTTTTCTTCTACCTTCGAGAAGCACACCCACCAACTGAGAATGCTACTGGATGCCATTCGCGTGGCAGCACTGACCATCAAACCGGAAAAGTGTCACTTTGGATTTCGTCAACTTCAGTTCCTCGAGCACATAGTTAGTGCGGAAGGTGTCCGCCCAGACCCGGAAAAGATTGCAGCAGTTGAGAATTTTCCGAAACCGCAAGATAAAAAGGCCGTCAGACGATTCCTGAGACTATGTGCCTACTACAGACGCTTTGTTGAAAACTTTGCTAAGGTCGCTGAGCCTTTGACACGGCTAACGAAAGAAAATGTACCATTCTCTTGGCGGGAAGAACAAGAAGCGGCTTTCTCAGAGTTGCGACGCCGTTTGCAGTCTCCTCTAATACTTGCCCATTTTGACGAAGAGGCCGATACAGACATACATACCGACGCGAGTAACGTTGGTCTCGGTGCCATCCTCGTTCAGTGGCAGAATGGAGAAGAAAAGGTCATTGCTTACGCGAGCCGCACTCTATCGAATGCCGAGTCCAATTACTCAGCGACAGAGAAAGAGTGTCTCGCAGTTATATGGGCCATCGGCAAGTTTCGCCCATACCTCTACGGCAGACCGTTTCGTGCAATCAGTGATCATCATTCATTGTGTTGGCTGGCAAACATCAAGGACCCTTCAGGAAGACTTGCTAGATGAAGCCTGCGTCTACAGGAACATGACATCACTGTGGTCTACAAGTCCGGTCTCAAGCACAATGACGCGGATTGCCTGTCTCGCGCACCTGTTGAGTCTCCATCATCTGACCAAGAACAAGACATCCCATTTCTTGAAGTTCTGAATGTGTCGGAGATGGCTCGTCTTCAGCGTATGGATCCGGAACTACACCTGCTTATCCAATACTTGGAGGGTCACCAAATTAAGGTACCACGAGTTTTCGTCCGTGGTTTGACATCCTATGTCCTCCGGAACGATATCCTATACAAGCGCAACTTCGTAAACAGCGGTGAGACGTTTCTGCTTCTTTCACCATCATCACTGCGAGCAGAAATCTTAGAAGCGTGTCATGACGACCCATCGGCTGGCCATATGAGTAGTAGTCGCACTTTGGCCAGAATTCGCTGGAAGTATTATTGGCCGAAATTAAGGAATTCGGTGCACCGTTATGTTAAGTCATGCCGGGATTGCCAAAGACGCAAAATACCACCATCGAAACCAGCGGGTCTGTTGCAACCAATAGAGCCACCAAAAGGGCCATTTCAGCAGGTGGGAATGGATTTGCTTGGTCCATTTCCTCTCTCTTCATCGGGAAAGCGCTGGATTGTTGTAGCAACAGACTACATGACTCGATATGCTGAGATATAACCTCTCGCGAAAGGAACGGCGAACAAAGTAGCCCAGTTTTTCGTCGCTCAGATTGTACTACGACATGGCGCACCGCAGTTCGTCTTTACAGACAAAGGAACAGCATTTACTGCCCGTTTGATGCAGTCTGTTATGAAGCTCACCCACACCGACCATAGAAGGGCTACAGCATACCATCCGCAAACAAACGGATTAACCGAAAGGCTCAATAGAACTCCCGCCGACATGATCTCGATGTATGTGGACGTTGAGCACCAGACATGGGACAGTATTTTGCCTTATGCTACATTTGCGTACAATACCGCAGTACAAGAAACGACACACTTTGCGCCATTTCAACGTGTTTATGGTCGGACGGTCACAACGACCTTAGACACGATGTTACCTGTCAACGATTCGAATGAGAGTGACCCACACATCAGCGACTACATAGAACGGGCAGAAGAGGCACGGCAATTGGCAAGACATCTTATCATTTTGCAACAAGGCTCCGACGCAAGTCGCTATAATCTGAAGCGGAGAGACGTACAGTACAACCCCGGAGACAAAGTGTGGGTGTGGACGCCTATCCGCGCATCTGGCCTATCGGAAAAACTGATGCGGCGCTATTTCGGCCCTTACAAAGTACTTCGCCGTTTAGGCACGCTAAACTACGAAGTAATTCCTGAAGGGCAAGTGTGCTCAACCCGACACAAGAATCGCCCAGAAGTCGTACATGTAGTGCGAATGAAACCGTACTACGAAAGGCACTGAAGGAGACAACTGATAAATGTGCTCAAACATCAGATAAATACTCCTTTACAAAACTGTTCGACGTCAGCGTACGCATCGAGACTATGCGTTTCGGGAGGGGGACTAATGCCGCATCTTGTTAGGCACCTACCGAAGTCTTGCGCTGCTTCCTGCTCTTATGAATTCCGCCACACCAACTGACAAGCCAAACGCGCCAAGCTAAACGCGCCAAGCTAAACGCGCCATGCAACGCTGGCTGCACGTGTCACCACACCATGCGCTGGAAAAAGAACGCTGGCGGTTTTTCGAGAAGCAGCTCTAGGCGAGACGCAAGAGAAGAAGTTGACGAGGTTTTCACTCGCGAGCTCACAACCTTTGTGTATTTAGTTGACGGGCACAAGTTCGCCATTAATAAATAGCTGTTTTAGCTTCCGGCGCTGTATTTGTTCATTACAATATTTAAAGTGCAATTTATTAATCCAATAATTACCTTGTGTCATTATCCTGTTGACTGCCAAGAGGTGTGCTATAAAAAACCATCAGGGCAGTTCGTTGTTGGGCTGGTTGCAATAGTTAAAAAAGAATAGCTCAAATGCTGCATCTTAAGTTACAATGACTTCAATGTTAGTACCTACCTATAAACTCTCCTATATTATTTTTTTCTTTTTTTTTTCTTCTTTTGCACATTTCAGCACATTGGAGCTGCCTTACAAGCCGAAGACGAGCATTGGAACCAAAGAACCACACATACCGCGACCTGAAGTCTTACGGCTATCAACTGAACTCAGGAAAGCAGCTGAAGGAAAAATTAAAGGTAAATTTCACCTCATTCTGCAGCACATCATCCAGCTACACCTTATTTGCTGCTGTTGTTTTGGGATGTGAAATCCCACATATCATCATCATTATTTACTGCAGCAGCAATAAAAAATATCTATTTCGTGGGTCCACCCCTTGCCTAGTATAGATAAAAATTATACCAGAAAATTTATTCTTTGGTCTCTTCTTTCCTGATTGCAAAATTATTCTTGTCCAGTATCATGGTGTCATATAGCTGAACATTTGCTGGATTACTTTTGCCTCTCATTTCTCTACTGAAGTATTACCTTCTTGAATATCATTATGATGTCATAAGGTGTTAGTATTAAGGCGTCTGTTGTCTTCTAAACCACATTACGTGTGCTTCAGCGGCCTGTAGCCATTCTTTTGTCTAGTTTCTGTATATAATTCGTGTCTCTTGTTAAGGGGCAATAAAGTGATGTTAGCTGCATCAGCTACAGTTTTTGTTATCAACTTCTGATATCTTTGGTGTGATCTTTGTGAAAGGAACAGCAGAACACATTTCAGAATACAACAGCAGTCCATAGAAAAAATTTGGTGATCAAAATGTTTATACTTACGAGCGTACTGTATACTGTATTTACTTGATTCTACCGCACCCTCCATTGTAACGCGCACCCGGTTTCCACGACGAAAAAAAAAAAAGTAAGACATTGATTGCAACGTGCACCCTTTTTCTCGTTGGCCCGCACAATCAAAAACGACTCCTTTCGGGAGCGTCTTCCACTTAAATATGAGGTACAGGGAAAGCTTGTGCTCATCTGACGTGTAACAGAGCATTGCCGTCACTGTAGTTTTACCGTGGACCGATGTCAGCATGGGAACTTGCTTCGCCCCCTTCTTCTCGACGGTTGTGGTGCCAGGTATGTCGAAGTAAAGAGGCGTCTGATAGGCATTCCCGATTTGCCCAAGCAGGTAGCCGTTGTTGTGCCGCAAGTTTAGGACGAACCTCTGAAAACTGTGAAGCTTTTCTTCGTACTCCTCCGACAAATTTGGCCCATGCCCGTTCGCTTTCGGAGGGAAAAGCCTTTCCTCTTCATAAAGTTAGTTAGCCAGCACCTGCTCGCTTTGAACTGGCTCCGCATTAACCCTATTTCTAAGGCTAACTGCATAACCCGCCCTTGGAGCAGTTCTGTCGTCACGGGCCGCTGTGCCGCTCGCTGCTCAAGCACATACTCGCCGAGCAGCTCTTCAATTTGCGGAAACTGACCCTGCTGTGGTCCACTGAAGCCTTTGCATGAAGCTTTGCTGTCGACTATCTTCTGCTTTTGTTTCCGCCAGTCCCACACGCACGTTTCGGGAACTCCGAATCACTGCGATGCGGCCCGATTTTCGTCCGTTTCTGCACACGTGATGACTTTTAAAAGCGGCATCGTGGTGCACTCGAATTTTTGGAGTTGGCCCTTCCATGCCGTTGACGCTAATGCACTACAAGATGACGAACTCCTCAGCACACTTATGAAGCGCCGCACATGGGAAACACATAGATAGAAATGGTCGACGCACATAGGGGGCGGCCATTTTGGAAATGCCGATGGCAATAGAATGACCGTATTCATTTTTTTTTCGTACTCTATTCTAACGCGCATGCGATTTATAAACTCTCTTAACCGGAAAAAAGGTGCGCGTTAGATTCGAGTAATTACGGTAGGTAGTGCCATATTCAGAGAATTGCGTCTAGTTGAACAGTTGAGGTGTGACTTAGCTTTGCACTACAATAAACTCCCATTAAATTAGCCTTACTTGTCTCGAAATTCAGGGCAGGTCAAATTATTTTTGCGGCACAACAAGGTTAGGTCCCATATGCAGTGTGTATTTTCACTGTCTCGTATCTCAAATGCCTTTCCCCTCAAGCTCTACACTATATGAAAACCTTAAGGCAGGGCTAGGGACACCAACTAAAAACATTGATGGCGAATGCTCAAGAAATGTGTTCTAGTGATAAGAAATGAATGAAAAGGGAAATGTTACAGCTACTGTAACTTTACATGTGTGTCCTTTATTTTCTTTTTTTCCTCCATCTTCATTTCATGCCATCATATCTCTTGTTAGGGTGGAGCTAATGCCGGATGTAAGCACAAGGTAAATGTGGAGAAAGTAAGAGAACAGAATGTCAAAGGGCGTGTGACAGAGCTTATCTGAATTTCACAGAAGCTAGCAGGCACTGTTGGAGGGCTGCCTGTCTCTTTCAAGAGACTCCAACATCTTGCCCCCATTATGATAGGGTACTCCACTTGAATAAAGATTTTTATCAAGGATTGCTGCAATGTGGAAGCCGTTGGAATGTAGAAATTTTAGGGTGCTTTTTGTATGCCTATTTTCTATGTGTCTTTCTTACTCAATTGTTTTACATGAAGTATTTTGAACCACACGTATGGTAGCCAATAATCATGAGACTTGCAAATATTTTTTGTGACATACGTGTTGTCAAAAAGTTGATTCCACTTTGTACCTGCTGTTCGGTGACCAAACATATCATTACGCTCTGAAGCAAGCGTTGGAAGTAGCCACACTGGCACTTCTGTTATCTTATTAAGAGAGCAGACTAGTATTTTGTAGATTTGTCAAAAAAGTAGTCTTGTTGTGTGTTGTCCGTACATCATGTTATAGGGGCCCTGCAACACTTTTTCAAGTAGCAATGGAATTGAATCACTAAAGGAACTTATTGCCTCACGAATTCACTGCCGCGAAAAGTTTTAGATTCTGTCCATTATGAGCAGAGTTGCAAATATTCGTTGCAAGCTGCAATTCAATTCTCTCTTTTCACGACTAAAGCGCTGAAAGCTAAGCAGGGAAAGATGGCACAGGGAAAGATGGCACAGGGAAAGAAAATACATCACGCGCGCCTCGTAGCCTTGAGCACTTTACCTCTCTTCTCTCTCTCTCCTTTTTTTTTCGCTTCAAATACCTAACTTTTCAGTGTGATCATACGCGCACGCGTGGACAAGTCGTGGCCTCCCACGGCGACCACCGAGCACGCCATGCTCAAATCAGCCAATGGCTGATACAACGGCTGCAACGAGTGATTTTTGAGCTTGTTGCGTCCTTAGTCAAGAGAAGAGAGAGCAATTTTTAGCTGACTTTAAGAATTCATTGTGAATTTCAGGTCACGTGCTGTGTTATAATAATTGGCTCGCGCATTCTCGGAAGCCTCAACTACTGATCAGCGACATTGTCTGGTCATGCCCAAAAAGTGTTGCAGGGCTCCTTTAAGGTGTTCATGTTCACAGATATGTGTGCACCTTTAAACAGATGCATACTGCATAATTTTTCCTTTGTTCACCTAGTTTAGACTCAACAAATGTATTTGCTATAAATTGTTCCCCAATAATATTCTCTACAGACATGTCTTTCCAAAGCACTCATTTCACTTGATAATACACAATGTGTGTGTGCATGTTTGTGTGTTTGTGCGTGCACACGCATTTTTTCTCTACACATTCGATCGCTCCTAAATACCATTTTGCACCGACTCTGTTGGCATAAAAGCGAGTCAATCAGGCTCCATATTTATTACATCATTGTTGCTCGCAGCCAAGGTTTCACGTAGTGGTACTTTTGTTTTGCAACCTTTCGTTGATGATCTTGGACAAAATATTTTGCGCAGCACGGTCTTCTTCATTTGAAAGTGAGCCTGAATTGCACGTGAGGAGGAACTCTCCACCTCCGCTGTGGGATTCGCCAAGGGAAGCCAGGTGTGCCCCAGGTATGTCCGAGTACTTAGTGTTTAGAACAACTTCTAGCACTGCATTCTTTGATCCTCTGTAATGCACCTAAAATGAGGGAACCCGTAAAATTGCAATTTTTCGGTGGGCTGGTAGCTATGTGTATTCCAACAGAAACGGGTAATTTTTTAGTGAGAAGTGCTCATAACAAAACGCAGACTGTTACTATATCGAAATTGGAAGGAACGTGATTTACCAAAAATGCTGTGGTTTGAAAGCTTTCCCAAAAAGGCCATTATTAATTTTTTAAGAAATTCTCTTTGATTGAAGTCAAGAACATTGACTGCTGTATTGCATTTGCTAACTAGCCATATGAAGTTATAGCAGTTGTTATCAAGTTATAATTTGTCAAATGTGACAAAACTGGCCTAGTGGCTGTAAAACTGCTATTTGGCTACAATTAGATGCAATTTGTTAAGCACATTTTTGTCGGAGATATTCACGAAGTAGCTGTTAAAAAATAAAAAGAACTATAATGTCCATTCAAGTTACATGGTGCGGCAAGCTTTGTCGGAAGACCCTCCAGACAAACTTGAGTAGGCGGTCCGTAGTGGGGGTGAGCTCACATTACATCAGTGCCACTTCATTTGAAGGTGAACGCCCCTTGTGCTTGGAAACTTCATTTAAAGATAAATGAGATGAGGGATGTGCCACTGTGAATACTAATGCGACATGTGAATTGCCAACGAGTTCCATATCATGCACCAAACACGCTGTCGGCAGCTTTGCAGTCAGCGCCTCCAGGAAAGCACACGTTGAAGCATGTGTGACATGTACGGGAGTAAGCGGGATATTTTTAAGTGGTATGACAAAAAATTTTAGTTATGACAAAAAATTTTAGTTATGAAAAGGCGACGTTTACAACTTAGCCACTTGACTTGGCTGCCATAGCGTTATCACAAGTAATCAAGTTTTATTGGAATTTATTCAAGTTTATTCAACATTGACGATAAAGCTTGCAGGAAAGTGTGCACAAGATTGGTAATACACAAGGAGGCTCAAAGTTAAGAACTGTCGGGGGGGCTCCGATACATTATGTGAACGGGAATGAACATACACATCATTAAGTGGCTACAGTATGTTCGATCAGAAAGTGAATAGTGCAAAAATAAATACAAAAGCAAAAATATGTATAGGTTTGACAGAGAAAAGGAAAAAGATAACACAGAAAGAAACAATTTTAATTTACAATAGTACAAAAGAGCAATACAACATGTACCAAACAAAAATCTGTTGCTAAGGTGAAGACAGATGTTTCAAAAATATTTATTTACTTGGTTTTTAAATGCATATTTCGTGGTTGATGATTTAAAGATGTAAGGAAGGGAATTCTGCAGCTTGGTTCCCGTAAACCAAGGGGGTGAACTTACCGTAGCTCATGCGAATCTTGGGCAGATGATTACCCAGTTCAGAAAACCTAATAATGTTGTTTTCCATGACAATGTTATCAATATGTACAGTACCATGAAAAAGCCTATACATCACAATGGATAACTTCAGCTGAAATAGTTGATGAAGAGGATGGATATTAATACCTGTGTCACACGGGCGCGCAAAAAGTCTTTTAAGTAAGCGGTCTTTTACGAAGTTGAAAGACTTTTAACAAAGAGGTGTTTGCGGCGCAGACACACGGCAGCAACGATCTCCTTTTAGTGTTTTCGTTCGAAGACGCTAGCGAAAACGTGGCGCTAGCAGTTAAAAGACAAGCAATGAAAATTAAACGATGTATCACGATGTACAAATTAAAGACTTGTTGCACTGCTCGTTTCTTCAAATAAATTTGAGAATAAGAGATGAAGAAACACCAATGTGAATGTTTTTTGCACTAGATAAGGAAGCATGCCCATAACTAGCGACGTGCACATGTCCGTCTGACACCACTGTGCTTTTATTTACCGTATTTGTTTTTCGCTGCTCTCGACTGCTCCCGACACGTTATGGGCGACCGTACGGGAGAAAAAGCGAGGATCGCAAGCCTCACGGCCTGCCTTCTCGCTCTGGAAAGCGAGGCAGACGCTGCAAAAGCCGCCAAGGAGAGGATAAAGCAGCGCAAGACCGAGCGTCACCACGTGATATTGCCGACGCGTTGTAGCTGCTTACGAGAGTAGAAAAGGAAATAACCATTAAAAGAGTTCATTACACTTTCTGCAGGATATGAAATTTGTTTTTACAAAGAGTTTTGGTGACAGAAAAATAAGCATTCGCTCTTTTTTTCCCAGCACTCGAAAATTGCTGGCGCCCACTGGTTTCGAGGCTACTCATTCGGAGCCGTAAAAGAGATCGACGAACGCCGTTTACGAAAAAGACCGCTTCTGAAAAAGAGTTCGCTCTGTGCCGTGTGTCTGCTGTCAGGAACTCCTCTTCGGAAAAAGACCGCTTACTTAAAAGACTTTTAAGTGCCTGTGTGACAGGGGTATTAAATTCTGATAAGGTGGCATTGCATTGGTTAAGGTTGCATTGCATTGGCTGAAGGTCATGAGATGAAGTGCTTGATTTTGCACGTGTTGAAGTTGGTTGAGGTAGGTGAAATATGTGTTGCCCCAGGCTGATATGCAATAAGATAGATAGCTGTGAATATATACGTGATAAAGGGGATGGATATGTGGCTGAAAATGGCACCTATTCCAAAGGTTATCTTGCGAATGAATGATTGTGCATGAAGATTGAACTTTATATGCCTGTCTAGGTCTACCCCAAGAAACTTAGTGCGATCAGACAGTTATTGTCCAAACGTACAGATGCAGATTGTGAGTATATATATGTGACCATTTCCTTGCAGGATCACGGTACTGTGCAATAAATGTTGTGTAGGGCTTGTAATACGCTGGGTCAAAAGCTACGTTGAAAAGAGATATCTTAGTACTGCCCTCGCTGCCAGATAAACAGTAAGCAAGTCATTCAGCAGTGTTATGCATTACGCTCATGATTTTGAGCTGTGTAAAGGACATAAGACGGTTGAAAAGAACATAGTACAGGCACTATACTCTGTTCCAGAAGTTCCATGCAGCAGAGCCAAGGCTACACGACCCTCGAACGCAGGTTGTTGCGAAGCAAGATGTAGTGCACCGTATACATAGCCCATTGTTTGTTCTCGTGACATTTACAAGCGGTCTCGTCGGAGGATTTTTACTTGGAGGCTTCTCTGCGTGTTGTAGCTGTGATTTGTATGACAGTTTTGTCACATTTTCTTTAGAAAACAATTTTTGTGGTTCCATGATACTGAAGAAATAGTTCTTGTTTGTGCGTGTTATAACATGCAAATGACAAAAGAAATAAGGCTTGTGTGGCTCGTATGCGTTATGTTTTTACTTATAAAGTACGAAGGAATGGTACCACACCGTCTAAACTTTTGTGAGTAGTCCGCACAGCCCAAGCGTCCACAGCGCCACGGAAAACCCAGTCTTGGGTTGTGATTAGTCTGCGGTGGCAGATTTGGTCACTCCTACCAAAATGGCGGTGCCTGGTTCACCTGTGCGATATTGTTCCCGGGTCAGCTTTTACGACAAGGAAGCTAAGCAGTTGGCTCTAAATGTGTTCAGGACATTGCGTAAGGAGGGCAGCAGAAGTGCAAGCATGAGCTCTCTCATTAAGAGAACGGCTGAATTCACAACGTCAGCGAGCGTTCGCTGCACAAGTGGGTAGTGGAGCACGATAAGCATGGCGAGGCACTGGGAATAGAGCCATCATTTCTTATCGAACCCGAGCGGCACCTCGCATGCCCATAGGCTTGCGTATACGAAATCTGATGAAGCGTGGCACTTTCATATTCAATTTGGCTAGTGCGGCGCTTTCCACAGAAACATGAGCCACAGATCCCTATCTCTCAATTGTCTACATGCAAGTATCTCGAAGACGCGCACTTTTACGGAGCCGAGGAGAATATTTAAACGCTTTCACAATTACAGCTCATCTCACTACGCAGTTGCACAGTGTCCCGAGATGCTCTTGCCGCTTTCGCTGCAGCGCACGTTGCTGGCAGACGACAGGGCACGAAAGGATACACTTAGATGTGCTCGCCCTCCTGATTAGTTGAGAAGGCCTGTAGCTTCCACAGTGCTGCACGGAACTTCTGGAACAGAGTATATCTCTTGTCCATTGTGCTGTTCAACATCATGAAGCAACGCCAGAAAGATGTGACCGGACGACACTCCATGCGCATGCTTGTTCACTCCATGCGCATGCTTGTTCCTGCGCTTTCCAGACGATGCATTGGCAGAAATAGCCAGGCAGACGGAAAACTTTGCCCTTCAGCAAAAAAGCACACGGTCGAGCCGCCCATTGAGCTACTCAGCGGCTGTGGCCGGCTCCAGCTCAACCAGGCCATCAAGAGCTGCGGACAGCCCACCGCATCCTCCGGCCCCTCCTGTCAACCGTAGCCCTGGTAAGTTAAGTTGTGGGCACGGTGTAAGATAACACAGGAGAGCAAACTCTGCCACCGCACAGTGCATTCACTCAGTACAAACTTTGCACCACTCACGACGCATAGCAATGTCTGTCAAGGTACATAGAACTCATTCAACGACCTGTTCTCTCAAGCGCATGTGACTATAAGTAGGGGGGGGGGGGGGGGGGGGGAGCGGCAAACGGGGATCAGACGACAAAATGCATAGCCAAGCAAATGCAGAAATGTGGCGAAGCAGGACCATGCACCATTGCCATAGCAACGGCAGAGAGAACCTGTGCTTGTGGCTCTGGTTGAGGACTGGCATCTCTGTTCTGCGGCTCTTTTTCATTCGTAGTACCATCTAGAGAACATACTGTAAAGCATGAATCAGCATTGCAGAATGTGTCCCTTTCAAATGAGTAGAGTCGGCTCTGCGGTCTGATTTTTTTTTTTTTGGGGGGGGGGTCATGGATGGTCGTAGAAGCTCACGGTTTTGAGAAGGGGCCAAATATAATAAATCTCGGTTATTAGATCTGCTCATATGCACACCCACAAACTAAATACGTCCAAATTAACGAGAGTTTTGTGCCGTAGGTGTATGCATATGTTTGACAGGATCAGATAGCACGTCAAATTGAGTGTGTTTCCTAATCAAAGGTGGTCATAATAAGCAGATTTTACTGCACTGCTTCTTGCTCAAAAAACCTTGGTCGCCTTAAAACTGCTTCGCATTTCTTTTCATTCATGAATCACCTCCCTCCACTTAGTTATGTGTGGAAAGAAAACTGTGCCTCGTTGGGAGCGGACAATGAATACAAAAAAAAAAAAAACATTTATGTCGCATAGTTCATTATGTCGGGGTTTGTTGCATTGGTGTTCAACTGTGTAATTTGTTGCTACTTGCACGTCTGAGAATAGTCCTGTTTGTTTTTCTTGGCTTCTGGTATTTCCTGGAAGACAACTACTGGAATCGTTCGACTTTAGAGATAAGGCTTCCTTTTAGGCACCTACTTTTAAAATCTGCCATGATGGAGCTGCGTAGGGAACACCTGGCGCCTTGAGGGGCTCAGCTTCAGACCTTTGATGGAGCCTTGTGCAAAGGTCTCTGGCCTCATTTTGCCCGTCTTCTCACGTACAGGTGTTGTAGGCCAAAAGCCCGCTGGGCTTGCTGTGGAGCCTCCGCTGAAGTCGAAATCTGCTTCGCTTGGCCATTCCTGGGATGCCATGAGTAGGGCACTGCCTGACCTTCCAGTCGACACGTATTCCTTAGCAGATAAACCGAAGGAACCTTGGCTGGAAACACCGGATCCGAAGCAGGAAATTGCGCCTGTGCTTAGAAGTAAGTACTGAGTGCCAACGTGATGCACTTCTGTTATTTCTTGCGATGGGCCATCTTTATTTCCACTGTGACATTATGAAATTTTTTGTTTTTCTGCGTCAGTGTTCAAAAACTCTCTCTCTAGCAGTTGCAGCTACTTAGGGAATAGAGTAGATTCTTTGAGGTAGTTGGTTATGCACATTCTGGAATGAATGAGTGATGTGAAACAAAATAAAGGGGGAAAATGGGGGTGGCACGAGTGTGTATAGAAATGTCAAAAGACAGGTTGTACGAACATGGACACAAGAGATGTCAAGACACTGCAATTGCCACAGATGCAGTGTTTTAGATGTCTTGACTTCTCTATTCTGTCCTTGTTTGCACCCCTTGTCTTTTAACATCAATACATATAAACGAGCTCAGCTCTCTGTTATTCTGTGCAGGAGTATATCTGTCATACACTCGTTCTATGCTTTTTGGTACCTATTGTAGAACCATTGCACAGCTGGTGATGGGATGAAAAATAACTCTCAACGATAATACAAAAAGTCAGCTGTAATAAAGTACGGGGCAATCAGAGGTAGCTGATTACTATTGTTACGATTGGAATGAAAAGGCATGGTAGGAAAGACATTGTAACATGTCATGAAAATAACTATCCTCTGGTTGTTGCCAAGATACTGGAAACACCGTGAGTGATGGCAGAGAAGCAATATTGGACTGGGTAGGTTAGGAAACCTCTAGTTGGAATAGATAATTATGAGAGGGAGTTGGCTGAAGCCCATCAAGAGAGGCCTTCATCTTGTCATTAAGTTCATTTAGGCTGACGAAATGTGGCGGTGAACCTTCACGTTGTTTCTGTTGCAGATATGTGTGCCTCCTTCTCTCCGGGCAACCTGCGGACAAGCAGCACATATTCTGTACCTTCTCCCGACGCTACCTACAGTCCGTGGTCAACGCCAAGGCCCACGCCTACAGACTTTGCTTCTCCATGGAAGGGCACAGCGGCCAACAACCCACCAGTTGGCATGGTCCCTACAAGCCAGTGGGGTGCCCCAGATGTGAGAGCGCCCTCAGCTCACAGTGAAGCCGACCGCTGGGCACCCAGCGCAACACAGCGTCCCATTGGATCTGGTGATACCACTGTGAGTCAGCTTTGTGAGGCCTTTTTGCACATAATGAATCATCTTTTGTAATAGTGCTCATTGTAGTTAAAAATCTGATGATAATTTATCGTCTTACATGCTTAATTTCGAAGCTGCGTTGTCAGAGATGTCCTCTCGCAGCACTTGATATTCAGTGATATCAAGGGCACTTTAAATCGAGCACCTCTTGAAGGCATGGGGAATGAGCACCGCGGGAATGCTGGTCCAAGCCGTGGCAATGCATGTGCACAGCATCGCTGGCAAGGCCCATTTCAGTCATCCTGCAGGCATCACTTTTGGTTCTCTGAACCTCATCCATTCCATATACAGTTGAACCCCGCTGCAATGAAACTCATGGGGTGCGGAAAATATTTCGTTGAAGCGAAAATTTCGCTGTAGTGAAATTGAAAAAATATAGCTGATCTGAGCTAGCAAAACAAAGGAACGTTTATTCTTCAAATTAAAAAAAGTGTCCACTGCTTCCTATTCTTTCCCAGCAGCGTCACGACGCAATTCACAGTCATGCATAGCGAGGCCATGGTTAAAATGACGCTGAAACAACGCCTACAGCCGCTTTCGTAAACGTACCAAACAGTTGCATTCACACATTTACACCAGCAGCTGTCCGCCGTCTAGTGTATCCGACAACGCCGAGATGGAGACAGGGTATCATGGAGTGGTGGCTTTTGCCTTATTCTATACCATTCTTATCATCCATCACTCGTGGCTAGCTGATTTGGTTGATAATGCGAACGAACAGCTGCTCTGATTAGGTACCACACTGGCCAAGTGCGAATACAATGATAAGTGTTGGAATCGGAAAAGGCATCGCTCTGCCCAGCAGCTGCGTGAAGGAAACCATGAACTGAGCGACTGAGCTTCAGCTTCGGATCGTTTGCGGCTCAAAAGCAAGCCAGTGGCAAAAGCAGGGCCATCCTCCATGCTGCAGGGCAGTCTCATTGCCATCGCTTTTGAGCAATGGAGGCGCCGATGCTTGCTGAACAGCGACGGTTTCTGGTGGTGCCAAGAAGTGTTTTAGACTTTGTCGATGTATTTTCAGGTTCGCTGATTGCTTCAAAGTGTCAAAGATTGGGTTTCCTGTATAGCAATAAATATCTGAGCCCGGAACTGCATCGTGAAATTTCGTTGAAGCGGGATGGCAGTAGAAAAAGTGTTCGTTGTGGCGGCAATATTTATGCATTGACTCCTATGGACTGCTGACGGGGAACCATGAATTTTTTTTAGCAGAAATTTCGTTGAAGCGGCGTTCAGTGTAGCGGGGTTCGACTGTACAGGCACTTTATGTGGTTCTTAGGTGGTTTATTTAGGCACATGTTGAGCGGTTGCAGCTGGGATGTCATCCCGCGATGAACACACTGTGGGAGTCGTGCAGCAGTCAATTCACAGAGGTGTCACCAAAACGCGTCGAACACAAGTGTCAATAGAAGCTCCAGCAGTACTCCGTTGCTCCCGAACAAAGCCTGTCAATGTATCTTCAACGTTGTAAAATGCTCCATTTTTCAGCCCCTAGAAACTTCTCGGGTCACTGCGCACAAGGAAGGCTTCCTCCCGTTTCCCAACCACGAATTCTTCGCTTGTTTATGCTGAACTGCCGCTTCGCAGTAAGGTTGCCAATGGTTTCAGCTGCTGAGGCCACCTTAGCCAAATATACTGCCTTTTTTGTTTCTCACATGGCGCAATATCATGACCATCATAATGTGCGCCAAGTAGTTGCAACCACGGCTGATACATGTAGAACTAATGCTGCATAACACAGAAGCATGATGATGATGATGATAGCACTGCACAGTGCCCAAACACAAACTGTGAATCCAGCTGAAAATTTTTGGGATTCGCGTATAGCATGAGGCATAAATTTTGCATCATAAAATCTAGGAAAAGAAAGTGTGGACTATATGCGGACTAATGTTTCATTTCTGAATGGTATTAAACCTCTGGAATCTGGAAAGGCAAATGGTAAGCCTACAGTTGAACTCGGATATGGCGAATCTGAAAGAGATCACAGAAAGTTTTGTTATATAGTAAACGCTCATGAATTTTTATTTAACCAAACTGTTGGACAATGTGTGAATTAACTGAATGCCAAATTATCAAAAGTATCTAGAAAGCAATAAACATGTCTGTTATATCAATACACTTTCATTTTCTTGATACATAAATTCTGTACTTATTGCATAAGAGCAATGTAGAAGCCACCATTTTCGTCAACGTGCGAGCTTGTTCACAATGCGACGATGGCGGGCTCCTGTGTTTAATTAAATTAACTCAAAACACGCTCTGCACGCCTCTCTTATTACATATATCGCTGCCGCCACCACTTACCACACACACGGGCAATAGTTGTTTTGTGAGTGAAATGGTCAGCTACGGATGGTTCAGTAAAACTTGTTGGGTTAGTTGGTGCATGCTACAATAAAACCAGACGCTGCAAACTACCGAGATGGATAGGCGAAACACAGTTGGCCTAGCCCCAACATGAAGCAGTGCTCAGAATTCGCATTAGGCAGTATCATATTCATTGTTGAATTTTTTATTTCACTATCAGAGATGGTTGTCACTACTTAATTGGTAATTAAGAAGTTCACATTGCTGGAAAAACTCCTTTTTGCTCACTAGCAGAGAAGATCGTAGAGTACATCATTGGTAAGAGGCGACATTGGCCTAATTGAAGATGGGTGACATAATTGGCAGGAGGTTTATATAGTTCATGTTAGGGCCTGATGAAACCTGTAATTAAAGCATTGTGAAATGCATGTGTTGTGAGGTTCTGCCTTGCAGGTGATACCAGGCAGGATGATTTGCAAATGGAAACATTTGTCGTGGTAGGGTGGGGTTAAATTGCAAGATGGCATGCAGAAAATTGACCAAAGCAGTGAACGACACTATTCTGGTGAACATTTATGTGTACGCTGAGCATTTCACTCCAGTAAACAAAATTTTAACAAACTAATTGTTTGCACTCCTGCACTGGCCTTCTAGGGTTTCATATATATACTTTATGTTGTATCTATCTCTTGAGCTTGTACCGTGAATAGTGGAAGAAGCTTTTGTAATCAATATGAAATGCTTCTGGCTGTCGATGGGGATTAGGGAAAGCTGATAAAAGAAACTTGCTGGTGATGCCATGATGCCCTCCACTCTCTTTTTGTGGTTCTTAAGGCCAATGTCCGCACCCCATTGAAGCTTGTACAAGAACCCTGCAGGGCCTATGATGCTCTTTTCAGTTGCCCTAGAGGCCATGGCATCTTACAGCTCTAGATTAGTTGCAGTACATGCTTATTGTATGGTACATGTATGAGAGCATAGATTTGGCCTTTGTACGTAGGCACGTTCAATCTTGCTGAAACACTTCGGAATGCCTTCATTGTTTGAGCTTATAGTCAGCAGCCCACATGGTATTGGCTTGACTTCATATTATGAATGTTACCACCAGCTGTCAGTCATTATGAGGGCTACTAGAGTAATCTATTTCCTACTGTCCTTCCTCCGTCCCTTTCTTTCTCTCTCTCTCGTTATTACTGCAGCGAGCGAAGAGAAGCTCAGGGAGAAAGGTAAGCCATATCAAAAGATCACAGGTTGTCATTGTGAAAGAAATTTACTCATTATTTTTTTCTTTAACTTATAATTATAACAGGCACTTTCTGTAGTGTCGGACTGTAGTCAGCCCTCAATATCAGTGTGTCAATTCTCTGACAGGCCATTTAAACCGGTAGAAGAATTTTTTCTGGCATGTCAGATATACTGTATTTTTGTTTCACCTAACCACAAGTTTTGCAATACCAATGCTTGTAATGAATATTGGATATATTGTAGGTATTTTGATATCAGATGTGTCTCCATTAAAATTAAATTGATTTTCGTGTGCATTTCATTTCTTGAGATAGTAAGGGGCATCAATGTATATTTATTAGGAACATATAGCTTGTATGCATACTTTTTAATGTTACTGTGTTACTGGAATACCGTATTGCGTTTACCGTGTTACTATAAGGCATGTTTTAGAACAGTTTCAGCTCCCCACATGTAGACCTTTACACACGTATGCTAAACATGATACCTCTATGTTTGTACAAACCACTAAATGGTGATAATTGCATTTAAACTATATTTGATTTAAATAAGATGGAAACATCGCTATGGCAAAATCATAAGAGGATTTTAGGCATACAGTATTCTGCAAAGAGGTGCAAAAATAATGGGCTACTGCACGATATTGTTGACATATTGTGCAACTACAGTCATGGACATGTTTGTTACCACTAAGCATCCATGAGGGGGAAAAAATATTGAAAAGGCAACTCATTCATAATTTATGCGGCTGCAAGGCATTTATTTACACCAGAAGTAGAATGCACTATATTTATGCAATAACGATTCTGTGCTTGCCTGGATCATCTTGACCCCTCTAGATGGCGCCACCTATCTCTGCCAAGATTGGGCTTTAGGCCTCTTACGTTTACGGCTTCGGTATTCTAAGCATCTTATATTGCTCTAGCTTTGGTAAGGCCTCTGAAACAAGGTGACTGCAATTTGCACTCGTACTTTAGCTTATTTTCAAGTGACGCCGGAAGTCTCCGCAAAGCGGACATCACGCGTAGCTACGAACAAAGGTGGATTAGAGAAGTAAGGCCGTAAACGTAAAGCCTACCCAACGAGTAGTTTACGTTTCGTAAGAAGTCTACATTCCATAAAGGCCTGCTCATATGCAGATTTCTTCTGGTATTCGGTAACACGGTAACATAAAACAAGATATGTACAAGCTTTTGTACAAGATAAAAGTTCCTTTTGATGCAATGCACATTGTCCCATTTGCCACTTCATGTCAGCTGCTTAATTGTCATTTTTTTTTTTTCTTTATTTCCCACTATAGTTTTCCGTACTCTTTTTTTCTTTTTAATATGTAGGTTTTCTTGGGTGTCCTTCATAAGAACTTACATTGAAACATTTCATGCATTTGTTGTTTGGCTACTCTTTAACACTGATAGGCTGATAGGCTTGTGTAAATGTGTGGTCAGTCACATGGGGCTATAAGTTCTCCAAACTGTTCTCCAAGCACATCCTTAGGATGTGATGACAGGTCACGCAATTACTCATGATTGTGGACATCAACTGTTGAAATGCCCTTGCTGCCATATTCACTGTAGCCTGATTTGAAACACTGGATTGCGCATATTCAACACAGGACCGAGAAAAAAACATTGATGCACAGGACAAGCGCTTGGCCTTGTCTTTGCTGTCAATGTTCAGTAAAAATTTCACAGTAAGAAATGAATGTGTGCGAGTTTAACAGTGTACGTGTGAATGTTCTTACCTTAAGTGAGTGCTGCTGCAGTTTTTTTTTCTTCTTATTTTTACAGTTAGCCTTCATGCAAGGTAAAAAATGTAAAATAATAAGTGTCGATAATTATGTTTCAGAACCTTTTATGGGAACCGGCACCGACACCAGCAGCGCCAGCAGCCGCATTACCATCTGTGTGGGGCTCTAGCTGGTGGGGCAACAACTCTGTAACGTTGCCTTCCCAAACGTCGCCATTGTCGCCAGGCGGCTTGCCCCTGGCGGACACATCACCCACCGAATCCATGTCCAATATGGTGTCGTCTCTAGGCATGGACTCCCCAGATGCCAACTTGGACCCAGCGGCATCTTTTGAAAATGTGAGTTGCAGCTGCCGCTGCTTGTAACCAGGCACAGTACTATAGCACCCCGCCTTCCGATTCTGCTTCATGGAATACCACTGTAATATCCTCAGCAAATTTCCCTGCCCAAGCAAGTGCCCCCTCCCACCATTTTCACTATTTTAGTGACTGTTTTTGTCTGATAAGGGCAAATGGAAACGATGAGTGCGTGCGTATTCAGTAACATATTTCATTATAAGCATGGGTGGTTTGCATTTTTATTTTTAGTGGCTTTTCCTCTGTCATTTTGAATTTGATCCATGACTGACCAAGGGCGCCGTTCTAAATCTTGTCGAATTATGCTTCATGGTAGGGGGAGCATTTGCTCAGAATTTTACGGTATATTTTACTTAGGTGGATGCAGTGGACTCCTCTTAAATGGAACTCAAAGGGGCAAGAAAATTTGTTGCATTTATTAGAAGTTTCATTTAAGCAAAGCCCACGAAATGAATGAAATATGGCTTTATTTCAACATCACCAACTGTGGCTGACTGAACAGAAACATTTTGAAGTACGCAATACTACTATAGTTGATTAGAAAGAAAAACGTTTCTAATATTGCTGACTCAAAAAAAAAAGGAAGTGATAACAATTTGCTTGGCCTTGTTCAAGCACTTTCTCACATAGTAGGAGTGCATTGCTGAAAGGCTGGGCAGGAACTCTGTGCCACCATCGTGTTCAAAGTAGCACTGCAACAGGATGACAGCATCTCCTGGAGCACTGTCAGCCACTAAAATGGGCTCGAGATCGCACACTATCTCATTACCCCTTGAGCACAAGTCCTCATCTTGAACTGGAACTATAGGTTCCTCAAGGCTGTCTCCTCGAGTTCACGGCGAGACATTGATTGCTTCTCAATATGTGCGGACATGTCCAATTGCTGGATTGGCTTGGCTAGGCTAGCTTTGAAAATGGTTATATGGTTGCTAGACTGCCGTGGCCCTCTCTGCTGTTCATGGCTTTTGGCCGTTTTAGTTTCATTTAACAGATGAAAGCTATAAAAAATGTTCCGATTACCCAAAACTTTTTATCATTAAATATATAGGAGACCAAACAATTATGCCTAGATAGTTTCATTTATGCGGCTTTTTCATTTAACCGAGTTTCGTTTATTGGGATTCTGCTGTACTTGCAGCCTTTTTTGTTTAGGTTAGACGTTTCTGCATGCGAATAGATGGTTAACGTTGTAAAGCAGCGTAAAACAACAAACATTGAGTAAGCATGATCTTGATGAAAACCAACAGGCAATCAAGTGAAGGAATGTTTAGAGGACATTACTCGTATTGTTTTAACTGTATTTCTTATTAGAAAGTCCTAGTTAAGCAGGCTTAACGAAATAGTGGGATTGGAACATGCATGCGCTGTTCATTAGAAGACCCATAGTGTTTACCGTATGCACGCCATCTTTCAGATTTAGTTTCACCATGTTTGCATGGTTTACATAATGTACATAAAACGTGAAGATGGTTTTGGACACAAACTTCTTTCATAGCAAATAACTCTGTAAAATGGCTTCACTTGCCTTCAGGTAGCTTCGAAGAGCGAGTATTACGGATAACTTAGCCTTGTTTTTACAGTTTCTCTCATGTCAAACGTCCCTAGGCCTAATTAGAAGATCGATTTAAGCAAATCTGCAACATAAAAATTTGCACTTTTCATGTATGGCTTATATTTATTTACTTTTATTATTACTAAAGAAAGTAGTAATCTTGCTGTGTGCAGAAATACAGGCAAACATTCATCTTCCACTAGGCGACTCCACCGTCTCAGCGTGGGCACGTTAACTCTATCCGGCTAAACTAAAATGCACTGGCCGCAACAAACGTTTGAAACACGGTAACACTATTCTCTTAACACACACTATCACACTAACACTATACTATAACTGTCTAATACTAATAAATGTGAAGAAATTCCTTATTTTTCGATCACACATCGAGTAGAGCTGCAATACTATATATGCCATTTAATTGGTGTAATCATGCTAGAAGTAGTGGCAAAGTACTGCACCAGGGAGGCCAATTCTGCTATGGTGAGGGAGTGCATTACATGCTTTACCATCAGGTGGTTGCCAGTGGGGTTGCACCCCAGACCCTTTGTATATGTATGTATATATATATCTATATATATATGCAACTTAGCGGTTTTCTTAGTTTTATTTCCTACGGTTTTGACTGGTGCACCGGTCTTCACAGGGTTTGTGAATCGGTAACGAAGCACAAGACCAGGTTGATTGACCGATCATTGGAGAGGCCTTTTCACCTACAGTGGGTGTAGTCAGGCTGATGATCATGATGACTACATATTTAACATATTGTCTGGGGTATAAGACACTTTTTTCTGCATTTTTTCCGCTGCATCTTATATAATATACACACAAAAAGTGATGCAATTCTGCAAGATCAATATGTCGTTATTTCATTCATGAGTACAATAAACTGAACACGAGAGCATTTGTGAAAAGATATTTAATCTGGTTATAACAATGAAGCGACTATGGTTTCAAATGTAATCTACTTGCTATTCAAACACTGGCGACCATGGAGATTATGGCCACAATAAAAGCTACCATCGTTACACAAACCTCTGTATTTTTCGGATGGTTTGTTCTAGTAAATTAATCATTAAACCCATGGAAGATACATTAAATGAAGGGCACCATAATATTCCATTGTAACATTATAGTGCCTGCAATAATAGTTGCAGAAATTAAAGTACCACTTGTTATCATCATCATCATCATCAGTTTTCGCATGAGACATTGCTCCAATCCCGCAGTAGTCACAGCTTCTGGCCACCATTTAGGTTTTGTATACGTGTGTAGAGGTGTCAGACCTGCACACACGTGTAGGTGTTTGTGTTCTACCAACCCTGATAATGATGTAGAGACAATGCCAACAATGTGCTCCAAGGTGCCTTCAATGCTGTGTAAGAGAGTTACTTGGAGGCGGACGAAGGCAACCCTGCAATGCTGGCAACCAAGGCAGAACTTCTGATAGTGCACAGAAGAATGCGGCTCCGAATATTGTGGAATAAATATTGATTTTCTGCTCCACAGGACAGGGTTATTTACAAGTTTTACACTGCTGCTTACAGATATCCAATGGTGCTGCGCATGAATACGCATTTTGCAGTGACCATATTCTGCGTGCGTTGTTTTGTTTTGTGATGCTCGCAGTGTCAAAAATGGGTGTGCTTTATACAAGGGTGCGACACCAGAAAATATGTGAAGAACGGGGTTCTCTGTTTTTCATTCAGGAATTGGCATACTTTCCTTTTTTTCTGTATTTGCTTGTTGGGATTCTTCACGTTTGTAGTACATCAATGCAGACATGGCTGAGATCGTAAGAACATCAGTTGTTAAGTGTAGTGACAAGCTTGCACTTGTCCTCCTTTCAGCTAAACCCAAGTGGCCTTGGGTCAGCGCTTTCGCACAGCATTTGGACACAGCAGCAGCCGACTGGCATATCGCACCCATGGCATGTCTCGACCAACTACAGCCTGTTCCAAGACAGCCCAACTATGCCAGTTGGCCAGCCCCCAGTGGGCAGCAGTAATGGAAGCAGCTCAGTCAAGGGTCGGCATCATGCCCCTTTGGGTTGGCAGGACAAAGAGTCCTAAACAGAGAGAATGCCCACCGCTCCCAGCGCGCACACACACCCCAGCAATACTTCCACAAGCCGTTAACTTGTGTTCTGCTCACTACCTGTTCGTTCGTTTTATTTGCACTTCTCTCGTCATTTGTACAACTGACCATTGCCAAATTGCAACGAACGACTTGGGACTGGGCGTAGTTGTACAGTGCCAAAATGTTGTTCGAGCGGCTGGTATAATTATACGACGCAGGCTGTCTGTTCTCTTCGCATTATGTCTGCACAATCAGTTCTTCATACGAATGCTTCACCTCGTGGGCATTTCACAAAAAAAGTTAAAAAGCTGCACCATGCTGGCTTTGATGGCGATTTCTAGTTGCTCGTAACCGCCCCCGAGTGAAAAAATGTTTGCTGTTCGTAGATGTTGCTGTGCGTGTTTTGACCAGTGTAAGAAAAACAGTTTGTCAGTAAGGATCGGAACCGATGTGCTAGGTGTCGAAGTAAATCTCGCTTGTAGCACATGACTAAAATGCCTTACTTATCACCCTTACACCTTCAGCTAGAGGCTTGTGTTGTTTACTCAGCTGTACTCCAATGTGCGTTTCCAAAAACAAGGTAAGAAGCATAGCACCAGACTGGTTACTCTGTGCCAGCTGCCAAAAATGTTTACTCGTTTGATACGCTCAGTTTACCCTGTATGCTGCACAAAATGAGATCATGGTAGTACATCGCACATCTGTGGTTGGGGTGTTCATACTATGTGGGAAGCGTGAAGACAAAGAAGATATCTGTAGCAGCTGCTTCACTCACTTGCTTTTCACAAGACGTGCCATTCTTACTACTTTTAGTTGGTCTTATCACAATTTTTTTTTCTTCGTCTCTATTGCTAGGGGTGCACACACTCTTATCCATCTCGCACCCATTTATAAGCAAATGACATTGTTTGACTAGCCCATAGTTTTAAGTTCAAAGTGTGGCAATAAATTAAATGATGGAGGAAACAGGAGTGTTGTTTCGTTAGTTGTACGTGTTGTGGTGCGTTTGCTCTATTTTTTTTACTTGACCTTGCGTATCTTGCATTGCTTGCTGATAATCCCTCTAAAGACTTCTGATTTTTTCTGTCTTTGAGTACTGTCTCATTATTTATTGCAGACATTGAAGAAATTTGTTTGTTAGCCGACGCAATTGAATGTGCTCTGTTGCACTAGGTCATGTGGTGGTTCACTGGAAGGAGCAACACATGAATTCATTGGATGCACTTGGTTCTTTAAACGGCCCTGCGGCGATATGTGTGCCTCAACAAATGAGGCTGAAGCTCTTTCCTTCAAAATTCGTGCTATTTTCGTTCGAGTAGCCAGCAAGACACGCGGAGACTTGGGCTCACACATGTTGTGCATTTGTACGTCAGCTTTATGCAGAGTACCCTCTGCTTTTTACAGTGGCCTTATGCTCATGTGATACTTCTCACAGTGGACCACCTCACATGCTGAAGCAGCATAATGTTGACTGGCGCATTTGGCAAAAAAGAAAAAAAGTTAATATGTTCTGCAAAACACATTTGTGTGTTTAATCCTGGGCTTGTTGTACTGGGATTTCATGAGCAGCAATGTAGCAATGTTTTCAGCCAGTGAAAATTCTGCACACAGTTGTCCTTAAACTCACTACTGTATATTTTTTAATTATTCTAAAAATACTTGCAAGCAAGGGTTACCTAGCTTGGAAATATTTGTGTACAGTTTAGTACTATTTAAGTTTGGTAGAAAGTGTGAAGTCTGAAGAGGGCTGCTGCACATGTGGTGCTGCCATCAAACCAAAAGAGTTATTACATGGCATTTAGTACGTGTTGTGCAGGTTTACTTTATTTGACTCGCAATCCTGTTTGCTTGCATTTTAATATTTTGAAATTAACTTTCTTTTTGTGTTTGTGAGGTGTCTGAGTGAACACCTCGTTGTTGCCTAGTCAAGGTTTGCAGAGTTTTAGTGATAAGAGTGGCTGTTGCAAAAAGCATCAGTTTATAGTACATTTGCATAACGCAGTTCCTGTTTGTGGCAAATTTTTAATGTTATTCTTTTTTTTTTCTTTTGATCAGTTTATCAGCATCACTTGCAATTTGGGGCGCAAACACTGTAATATGCTATTAGCTCTATTTTCGCACATTATGTTAATGCTTTTCCAGGACATGAAATTTATTGTATCCTTAAAGACATCAGGTGAGATGTATTTTAAAATTAATTATTATTCACACTGTTCTATTGTCTTTCACCGTAATTGTATACATTTATCATCAGAATAGATACAAGACTGACGTTCAATTCCTTTGCCCGCTGATTGACCATTGTGATTTTCTTCAGGTATTGTAATTGGCAAGCAAAGAAAAAGAAAGGGGAAGGAGAGGTCTGTTATTTACAGCTTGCAAAGGAAATTTCATGCCTCTATTGTAGACCTATGGATGTTGCATTCTGCAAAGTTGTTTCAATTGCTTTTTGGAAAAGATTATTTTTTATCATTTGGATCATTTACATTGTTACAGCTTCTGCCAAAGCAGTGTGCAGAGTCATGTTTTATCATCATTCAACAGAAATATATCAGATTTTTGTCTAGTAAGCACATAAAGAAAATTTGGAGCAGCCTCTACTCTTGTGTTAAAGTGTTATACCTTTAGCCGTGTGTGCTCAAGTTGAGGATACACTCGGGCCCGTTGGCCTTTTTGTAAAGCACTGCCAGAACAGCTGTTTCCTTTTTTTTTTTTTTGTGACTGCAGCAAACATGCCTTGCACAGAACACCTTAGAGTTTTCCCTACTTAACTGTGTGGTCCTTTGTTCTCTGTGTAGCGGTGGGCTTGTGGCGAGAAGTGTACAAGACCCTTCCTGTTGGCACCTGTTTTTTTTTCCTGTGCTGGAGTAAATTGACGTGTGCTTAATGCTGTGTTAGAGCAAATATGCCCTGCTCCCATGTTTAAAAAGAAGAAAAAAGCAAAAGAAATATCAGACCTGTTTGGCTGTTGCAGTTGCCTAACATGGTCAACACTGCCGCCCGCTGTGCTGTTGTCAGTTCAATGTTTGCAGAGTTCCTTCTAAAGAAAACAGAAATTTCTATCCAGACTTCGTTATTGGCTCATAGAAATAAAGAGAGTCCAACACCAGTTACTTCTCGAATTCTTTTTTTTTTCCTGTCTCAAGTTTGCCGAGTGCCCTTGTGACATAAGCATGTCATTTTGACCTCTTGTCCTGGTAATCTCAGTGCTTTTATATCAGGATTCAATACTACACGTTTTATAGTGCTACAGAATGCAGGCAGAAAAATGTTCCTTTGTCCTTTAAGTATGCTACATGGGTATCTCACTTGCACTTTTAATGGTGATCTATTTCTGATCAGGGTCTTTCTGGACCGTGCTTTGGTCCCTACCGCATTGTGCACAGACAAGCCAATGGAGATCAAGGAACTCAATCCTGATGATGGAAGCGCAAGGGCTGTTTGAGCAGTTTTGGGTTATTCTTGATGCAGAAGAAAGGAGTGGTAAAGAAACTAGCCCACAAACAAGAGACAAAGGACCGATACTCAGAGACCCCAGGACATGAGCTCCTGACCTGTGTGTCCTTAGCACTCCATTGTTCTGCTGAACCTTTTTACAGTGGTACTGGAGACCAGCAGGGATTGAAGGTGACGGCAGTTTTTTGGAAAGCGATGACATAAATCACAACAGCAGCTCATGACCATGGGTGCCAATCCCACCACTGGAGTACTCCGTACGTTAATTGCTGATCAGGACAGCTAGGACCAGCTCTTGCTGCTTAATATTCACCACAAGTTTTAGTTGCCACTTCACTGCTAGCCATCAACCTACTGTATCCCAGCTGCAAGCAGTTTTCACCTGTAGCACATCAGGTCAAGGTTTCGTTTTGAATGCAAATAGAGCTGGTAGTTTCCAGCACAACTGGAAATGATTCCGGATCAACCTTGGCTGGTACCAGTCGCACTGTCCCAACCAGAACCATGGCCTCCAACTGCTATTCCTAACTGGCACCCGTTGCTTCCAGTTCAATCCCAGCTTGAACCAACTGTCTCGAACTGGGACCAGTTGCCCCCATTTCAACCGGAAATGTTTCCAGTTATACCCGGCTATAACCACTTTGCTTCCAGTTGAAACCAGTCAATTACAGTTAAAACCAGTTGTATTCGCAATGAGTAGTATCAAATCTGTATTCCAAATTTCCTTCTTTGTCATCGATCGAAGTTAAAGTTCATTGGCATTGGCATGTTTAAACATTTTTAATTCAGGTGGCAATCCTAAAGGTAGAGATGAGAAAGGATTTAGGAGTTAACATCTTCCACAGAAATATGTCTGGATGTGTAAATAAATATACTTGTAAAGTAAGAGGTGACTCTCCAGCTAAGTTTTGTTTTAAAGAACGATAGCTATATTTTTCTTCACGGGGACTGTTAATGGTGGTCTGATTATTGGAATTACTCTTAATTGGTCTTTGCCGAGTGTCAATTATACCATTTATGCTGCCATGGACACGAAAGAGCAGACAATATGGGGTATAAAGGGGATACAATGTTCTGTGGAAGCTTTGTTACTGGATGTACATACTACCTTCAGGCGCTGCGCCATGCTTCCTACCAGGCTGCAGAAATTAGGTGCCTTCTTCTTCTAACCACTACCACCACCACGTGCTACCGTCAGAGAAAATACACAGCAACTGCTTTAAAGTCTCTAGTTTTTTTTAGGGACTTTAAACAGCTTGAGTACACACGCCACCGAGCGCTGTGTGGGGGAACCTTTCTGTCCGTCAGAAAAATTGGTGGGTGCCCGACTTAGCAGTTCTGGAAATCAAACCTAGCATGTCCAGCATGGTCTTGGAGTGGTGCGAGCAGTACTTTGAAGGTGCGTCATTGAAGCAATTAACGATCATGTTTGACAAAAAAATAATTGATACCAGGCACTTGCTGTTGGAGATAACTGAGTTTGACCTCTACACCAAGATTCATACTGGCGAGCGGCCATTCCATGGCTTCAAATGCTTCAGCCAAGCTGTAAAATCTCTACCTTTGTTAGAGTACTGCCGTTGATCCTCTCCTTTACCTTCTCTTGCTCTTTTAAGCCTAATGGGTTTTGTTTCTTTCGCTTGTGCAAAGAAAACGGTTATTGCACACCATCTAAAATTTGAAGTAGCAGCAGTATCCTTGAGTGAACCCATCATCTCAGTTTTACCAGATACGGCCTACGTGACAGCGTTAAGGTTCAATTTAAAGATTTCGGGCATTTAAGGCATTGCTGGAACTAACAGTGGTGTGTATCTCGCCAGTTGGAAATTACTTATACCAGATTGCGCTGTGCAGTTCCTATTACTTGAACAAAGCTGGACTCGAGGTGTCCCCGTTGTGTATTTTTTGCAACGTAATTGAAAGAATTGAACATTTCTGTTTATTCTGTCGACATTATTATCAGGAAAAAAGATTCCTGAAAGCCCCATTGCAGAAGTTAGGAATAGGAGTAAATGTTACAGTACTTAATCACTTGTTGGCACTTGATTGGGTTTCTACCACAGGGATGTATGCTCTACTGTGTTCGACTACATCAAGGCAACAAAAAGATTACCATGCTAGTCTATTCACACTTTTCAAGATCTTAAAGTTTATAATTTGTAGTTATGTCGATCAGGAACAAGAGATGGTTTGACCACTTGCCCAGCAACCATTTTTATTTATTTGCAGTTTTATCTCTAAACTAATTTTTCAGACTGGTTTTAACTTCATTTAGGTACCCTGCCGCCCGGTTCTTAGCCCATCCTTCATTGTGAGTGAGTGCCATCCATCTGAGGTCATCATCATCATCATGAACCGGGCGGGCCGTGGCCGACGTTCCTTCAAGCGCTGTCGTACGCGGCCGTGTACAGGCGCGTCGCGTGTGTTCTTCAGGGACAAGGACGCGCTAAGTAGGCTAGTTCGTTCATGAGCATTGTGGCAGGCGTGGATGGAAAAACGGGACAGTGAACACACGTGGACATAGCGCGATGTGTGCTCACTGCCCCGTTATTTGCGCTGTTTTTCCACAATGTCCAACATGGCGTTGAGGCAAAAAAGTCATAATATGATTCTAAGTGAAAGCGCGTGCTTTCACAAAGCTATCAAATAAAAAAGGAAGATGAACGACATGCGGCACGCGCACGCTGCAACAACGGCACGTGCGCGAGAACCCCGCCCTGCGTTCGATCTGTCTGGACCTGGAGTTGGAACATAAAGGTCTGGGTTTTTCCTTTCACTGTCCAAGCGTCGTCTCTGAAGAACGCTGGCGACACGTAGTGCCCGTAACGTACCTTGCCGCGGTAGCTCTCGGAGATGGACATCGCAGTTTTCATTCAGCGGGGTTTTAGGTTTTGCGCGCGTTGGTCGCGGTTCTTGTGTGCTCCAAGGTGTTACGGTTTCGCCTCCAGGGACATTAGCCTTAGCACATTCGCGTATGTTTTGTTAGTTTATTTCATTGCTGAGCTTCCGGTGGCGACTCGCAGCGAGCGCTGCAATGCTGGGCGTTCCGACGTTTATGGGGCAGCCTCGCACGCAGGGATCGCGAAGCATCCGCCATTGATAAGGTCTCACGTTTTGCGACGGCGCCACCCTCGCTTTAGCAGGGTCGGCGCCTAAATAAAGGTAAGGAGGGGTGGGAGGGGAGAGGGGGACTGCCCTGCCCTTTTTCCCATGGGCGCAAGAGTAAACATAGTCAAAAAACGATGCTTAGGCTACTTGTCCCCAGAACTCTGAAAAGAAAGAGAAAAATGTCCCACGCAACTGGGTCTTTTTCTTTTTATTGCGATAGCAATTATATGGACCTCCCCAGCTGGTTTTTGCCTCCGCCGCCGCCGCCGTCATGAACCATATGTGTATACGTAATCCCAAGAAAAAAAACCGCCCGCGCTCGGCACCCAGCTCGTCGCGATGCGCCAACGCGCGCTTATCTCCTACGCGTACTTTGCCCCGCAGATGGGGGTTGGGTAGGTGCTTGTGCGCGCGCGATTATTCTTCGGTGGGGGGAATCGTGTGCCTTGGCCTTTCACCGGAACGATTGCGTTAGTTGCTTGGACCACAAAGGTCACTTCGCTCGCTGGGCAGGTCCTCTTTGCATAAAGCGCTTTTCAAACACAGCCAAGCAACAACTGCGACACCTGCTATTTCGCACTCATCTGTACTTGTGATCTCGTTTTGTGCGTCGTTTTTGTTTAAACAACGCGTTAAGTGCCGAGCGGGAAGCTTTGTTAGTTTGCTCTCATCCTGTGTATGTTGTTTTCGTGCGTCATTTGTGCGTGAGCTGCATGTTTTGATCTGCTTGCCGATCTCAGCGTCACATTTCAAGTTGTTGCTATCGCATTCATTGCTTCGCCCTTGCAGCGAAACTGTGACTTCTTTAGCATATAACCGTTACTATGATTATTTGCACACATATGACCTGGTAATGGGCTTTAATTAATATGGGAGCATTATTTATTGTGTGTAGCAATTTTATTACATATTTTGTCTTCTCAACTGTCTAATAGTGTTAAGCGGACCAAGCGGGAACGTGCGATGAAAAGCCCATGAAATATAATGACAGATTGCAGCATATTGTTTTTGCGTTGTCAGCGGGATAGATCACGTTTAAAAAAAATACCTGTATGTCGCACAGTCAAATAGAAGAGCTTTCAGCTCGATTACGAAGTCGACCATGTTGCTCTGTGTAGTCCGACACTTTCATGCACGCCATAATTAGTCCTTGAAATTATAGTATGTGTATTGCTATCTATCGCCACTATATTCTGTGCTGCTTAGGGGTCAATAGAGTTGTACAGTTGGTGGCCTTTGCGGCAGCCAGTGGATTATGCAGAGTCGTGGCACTGCTGCGGGGTGCACACACACACAGTAAACTGCCGTGCACGAACACAAATGACTCTTGTGTTCACTGTTTGCAGCATGTGTTGTCGCGTGTGCATATGACTTCGTATTCACTCCAGATATAAAAATTTCGATTACAAATGTTTCACAAAGTTTCCCACATTATCATTCCATGATTAGGCACTCTGACTGATAGGCTTTCTGTTGCTCTAATGAAAATAGGTATTATAAAAATTGGTTGTTGCTTTCTTAAACCATAGTTGCCATGATTTGCCATGATCATGGTCTGCTCGAAATTTCTAGCAGCATCTAAACTTGCGTCGCATTCATCTGAGTGATGATCTGATAGCTTTCTCTGCTGCATTAGAAAAGGAACGATTTATATAGAGCTGCATTATCACGACATACTGTTTTTGTTAGTATACTTGTATGAATCTGAAGAGCAGTCTTACCACTGCGGCAGAGAGCTCAGTCCAGTGCTATTTAAATCGCATCAAAAATGCAATTTCGTAAAATAAAATTATGTTCAAATTTTTTGTTGTCAAGCCAAATGCAGTGAGTCTGGAGTAGCCTTTGGAGTGGTATAATAATAATGGCCGTAATTACAAATGCATGCTGTGGTGTCGCTGTTTGAAAGCCCCACATCATTAATCATATCATTGACCTCACATCCTAGTTCACATGACATAGTCAATGTGTCTGATAGGGAGACTGGGTTTCTTCACTATAGACATTTCCAACTGAGACAGGGAACACCTCCTTCACTATTCTACAGGAGCACAAAGGCTGGTGCACACTATCATCATTTATTTGGCAGTGCATTTTTGGGGTGCTATGTATAGTTGAGATTACGGAAACACCCAGAGAATCTTCATTAAAAAGATGCATAGAAGTATTCTATCATTTTACTTGTGATTATTTGTCTTGGCTTTATAAAACAGGCTAAGAAATGAATTACTAGTCTTTTGCATTCACTGTGCAATCATGAGCTTCGAAGATGATCAATCAACAGAGGTTGATGGAGCTGACAGGTCTATCTTGGAGCTTGCATGTGCCCTAGTGGCTGTGCTGAATGTCGTCAGTGTTTTACACAGTGCTCATAAACTGTCAGAGTTCTCACACCAAGCTTCTTTTATTCCCAGAAATACTCAATTTATGCACCGGACGTTCCATGTATCGCTTCAAGAGCTCAAAGTACAAAAATGCCACACCCAAAGTGCCAAAGAAGGGCGAGGCGAGTAGTTTTATTTCTAGCATTATATTCAGATGCTTTTGCAAGTTTTACTACAGTGCATATGTGCTGTAGCGGGAGTCAATGACAATGTGGCCGCCTTTTCCTTACAGGGTTGGGTTCTTGACATATCTGTAGGTGCTCCACAGTCATTCGGCAACCACATAAAGGCGAGTGCTTTGCACAAGGTCTTCAGTGTCGACAGCCGAGGTTGGTCAAAGGTAGTAGAAATTTTCTATTTTCTCATAACTGATGCTATGCAGGAGGAGGCAGCCTAGGCGTCCTGTCTCTAGAGGACACGGGAAAAAAGAGCAAGAACTGCCCATTACTTCATGCACATTCTGGTTCGTACCTTTCCTATGAGCAATGTCATATGCACTATTGAGTGCACCAACAATGGGGGTATGTGTACAATGATTGGCAAAGTCACATAGCTATCGCTACCTAAGTATTGTCATGCTGCTTCGCAGTTTTCACTATTTCACCTGCGCCGCCACTGCCTCATCATAAAAGGGAAAGTATTTGAATCTGAATAGCTCTCGGACCAGGCAGCAGAAATGCTGGCTAAATAGAGAGGACAGTGAAGAGGCACAGCATAAGTCAGACTCTAGAAAAGTAGGTATACTTGCGCGGCTTTGCGAATTGCTATCCATCCCACTTTCTAGTGTTTGTGTGCTCTGCGTTGCAAATAAAGTTCTTCGTTTAGTATTGTTGTTGATCCTACAATCTTTCTTTTATTTTACAGAGTTCATAACCGACTTTGAATTTTGTCCTTACGATGACGGCCTCCTGGCTACTTGCTCACACGACGCCACTGTAAGCTCATACTTTTATCGCGGTCGGCAAACAACTCAACAGAGTTTACTTATGCAGATAAAAATCTGGAGGATTCCGGATGGCGGTATTGTTCCCAATGTGCCCCAAAATCCTGAACTTGAGCTTCGACCTGGCAAGTCTCGCATTGAGAACTTGTCTTTCAATCCAGCTGTGGACTGCCTCCTGGCTTCAGCCATGGACAACACTCTTCAGATATGGGACCTGGTCAACCAATCAGAGCTTGGAAGTAAGTTCATGCACTTCTTGTATTGTGCTCAAAGTTGAATGATAAGCCTACATTTATGTGTATATTGTGTGCACGGATGAACAAATGCAGTTTTGTAACTCCAAGACCTCCTTCTGGCGTAATGATGAATAAAAAATTGATTTGAATAGAAAGTTTACGGTTCATATAGACTCCTTTCAGGCTGCTGCAGTGTATAGGCATTCAAAGAGTCCCATGGCCCAGCAGTGCTTTTCGCTCCTGTTGAATTTGTTCTGTTTTATGTAATCATTGCAGCTGAAATACAGGAGCAATATAGAATGTGCACAAAAAAGTTTTCAAGACTGTGTATCACTCCTTCCGCGGCTCTCTGTGTACTTATTATAAGGTTGCCTCACTACCGATGGAGATAGCTTGTCCAATCTCATCTCGTTGAGCACAAGACCAGTGCAGACTGAATTTATGTACAGATGATGCATATAATATCTTGGGCTGATGGCGCTGATGACATTTTATTGCCACTCAAGCAGTGAATAGCATGTTGTGCTAAGATGGCCATGGTGACAATGAAGCATTGTGCAATCTCATCGTTAGCATGTGCTAGCACATAGCACAACTAGGCAGTGCAGGTTTAATGGACAGTTCGAGCCATTGCAGAACAAGACCTGGCTCGACAGAAAGTGTCCTTGAGCTATACTAGTTCGGCTGGGCTTTCTCAAAGCTACTTTGTTGTCAGTATTTTACAGGACAATGAAGACAAAGCTAAAGATTGCTGTAACCTTCAAAGAATTGGCATAAAACTGATGCAGCACACGCAACTGGAGAATGTACGAACAAGCACTGTACACTCAGCATTTTTCATGCACTATTTATTGGTTTTGCGTTGTTTGTGTGTTTGTTTCCTGTACGAATTGGCCCACTAGAAATTTTCTGCTAAATTTTCACTTTGATGAGTTTCTTATGGGGTCTTGTAATCACATATTTGAGTTTCGTAGCTCACACTTTCGTCTAGGTTATAGGGGAACATGAAGCTTGCTTGGGGGGTGTTTGTCATATTTTCCACCCCACCACCATGGTGCCAGTGGGAGGCAGCCAAAGATACCAATGCAATATTAATTAACTCTAAACTTTAGTTTCTAGTCTTTCTTAATTGAACTGTTTTTAATATTATCCATGCTCGATTAGCTTTTTGTCTCCATTGCTGTCCAGTTGATTTGAAACACGACGAGTTGGTACAGAGCTTAAGCTGGCGAGGTGATGGCAACCAACTTGTGAGTTCGAGCAGAGATAAGAAGCTGAGAGTATGGGACCCCAGGACACCAAGCAATTCACTTGTAAGTAATGAAATTGTCTTCGCAAAGTCTTGACTACTATTTTGCACATATGTTGCTGGGGATATCATGAATGTGTCAAGTCTGAAATAGAAGCCTCCTTCCAGAGTTTGTTCAGGTGTCTGTCTCAAAAGTTTTCAAAATCAGTGGAACGCTTGCATTTCTTGCAGCGATCGGAAAGAGTGCTGTGCTGCACTTTCATTCTCTGTGCATTGTTCTTCTGTTGGTGAATTCTGTCATCTAAGCTTTTGCTTTTACCTATGCAACTGGCACTGAGTGCTTTTTTAACTCTATTTTAAATATTAATTTCCCCCCTGTTTCAAACATTCAGTTACTCTCCCATTTAGAGAGTGAAGCTCACATTTTGTGAATTTGCGACCCTAATTTCAAACAAACTGTGTGTTTTGCAGAGTATTCACGAAGCTATTTTTATCCTCCTAAGGCATCAGCAGGTTGAATACAGTGTGCTGACGCCTTAGAAGGATAAAAATGTGCTGGTGCATTTCTATCCGCAATAATACTGTTACAGCTGAGTATTGTTTACCACGAAGGTACAGATATTCTCTTCTTTTATATTAGCAATGTTTTTTCTGTTCTAGCTATAGCCGATCGACATCTCAATGTACTGTTGAATCCCTTCATAAGAGACATGCACTGGGCAGAAATTCTTGTTTTTTATATCAGGTATCTCTTATAAGTAGGGTATTATGTATGCATTTTCATCAGCCCCTGTTATAATATAGGCACTCTTGTGTCTCTTATACCCATTTGTCTCTTACATCAGTGTCTCATAAAGAGGTTCGACTGAATGTACTGACCTCTGAAAACTACACCTTACTAGGCTTAACTCTGTGTCACAATTGTGTTTTAAACTTGAGGACAAAATTCTTTTCCTTACTACTTCAGCAAGCGCTTGGCCATGCGAATAATCGGGACTCCAGGGTCCTCTGGTTGGGACACACCGACTATATTCTTTCAAGTGGTTTGGGCAGTGTGAGTGCTTTACTTCTTTATCTTGTTTATTGATACAGTGTGGAAGGATAATTTTAGTGCTTTGCGATGTTAACTACTCTAAATACAGAACTTAGCATTTGCTTAACTATGCTTAATCCCTGGTAATTTCTTCTCATTTTGTTTTTGTCCAAGTTACAGCGTAAAATATACATTCCTTAGGTAAGGACACATGTGGGACGCAATTGACAGCTCGAAGTAACAACAGTACATAATATTAATGACGACTGACAGACAATAATGCCAGGGAAAGTATAGGGGCTGTTAATAAAAGTAATTGTAATGTAAATGTGAAGAAAGAAAAGTCGGCTAAAAGATCACTTGCAACCAGCACGATTTGAACCTGCGACCTTCGCATAGTGTGTCCGGTGCTCTCGCACTGAGCTACGGTGGCGGTCATCCCCCCGTCCACTTTATAGGGTATAGTGCATGTTACACCATGGCCCAAGTTGAGAAACAGAGCAACTCATTTACTGTGCCACTCACTATAGTAGTTTGGCAGCTGTGGCACTGTGCTTGTGAGTTTGATTCCAGTTGTGTCTACCACTAGAGTAGATAATGTAAAAAAATCTTGAGTGCTTAACATGTAAGTAAATGTTGTTAGGGGCCCTGCAGCAATTTTTCAAGTTATCACTTTGCTAATAAACTATTCTGCCTCATCAACCTCCTGCCACTAAAGATAATTAAATCTATCAAGTTGAAGAGTTGCCACACAAGGAGAGTGCTTTTTATCCCCTTCAGTTGTTAGAAACATGATCTTCAAGCAAACATCGAATATTGAAACATGTCCCGCATATGTGGCATGGGGCGACATCAAGCTTTAGATTTTGGACAGAAGTCTTGCTGTATATTCTAATTAGTACATTAAATTAAAATGTGAATGAAAAGCAGGGGATCAAAATGCCTGTCTAAAATAAGCCACTATAACAAATGTAAGCGAACCTAGAAGTATAGCCATGCGTTACCTTCAGAGTTGTTTGCATTTGAATTTATGCTGATGCTAAGACTTACTAACTTCAATTTCTTGCTTGGGCCTTATAAAATAATTTACTGCCCTTTTTGAAGCCAAGATAGGCCTTGTGTTATGATACCATGTGCAGCTCTATGCAACGTTTTTTTTCGGCATTGTGTTTTCTCGTATGTAGGCAAGGGAGCGCCAGGTGTGCCTTCGAGATGTCCGTAGATTCGACATTCCCTGCACCAGCTGGTCCGGTAACAGCGCCATGGGGTCAGTAGCACATTTCTGTAACAATTAATTACGTATAAGAATGAAGATTGATGTATAATATGATTGTTGTTGTTTTTTTCTCCTTTTTTTTCTCCTAGCTACTGATTTGCTGTGCTTACACAGTGTTAAAGTTCGGACAATTTTTGTCCACCTCATCTATTTATGGGTCCTAGAAAGACAGATTGAAGAAAAAAGTCAACTTTTCGAAGTTGAAACCTGTGAAATTTAGAAGAATCTCAATGAAACTCACTTCAAAAATATCCCGGATGGATTACATTATATGTCGAATTCAGTATTATTGCGGCATATAAGATTATGTGAACCATCAGTCCAAGCAAAAGAGATGATGGGGCTGGTGTAAAAAAGAGAGTAACCTTAATATGAAATTCTATAATATAAGTTCCTGGGTGCAAAGCTTAATATCTCATGTTTCTGGCATATCAACACTCTCGACATCTTTTTAACAGCATTTGAAAGTAAACCAGGGCATGGCACCTTGTGGTCCTTTTCTCTTAAACACTGCAGTGAAGGCAATGATTGTCCACTAATAATGCTGAGACTTTCCAGCTGTGTGTTCACTAATCCACATTAGTTTCATTGCTATACCAGCCCGGCTACTTGTTTGCTGCGATGCATGCAGGTAGCATTGACACCAGTAGTGAAGGCTTATGCTTGGACAGGCTTTTATTGTCCTGCTTTTGAAAACAGTCCTCCTGATCTGTATCAAAAATAATCTTGGAAATGACAAACTAGGACCATGGCAAGAAAAGCATGCAGTTCATGATTTAACAAGTTGCACCTTGTGGCTGCGGTTGATTCAGTGCAGAGTGCAACATAGATTTAGGTTCAGCCTGCAAGTGGTTACTTTTGAATACCCTAGGCCCCGTTTACTTTATTTTTCTTTCTCTTGCAAGGTATAATTTTGTAATTTGTAATTTTGTGTTAGCAGTGCATGCATCTTGTTGCTTTTCAATGGCACATTGCTAGAGCTTGCATTTATAGAGCACCTCACTTTCTTTTTTTTTCCCAGTGTTTACATACCACTGTATGACCCAGACACCAATATGCTGTTCCTGGCTGCTAAGGTACTTGTTTTTTTACTTGCAGTAATCATTATATATTATGATCTATCAGTGGTTATACCTAGAACGAAATTTCGGGCCGTCATATCTATAAACTTCCAGTTGAATGCAGGCCACTTTGAGTGCGCAAGACTTTGGATGAGTGTAGTGCAACTCGGAGCATGGTCCCTCATGACTGCACAGATAGCTTGCTGAAAGAACTTTTAATGGGACAGTGTTAAAGAGCTCGTTTAGAAGAAATTTTGGTGTCAGCGTCATTGGTCATGAGCGAAAAATTATCTTATGCGTGACCCGAAAATCGAGAAAGATGCAAATAAAAGAATAAAAAGTTCTGGATTCGAGTAGGATCGAACTTAGGTCATTTTCAGGGCAAGTGGGTTCTCTACCACACAGACACGTGTTTGCTTGTGAATACAGTGAAAATAACTTCCTCTGCTTAGAAATGCAGTAAAAGTAACTTTTATGCTGGACAAACACACGCATCCTGAATACAGTCGAACCCCTTTATAAGAGACACTAATAAAGAGGAAAATGGGTATAAGACATACCAGTGTGCCTACAATAAAATGCAGATTGATACAAAAATGCATACGAGGTACCCTGCTTAAAAAGACATCTCATGTAAAAGACAAGAATTGCTGCCCAGAGTGTGCCTCTTATAAAAAAGTTTAACTGTACATCCCTTTCAGTGCAACATGAAATATTGCAGTAATAATGGATGATACAAGCGTACATTGCAATCAGGCTTCAGAACATCATCGCAGTAATGATGCATGGTACAAGTGTACATTGTAATCAGGTGTCAGAACATGGGATTATCATGACTTCATGGTTTGAAGCGGTTCACCCACCGCAAAAGACACACACGTTACTGTGGCTATTCTCTTAAGGCTGCGTAGTGGGTGCATAGCAAGTTTGGAAAGATTTCATACACTAAGTGTTTGAAGTACGCACCAGGGACAGTATATCGCTATCGCATTCAACTCAAAGGTGAAGATTTAGGGTCCCCTAATTTTTTGCACTTTCCTCCAGTGCTTGACATGACAAACACTGCAATCTGAAACCTCATCTATCTTCCAATGAAACGTTTTATATTTTATGACATTTTACATCCAAGCATAGGTCCTTATGATTAAATACAAAATGTTCTTGTGCAGCGTTCAAAACGGCTTAAGCTGTGTTCTTATAATGGTCTAAGTGGTGATGTGAGCCCATAGATTGTGTATCACATGACCATATAATATCTCTCTTATTCCTGCAGCTTCCCTCCCATTTGTGCAAAGCGATTTTCGAAACGACAGATACCTAAATTACAGTTGGCATCTTTAGTGAGAAATATCTAAATCCTTCCCTATGATCACAGCCATCATGCGAATACAGCTTTAGATACTTGTTTTTTACAACTATTGGGACAAGTAGGATGGTAGAATGTGTTTTCATGGTGCCCCATCTCATACTGGCATTTTCACTTGTGCAGAAGTGGTGCATTGCCAGATTTCTCATTCCTGTATATGTACTGGCTGCTTTATTCTAGAGTGGGTTTTATATTTGCTATGCATAATTTTTTGTATTCAGGGTGATACGACTGTCAACTTTTGGGAGGTGACATTTCAAGAGCCCTTTTTGAGTGAAGGTGAGGCACTGGGAACTCTGGCTTACATTATCGGCCCATCATTGCATGACACCTCCCTTACCAAGTTTCTGGCTTGCATAAGTATGTTAGTGGCCTTTCATGTTTTTAATGTATCAAATGAAGATAATGCATGCTCGCCAAAAAGCTATAGATGCAAAATATACTAGTACACAAGGTCAAGGTAAACAACATACCGGCACCTCGCAATGCCTCTTCTTTGTTTCGTGCAGCATTGAGCATGTGGCTACACTTTCTGCCTTCTCTAAATTGTGTGTTTGTTGGGTAATGAATGCTTAAACTGCCTACGTGCAAAACTTTACACGTCAGTGACAAGTGGCATGATGAGAAACAAAATAGGTCTTTGCATGTCGAGTCGTTTAATCAAAATCACTCAATTGCTCTGTTTTGCAATTCTACAATCTGTTGCTCATCACTTGAGAGTAGTCACAGCAAAAGGCAGTGAAAAGCTAGAATAGGACGTTCAGTTACACGCTACAATTTGTCATGCACACTCGCTCAATGATATATGCACGGAACGAGCAAGCAACCAAATTCTTGAATGTTTGAAGAAGAAAAATAAATACAAGACATTCATATTTGTTTGTGAATTTTGTAAGTTTGGTGAAACGAGTGTTATGTGAATACAGAGCACATATTATTTCTGTTCACGCTGTGGAATCTTAAGGTTGGCGATATAGTATTTGAGCTGTGATCTCTAATCTTGCAGCATCAAAGTACATAGGTGAGGTGCAGACTAAAGGAGTGGGCCTGGTGCCCAAGCGTGCCCTTAATGTGATGGAGGGTGAAGTGAACAGAGTGCTCATTCTGGGCCAGGACTGCATTGTGCCCATTCCCTACCAGGTGCCCCGCAAGGTAAGGCATTAAGTGACGGAACCAGTTCAGAATGTCAAGAAACGGTGGCAACATGCATTCACACCCTACGCACTTGGAGGATATGTGACATAATATAGAATAGCAGAGCAAACAGCTTGCATTTCATAAGCAGTGTTGTAGGTGTTTCTGAAGATAGGTAGGTAGATGCTGTAGAATCCTGCGCAAGTGTCCCCCTATGAGAAAGATAATTCGGCAAGATTTGGTGGGGAGGCCCTTGCTCGTTATTGGGTCAGAATTCCAAGGTTGCAGTAGAAGAGCCACTAAGAATAAAGAATGCACATCCGTGCTTGTATAAAGACATGCTTTATTGTTGAGTGTGCATGCATTCACCATTTCTAAAAAAAAAAACAGTGAATGAAAGATGGAAAATGGTAAAAGGGAAAGTTAGAAGTGTTTTCTCTGTCATGGGCACATATTTCAAATCGCTCAAAAAAAAAAAAAGGAAGGGAGGGGAGCATAAAGGTGTCTGCTCATGATTAAAAGGCAAAAGCATTACTCGTTATGCTGAAAAAAATTAGAAGAAAAAACTAAAAATTAGGGCAGCTGCTCATTAATAGTGCTAAGGATGACAAAACAGTGGAGCTGGTGGTATTTCCTTCCCTTTCTTCTTCCTCCCCACTCTCACTTCAATTTCTCACCTCCTTGCTACACTATACTGTAAGTGGCTATGGTATGCTTTCTCTTTTCCTCTTTCTATATCCTTCTCTCTACATATTTACTTCTTCCTTTTTCTTCAATTCTCTCTCCTTTCTGTCTCACTCATTGTTCCTTGTATCTTTTTTGTGTCTTTCTTCCCTCTCTTTCTCTGTATTTATTTTATTTCTCTGTGTACTCGTTCACTTGTATATTCATATCATTGCATCCCGCGCCGGGCAAATCTGCACACAATTTCTGAGAGCAAAGCAGAAGATGCAGAAGAGGACAGAGTGCGCCCGGCCGAGTTATCAGATTCATGATGATAATAGTTTTTGTTCTTGCCTAACGAACTTTCTCTGGGCATAAACATCCCCACTTTTAAAATGGTAACATGTTAATGTTACATAAAATAAGGTAATGCACATTACTTCTGGCATTACCTTATGGTGAAAAAATTTGTATTATTGCTTGCAGCATAACCTAGATGAATGTAAATGGGCCTATTTTGTTGTGAGTGCGTGGGTGCCTTACTCGTACTTTCAATGGAATAGTTGTCAAGGCAACATAGGCTCACAGTTGAAAACCTTAAAGGAAATTAAGACAGACACAAAAATAAAGATTGAGTGGCATGTTCACATTTGTCATTCAATTCTATCTTGGGTTGATTTTGCAATTTCTATGCTATGGCTTCTGGAAAACCTTACAAAACACTTGACGTGTAGCTCCAAACATTGTTGCAAACAGTGTGAATTGTTGCCACAAATAGCCAGAAGCAGCAGTACCACGTTTTTCTAATAGAGAAATCCTAGGTCCTCTAGAGTGAATCGTGAGAAACAAAATAGCCCAAATAATTGTGGGAAATCACGCTATGGCATTTTGTGAAAACTCCCACACTGTACAGTTACCATTTATTGGGACGTTATAGTGCAAGGAACACTTTAAAGGACAATGCTTGGCATGTCACTCTTTTGTCTAATAGCTTGTTTGTAATGATGGGCTAATATCAGTAGTGCCTTCTAGCTATATTGCAAGAATTATTATTAACCATTGAACAATATGAGCATTTGAGTGAGGCTTTCCCATGCATTAATACATTGTTTTGCATGAGTTTAAAGACGATTTACCATACAAGAGTGATGCCCAACTGATCTATTTTTTGGTTTATTTAATGTGCTGTGCTTGGATCCCATCTTTTCTCGTTTCTTTTAGACCTACCGGGACTTCCACGCAGATGTCTTTCCAGACACACAGGCACCATCCCCGGCAACAACAGTGCCCGACTGGCTGGCTAAGATCCCCTGTGAGGTAGGCCTGCAATTTTAACCAGAGGGTTTATTTTTCTCGTTGCACTGTTGGTCAGGCATCTATTGTGGTGGACTCATTACTCACAGGAGTATATAGCCAACTCTGTTTCACGTTGACCATCCGTTTCTTGTTGGTTTTGTGTTGGCCTTCACCTCATGTAATCTAACCCCCGTACTCATTTTGCATTGGATTTGAGGGCCACACAGCAAAAAACCGTGCTTCTTTCTAAATATTAAAGTTTATTTGCCTCCAACAGTCCTAACATTAGGGGCTAAGGAGGTTTGATTTAGCTTTTTTTTGAATCTGATAAGCTTTTCCTTGGGACTACAAGCTGTCACTTTTGTAGTCTGAGCTTGACTGGTATTTAAAGATGTTTATATCATCATGCCCGTGAAGATGGCATAAGACATCACAGTTTATAAGTTGTATAAGTGTATAAAATATAAATAGGGTCATAGTTCAGAGGAAGAATCAAATCTTGAAGTGATGAGAAATCCTTGGAACACGGGTTGGATTTGGAGCCAAGGTCTTGACAAGTGGTCTTGTATTCTTCAAGGCAGCATCTGCATAGCTTAGCATGTGTATGTGCATACTTCATACCCTCCTCCCCAATTTTTTTCTTTCTCACCCTCCCCCACCCATAACCATTTAAAACTGCACTAGGATTTTTTTTTATCATACAAGGTGGGTCTGTTGTGAGTGTTTGATAGTTGTAAATGATTGGCATGTCATATATACATGTTTTAACATATCGGATGTAAAACAGATAACAAAGCAAAGGCTAGCATGTTGGCATACTACTTTGTTGAAAGGTCTCGTCTTTGCAAATGCAATGATGGATCAAACTCTTGGGATGATGCACATGCAGCCCATTCCCAGAGTGAGCTTGGACCCTGCTCAGAGGCCCAAAGAGGGTCTGGTGCGCACTGGACACAAGCTGGGGTCGGGCCCTGCATTTTTGGCTGTCACGTCTCAGGAAAAAGACATCGACCTGGTGCCAGACGAATATTCATATGAAGATTTCGGTGACAACATCATTCAAGAAAAGGTACCTGACCTCCTTGGTTCTTTCAGTTCACATCTATCGGGCAGACCATTCTGCTTCGCAGATAGCAATAAACCTGAAGAACACTAGTAAGCTGAAAGCAAGGGCAAGTAGGTAGTAGATGAAGTTGGTGCTGTAGCTGAAAAAAAATTTGGTGATGCTTGCTTTAGGCACTAAGCCACACAAGCCTTGAAACAGTGAAACTGGACGACTCTGAAGACTCGTCTGGTTGCTTTTAGGTTGTTTCTAAGGCTTAGCTAGGGGACGAAGTTTGTTACCAGGTTGCTTCTAGGACATTGCTAGGCTTTAGCTAAGTGCTACGTTGCTATAAAAAGTGCTCAACCAAGTGCTACAACATTACAGCCAAGTACCACAACATTATGGCCAATCACTATGGCATTACAGCTTAGCTGGCTGAATAGTTTGACCGAGGGCGACGCCAAGTTTGAATGAGAGAGGCAGAAATTACAGTCAAACCTCTTTAATACGTACCCGCTTAATATGTAACTGCGGTTTATACGTAGTAGCGAGGAATCCCCCGCCCTATCTCCATTGAACCCCATGTATTGGCTGACCGCTTAAGCCGTAGTCGCTTGTGGTGTTATGTACGGTTAGTACGTACTATTTTCGTTCTCTTTATCCATGCACAGGCCGAAAATCGGCAAAATTTCGTGCGCACAGACGGTCGATACACTCCATGTGGCGATCGGACAACAACCACCAGCGATAGTGACGTCACAACATGGCCACGATGACGTATTTTTTGCGCGTACGTCTGTTGCCGATCCCATTGTGCAAGAGCATGGCCTTCAAGATCGGTTTTTGGTAACCTAGGAATTCTCGATTGCTGGTCCCGGTAGGGGGTGCAAATTCGCTGTCGCTTTCAATCCAAGCCAAGTACGTATTCTCAACGGCTCCACAGCGTCGAGCCAGGCTGAGCTCGTTTCTTTATTCGGTCGTTAGTCCTCACTTTCCCGCAGTGTTGGTCGTGGCGGCGGTGTGGTGGTGTTGCGTTACTTACGTTCTTGTGCGGCGTGTTGTGTTTTTTTTTTTGTTGTTTTTTTTATTCTTGTGTTGTGCGCGAGTGGTGCGATTAAATTCGCACACTAAAACTTCTTACTATGCCGAAGTACCACGTCTTGAGCGTAAAGGAAAAACTTGAAATCATTCGCACTATTGAAAATGGGGCCAAGAAATCTGCGGTAGCCCGCGATAAGAACTTGCCGCTGACTACTGTATGCGGAATTTGGAACGCTCGCGAAAAGTTGACGGGAGGCACAGACAGCGATTTGAAGAGGTGCCGCATGAGAGACTCAGCTTATCCCGAAGTGGAAAAGGCCCTGCTTCTCTGGCTGAAGAAGGCGCGGAGCATGAACCTGCCGGTTAGCGGACCCCTTCTGACCGAAAAAGCCCTAACTTTCGCAGATCAGCTGAACTGCCCCGGTTTTGCCTGCAGCAACGGCTGGTTGTCGCGGTTTAAAGCCCGCTACGGCATCGTGGGGAAGGTTGTTTGTGGTGAGGCTGCTGCAGCAGACAAAGAAGGCGCTGTTGAATGGCAGGACACCGTTTTGCAGGAAGCCTTGACAGCCTACGATGCCGCCGACATTTTTAATTTTGATGAGTCGGCACTTTTTTATTGCCTTCTTCCAAATAGGACATTGGCATTTAAAAATGAGACGTGCACCGGCGGGAAACACGCCAAAAATCGCATATCGGTCGCTTTTGGCGTAAATATGACCGGTAGTGAGAAGCTGCCACTGATGGTCATTGGCAAGTATGGAAACCCGCGGTGCTTCAAAGGCGCTCGGCTGCCATCCGGTGTTGTTTACAAGCACAACAAAAAAGCCTGGATGACAGCCCAGCTGTTCGAGGAGTACGTGCGCCAGCTGGACCGCCGTTTTGCTGCCAAGAAAAGGAGCATTTTGATAGTGCTTGACAATGCGTCGGCGCATGTCGATGTGGGTAACCTGTCGGCTATTAAGCTGTTGTTTTTGCCGCCCAACACGACAGCGCTCGCCCAGCCCCTCGATCAGGGCATCATCCGCTCTGTCAAACAGATTTACCGCAAAAATCTTTTGCGGCGGATGTTGATCGCCATGGAGAGTGCCAAAACGTACAGTATAGACCTCCTGGGTGCTATACACCTGCTTGCACACTCATGGATGCAGGTGCAGCCTGCAACGATACGGAACTGTTTCGCGCGAGCACAATTCAAGATGCCAGAAGAAGGCAACGACGAGAACATGGAGGATAACGAGGATGGTGAGGACACCGAAGACTGCGAGAGCCTCCTTGTTGAGGTGCTCGAGCGGCAAGGAGAGGGAGTCGACAAGTTCAACTTCGGCACTTTCCGAGATGTGGACGGAGACGTCCTTACATCCCCGGACTTTTCCGACAGCGACATTGTTGCCGCCATCGCACCTCGTCCCGATTCAAGCGAAAGTGAGGAGGAGGGCGATGTCGAAGTGGACGACGGCCCCTCGTTATCCGAAGCTGCGCGTGCTGTGACTGTGATGCGAGCCTTCGCCGAGAAGCGTGGCCTAATGGACCGGCTGGCTCGCGGCCTCACCGACTTCGAAGATGCCGTCGTCGAGGCAAGGCCACCACGGCGGCAAGTGAAGATCACAGATTTTTTTGCTGCCTGTCCATAAATAAAGCTGGCGTGCCGGCGTGTGTGCGCGCGCGTGTTTGTGAGGATTGTGGCCTTCTTTTCTGACCGGTAAGTAGCCGCTAAACTGGCACTGACGGTTAATTCGTACATCGCTTAATGCGTACCAAAACGTCATTCCCGGCCAACTACGGTCTAACGAGGTTTCACTGTATTAACCAGAAGTCATCTTTATTGAGCAAGTGTAGTCATAACACTCATCATAGTCGTCATCGAAAAAATATCATCCAGTATCGGCTCTTGAGAACCCCTTGGGCTCACCCTCTGCCATGAAAGACTTTGGCTGCGGTTTCATCTTTGGTCACTAGCATTTCTTGTCATTGTTCCTCTTTAAAGGTCTCGACCTGTGTTGCAATACCAAGCGACTGTAGCTTTGGCAAATCGATCATTGGCTCAGCAGATTCATAATCAATAAGATGGTTGCTCATCACAGAGTAGTCTCTGTTGTCATAAATAGGACCAGGAGGAGCTTTTTAGTGGAGCTGTGACGAGTAGTGGGATCTACCTACTAGACTTCTGTGACACATACCAGCAGTGTTGGGCCTATGAATTGTGATATGGCTTACATACTATGGCAGCTTTAGGGTAGATACAAAACCAAATAAGCAAGCTTTTTCTAAAATTACATATTTTCTGTTCTTAATTGCTTTCACAAGTTTCGTTTCTCTACTTTCATGAAAAAGAAATTAAGATTGTAGTTTAACTCAAGGTACATTAATATCGCCGTTAAAGAGCACAACGTGGCTATAAAACGCTATGAAAAGAGCTAATTGTCTAAAGGCCCCTAGAAATTGCCCCCTGGCTGCTTGCCATTGCATTTCACATGAGGTTTTCGCCAAAGCCACATGCTCAAAATAACCATGATTCCCAAGCTGTCATAAAGAAAGAAATCATTTTGAAAAGCATATCATTGCCACGCAGATGAGCTTTTATTTCTAAGTTTATAATTTGTTTTTCTCGAGATATATTTTTGGACAACTTCATGAGTTTTTGACGTCATGTTTTTGGTACCTTTGACGGCCAGGCTAAGGTGAAATTTTCGCCAGATATTTTTTTTCCATAGGAAGAGTGTAATTATTTCCATTAAAGTATAATATTACTTATATGGTTACCATGAACCTGAAGTAAGCAATTAGTAAGGACTTGCACTTTTTACATTATACTTTTTCTTGTTCACCTAAATGTATTTATACACTTTTTTATAGTCGTTTGCATTCTACAGTTAACGTGCAGCAACATGAGCCATTAATGACTCGTGATCATGAGAGGTTAGTGGCAGAAAAAGTCCGTCCAGAAGGAGCTACATTTTACACATTACAAAATGAAAACTATGCACCTTACTATAAAACTGATTAAATTCTCAAATTATACATGAAAACTTATGCAAACAGCAAACATTTTATTGTCTTAGGCTACAAAGGAACATCTTTCTCGTACTCCATCTCCCCGTGAACAGCTTTGCTGACACAGTGGTGGAGCGCAGGAGGCGGAATGGGAGAGAGGGCAAATTTTTGAAATGTGCATTTGACACAGTCATTGAAAAACATGTGATGTTGTATGCCCTGCAGTGTTGAGCCATGTAGACATTGGACAATTGTTGAGTTCAAGAGGTGACCAGGGGTACGGGAGAGTGGAAGGAAAAGGGTGACATTCGAATTAGAAGTCGAAATGTAGCTTTTGGAACAGATTGATTCATGTGATTTTTTATCTAACTACTAAAGGGGTCGGTTCAAATGAAGGATTATTGACCTGAATGATGCTCACATATCTCTTGCATTTAGTTATAAACCAGACAGGGTTGTTTTCAACCGACTTGAGAGAGTTAATTGGATAACCCTGGTCAGGACTTCAAATGGAGGAAGAAAATTCGTTTGCCCTTAATCAAGGTTTCATAATCTAGTTTTCTAACTTCAGGAGAGGAGAGCTGTAGTGATCTTTTTCAGAAATCAAAGGTCCTTGAGGCATCTGCTAAGAGTCAAGCTTTGTTAATTGTGGTCTATGATAGTGCCTTTAACTCGCACTGTAAAGAAGAAGTGTGTGAAGACAGCTGGTCATGTTTCGTTTCATGCTTATCTTAACAGTTTAAATATAGGAATATCACAGGAGGTCTGTAAGATGTTTGTTTGGGGCTTATGTATGCATGCAGCCGATTCCAGTGCCTAAGCCAGCTCCACGGACCAAAGTGAGCCGACCGGAAGATGTCCCAGTTGGGAACACCCCTGCGGTCCTGCCCAAAACAGCGCCTCGAACTCGCTCATCTATGGCCTCCACAGGGCCCTCTGTGGCCCCCAGAACTGCTTCCAGTGCTCGTCGGCAGCCATCGCGTAATGAGGGGCGGGGCTTTAAAGGCATGTTGCCTTTGTATACTTCCTCCACCAGTAGTCTTGAAATAACAAATTATTTTCTAATATGAATTTTCACTTCATCTGTTGCTCATAAATTTGAACTTCTTTCAAGTTCATATGATCTAGATCACAAAGGAAGCAATATTTACCTTTTTGTACATTATGCAAGCAACCCTGGCAATTTTTCTAACACGTGAAGGTAATTTTTTTCATGATGCTTGTGTCATGTGCTTAATAGTTGTAGAAATACTCAACAAATTAAAAAATAACAAAAAGTGAAACCCAGCAGAATGGTGCATCCTTTGTGTGAGATGTTAGCGCTCATGCAAAGCATGCCAGTCTGACCAGTGCAGAGAACGAAAATAGCTTAAGTAGAGCTAGCAGGGCCTGCCAATTTGTGCCTCATACTGTAGAATGTACCATGTCTTTTTAGTTTAAAGACAGTGACACCTGTGATGCTGTGAATTCAAATGCCATTATGAATGAGACGCTGCAGAGCTGTGGCCTCTTCCTTATAGAGGTGTGGAATAGTAATGACTGGTGTTAATAAGCACTTGACTTGCTGCCACCAAAGCCATTTCCTGAGAACATTGGTAACCCAGTGAAGCGCAGTTCACTGCTAATTGAATATTGAAGGTATACCAGCTGATATGTTTTCCCCCCAAAGTATGCTGTCACAGCTCAAAGCAACAGCCGATAGATTTGTCAACAATAAAGATACTACATTATTACTAATTGTCAACTTGATATTTAACCCAAGTTGCACCTCAGTGATATTAAATGATACAAGAACATAACAAAAGAGGGGATTTCTGTCGTATCCTTTCATATCCTTCAATTAGTGGTGATGTCTCTTTTCTTTCTGATCTTGGTAACTTAGAAAATAGCTTATTCATGTGAAACATTGGGTGAGTTGATGATGCATGGTGAGCCACAGTGCAGCAACTGAGATGAAGACGACGAGGACATACAGGGTGCTGGCTTACAGCTGGTTTATTTTCTTCAGAAACGTGCGTTTATGTGTGGAACAGAGGAAGAAAACAATACAGAAAAAAAATGAAACATGATATATTGAAAACAAATGAAGTTTAGCTATTAAGTGTTATTGACACATGCTCTGTTAAGATGGTTCAGCTCTTTATTGGTGAGTGCTATCGATGCCACACTTGTGTATTTCTCAGCCCAAGTGGTCATTTGCTTCTGCTTCAATTATTTTCCAGGTAAGCGCATCTGAACATTTACCAATGACACAGCAATGAGCACTTCTCCAACTGGGGCTCACAAGTACATGCATTACAGTCGATCATGAGGTGTCCATCTGCTTTCTTCTCTACATTATTATGATGTTCCCTGAGCTGGTCATTTATATATCTCCCGGATCGCCCAGTGCATCTTTTGCCGCAAGTTAATGGTAAATCATATACCGCACCTTGCATACAATTAAAAAAGTGTTTTTGGTTTAACAAGCACTGTTCCCCTTTCCTGAATCATGCTTCATACTGCAAAGTGCAGACAACTTGATTTGGGCAGAGAAAACCACCTGAATGTGCTCACTCAGTGACATGATTGTGGTCAATTGCAAGGTAAGTGAGAACTCATTGTGTTCTGTGCCACCACCCTTACAGATACTAATTTTTTTCTGCCACAGGCAGTGTATGCTTTCTGCATGTCTGCATTGGCAGCTACTGTCCTCATCTTTTCTGTCTTTCACAACAATCTCGTTAAAAAAATCACTGCAAATTCACTGAGTGAATGATGATGAGTGGGGCAAAGCGTCCATTTGTCTGTGTGTCTGTCCCTCTGTCCGTGCACGCATCCATGCGTCCGATCGCATTCGAGAATGCAGATGGCGCACAGGTAACACCGACAAGACGCGAGCCAAGGAAGCCGAGCTCAAGTGTCTTCAACGCACCCGCCGCTCTGCTTCATTCATGGCCCATCAACGATCGGCCACATACGGCGACCATCCAGGAGACAGAGAGGCACTTGTTGGCAGAGCACGTGCAGCAGCCAATCAGAGAGTAGCGGCTGAGTAACGCCGTTTAGGAAACGAGAGGAAAAATCGTCATTCATTTCTTTTGCCTTCTTTCCGTTCTCGTCTCTTCTTCTTTTGGTTACGCATGACTTGTCACAATGTTAGACTTAAGGAGCTGTGCCCCTAAAAGCAACGCTGGCCTTGTGCCTGCTGATAGAATATGACACCTGTCATGGGGGGCATTTGAGGATACAGCAGATGCAGTTTTATGAAGTTGGTTTGAACCATGACCAAGTTGTTAGGCATCTGCCTCTCTATTGTGTCGTTAATGTCCTTCAAGGACAATCTGCCTTATAGTCGCCACAAGCTTGAATTAGAAGGTGTCGCTTAGTTAAACGCCTGTAACCATTGCGCTATTCACTAACCTCTCAAAGTTTGGAACAATAAAGAGTAGCACAATACGGCACGAACTGTTAGCCCCTAGATCTAGGGGTGCCGCCCTTCATTGCCGCTGTTTATCCTCATTGAGATGTGCCACCCTGTGCAGTGCGAGTATCCAAGTATCGGCACCTGAATGGCTCAGTGGGTAGCCGGGACACTCAGATCACCAACCTGCCACCCATGTGCAACACGCTGCCTGGCGAGAGTGAAAGTTTCCGTGCCAACACAGAGCGTGTTGCTCTGCCCTTGGCCATTTCAGGTGGCCATCTGGCAATCCTGGAGGTGAGCCATTAGATATAACGGCACCCTGGAAGTATCCAGAACACAAAATTTACTCAAAAGCTTTGCCACCTTTAGTTGAGGTAAGGCATGAACTGATAAGAAACTGTAAAAAGCACTTTTGAACTTGGCATTGCCTCAGGGTTTGGTGTGAAAATTCAAGGCTTGGTTTTCAATCGTACATGTTGCAAAACTCTCTATAGGTGCTATGTATCCAAATCCTCACAGGCCATTGCCCGAAAGTGCAGAGTTGTACTGATTGTATCATCATTTGTCGAAACTAATAAATGACACTTCCATTGTATTTTACATTGCGGAAGCCTGTTTGTTTGTTGAAGTGGCAGTGTGTTTTTCAGTTTACTTTTTTCATATAACACTGCCATAAAACTCTCTGAAAAGTACTTACAGGTTCTCTGTCTTTTGCAAATCAGTACATGGGCATGTTGGGTCTTCAAAACAGTTTTGCCCAGAAGATAATTGTAGAACCCTGACATTAAAGAAAAGAAAATATAATGGCTTGTGTAAGGTGCAGTGTTAACAGATTGGAACGCTGCATAAGAATGTTTATAATAGTGACTGGTATGCCCAATTGCTTAAGATAGCCGTATCATGTTGCTGTGGATCTGGCTCATAAAGCTAATGTTGGCTTGTATATATGTAGGTTTTCGAGTAAAAATTACACTGATACGACATGAACTGGAGGTGATGGAAACAAAAATTTGGGAATTACTTAGCCTTAAATTGTTGTGTGGCAGTCTGAGTATGTTCTTGTTTCCATCGTCTCCAGTTCTTGTCAGCTCGGTGTAATTTTAATGTCACCACTTACATCAGAGCCAAATTACTTTTAGAGGCCAGATTTTCACAGATATGATGCAAATGCTCATACCAGTCATAATACCAAAGAGAAAAGAAACAGTGTCGTGTTTCAATTTGTGATTACATCACACACTTAAGAAATGTGTTCTCAGCTCAATGTGTTTCCAGACTGGTCGCACAAGTACATATTTCATGCATTAGGTTGGGTATACAGTTCTGAAATGCATGATGACTAAGCATTAGTATTTCCCTCTTAGTGAAACCTTCCACAAAATCATTTGGGCTCTATCACTCATCTATATTTCGTGCCAGAACATTCTATAATGAGTACCTTAAAACAATTCAGTGGTAAAAATGTGATTTAACAGCAATGAACCCAAATAGTTACCACTGCTGTAAAACTGTACAAAGCAGAGTGACAGGTTATCATAGTGCCACTAGTAGCTTATTGGGGAATGAAGTGCATACAGGTTATCAAAAAAAATTTGTTTTCTGTGCATGTTTAGTTTCAGTTGCACTTACACTTATTCAAATAGATAAATAATAATATTTATTATTGCTATAATGAAAATTTGGAGATAATTATGGGAGAAGTTGACAATAAGAGGTGCACTTACCATCAGCTTACCTAGTGAACCACAAATATTATGTAGACATCGATGGTGTGTTTTTTGTGGATATTGTAAATATCTCTTAGATATTCATAGAAATCGGAATTAGTCGAAATTACGAAGATTAGATGTATCCGCAACTATAAGAAGCTCGGCCGAATAAGTTTGCTGGTACGTTGCACATGGACACTGAATGGACATTCAATAGATACATATAGACATTGTCATTTAGTACATAAAAGGTTTTGCATGCACTTCGCACACTTATCGCATGTAGTTGGTGTGTTAGACCTGCGGTCTCACGGTAGTCTTGCTCATTGCCGCTCATCTGTACTTTTTGAAAAGCATCAAAGGCATGAGGCTGGCTGGATTGATTGACATGGAGGGTTAAGGTTCCAAAACCACCACATTAGAGATGTCGTAGTGGAAGGCTCCGGTAATTTCAACCACCTTTGGTTCTTTAATGTGCACCAAAATCACACGAGCCTACAGCCTTTTCGCCTCCATCGAAAATGCAGCCGTCGCAGCCGGGATTCGAACTGCCGACCTGCGGATCAGCGGCCGAGTGCCTTAGCCACTAGACCACTGCGTCGGGATGAGGCTGGCTGGATTGCTGTCAGACGACAAATTTGTGGCTAGCCTTCATGTGTTGACACCAGCTAAGAGCCAGACTGCAGTGGAAGCGCAGGTCTCTAGCACACAAACTATACATGCAGCAACACTGAAGGAAGTGCGGGGCTTGGAATAAGTCTGCTTTGTTTCTCTTGAGCTTCCTTTTCTCCTCTCTTTCTTTTTTCTTTTTCAGTTTTTTCTGTCTTTATTTCTTCTGTATTTTTTATTCTATTTTCCTTGCCTTTTCTATTTTTCTTCCAATTTCTTCCTTTTCTATTTCTTCTCTTTCTCACTTGCTTCATCTTTTATATTCCTCGTGTAGTCTTTCTTGCGTTACGCCAAGCGACGACAGCCCAAGCCCCTAAAGTGCTTTACACTTGAAGGCACGTTCAGGCTGCATCATTTTGCACTATCATGTACGGCACCACTAACGTGCTACGCATGTTAATTTTATGCTCGTTCGTACGCTTTATCTTCTCGCACATGTAAATGTATGCATTACACATGCTGGAATGTTACATGTCCATTTATGTTCGAGCACTTTCTAGAATTTACATGCCAGAATATATTTATCATTCTAAACGTCAACTAAAGCTGTTTTGGAACACAGAAAGTTGTGATAGGCATTTGATGTTGAGAGCACTTATATACGACATCATTTGCGACGTCTAGTTTTTGTCTAAGAGAGAAGTGCATACAATTACGTAGGCTCTCTAGACTGTAAGGATGGCACATTATGGGGATGTCAATGAGATGTTATCAATAGACGTAGACGTATGGATTTTATTTTTATGTTGACAGGATATGAGTGGTTCACTGGGTATTTGTACACAATGGGGTCATGAGCAATCAAGCCTCACATCCCATGGGCACATTAGATTGACAGTGAAACATAGTAGTGAAGAATAACGCAGATCTCTCCTTGTTAAAAAAAGTTTGTTGCCAATTTTATGAGCTAGATGTATATTAAATGGCACAATTTGAATCAACTTGCACATTGTGGTGCCTATGCCAACTTTATGCGATGATGCCAGTAACTCTGTTTATATTGGCAACTATGCACAGTGCATAAAATTTATTTCTAGCTGATGACAGGCAATTTAAATCTACAGCTACAAGACCGTTTGCTAGCTCACCACTCTTTTGCACAGATGTGAAGACAATTTGCTGATTATCAGCAATGTATTTTTGTATCCAACTGTACTTCCTTCGTGCCAGTGCATTAAGCTTTGTTTTTGCTCTGACAAATGCTATTTTGCAAGTGGTTTACTGGCACAGACAGCTTTGGCTGACTGCTCTTCACATTTACATTTGCTGTCCCTTTCTACTGATGCTGAGTAAGCTGCTAAAGCAATTCATTGCTTTAATTTCGTATTTAATTTATGGTGTCAGTGCTGAAGGAACTGCCTGTTGCTTGTTTTATGGTGAATCCAGCTGTCCAAGAGGGGCCGCATACAATCTGGAGTTGTTCCCAGCCTCATTTGTGGGACCAGCATCATGGACTTTGCCTGGGACCCATTTAACAACAGGCGCATTGCCATAGGTGAGCTCATGACACTTATTCAATAAACCTAAGCTGTCTTGTGACTTTCAGTGATCAAAAAAGTATTCACAAACCGTTCATGCTAAAGAGCTTCTTTGTTTCTGTGCCAAATACACATCTGAGTAGCAGAGAAATCACTAGATAGTGTTTCATTATTCCAACATGGCTATTATACGAGGTATGTTGATGAAAGGGGCGGACACTTGATCACTTGAACTGATGCTCTCTAAATCAATATAGAGAGCAACACGGATTGCCATCCAGAAAAGCTGAGTACATTTTCTTTTTTTTCCATATCTAGGCCTTTCGGCGATACTCACAGTAGGAAAAGTTCAGTTCTAGGAGCTGGGAAGGTGTAAAGGGCTCAGAGGTGTAAAGGTTGCAAGGGTTGACAGAAAGAATGGGTTTTGGGAAGTTTGAGATGTGGGATTGTATTTATGCAATGGGGCTAGGTAATGATTGAAACTGGGGATTAACATGGCATAACAAATGGCAATGGGAAGCTAGTGTGCAAAAGAAGCTCATCGAAATGGCAATAAAGAGGATGCAGTGAGAATTGTGGCTGCAGAGTGTGCCATGATATTGCCCTATCTCTCGTATGGCTACGAGAGTCGAGAATCTAAATGCCTTCAGCCGCTTGGGACTAAAAGCTCAGTTTTGCAGTATGTTTTCCAATGCATAGAGTTTCACATTAGTTTAAAGAGAATCGGCTCCAAACATCAGTGCAGTCCACCAATCGTCTGACACACCTAATAACACGCCAAAGCTTAACGAATACACACAGACAAACATATCAAATGATGCAGTGGGGTATATTTCAATTTTTTGCTCTACTGGACTCATCTTGGTGCTATTACACTAGTTCTTTGGATACAGAGATGGAGAGTTGCTGTGGGGTGCTTTGGTTCATTACCATGAGTACTGCATGATCAGCAAAGTTTCAAATTAAAGTTTTCCACAGCTTTTGCCTGCAGCATTGAGGACTCCATGAAGTGTTGAAGGTTTACAAGCTGATTTGCTAGCAGGACCATGTTATAATCGTCAGCCCTCAACTACTAGTTGAAGCAGTTAACAAAACTTGCTGTTCAGAAAATTTTATGAAAACATGTGCATGAGCTAAGTATATGTGCCAAATCTAAATATATGTGCCAAAGCTAAGTATATGAGCCAAATATGTGCATGAGCTAAGTATTTCGACTGTGTTGCCAAACCATTCAACAAAAGGTAAAGGTAAATCTTTATCTTTAGACCAAATTATCAAAGTGTAGGTTGTGTATCATGCATGTTTCTTTGAAATAACTATTGGTATATATGCTAAAGCTATATGACATTTGATAGGATGCATGAGAACTAACCATACATGAGCTGACATATTTTGGCACGTACGCTTCTCTTGTCTGCAGCATGCGATGACGGCCGAGTGCGCGTGTGGACTGTTCCCGAGGCTGGCCTGCATGAGAGCCTGACAGAGCCAGACTTTGAGCTGAAGGGCCACACAGAAAAAGTACACTTTCTGAAATTCCATCCAACAGCTGCCGGTGTGCTGGCCTCAGGCTCCCATGACCTGACTGTGATAATCTGGGACATGGAGACTCGCAAGCACAAGGTTCGCCTCGAAGGACATGCCGACCAGGTACTGCTGCCAGTTTTCATGCCATTGAAACATGACTAATCTTTGATAGTGCTTGATGGGGACTCTTTGGCACTCAATAGCCAATGCATGGTTGCAGTTTTTGAGATAAGTTGGATGTCAACTTGAAAGAGGTGTTCCAGTAAATATGCTTCTGAAAATTGTGTATTCAAGCATGCCCAGAATATTTTTTCAATACTCTGGGGATGCTTGAGTCCTTCAAAATTGGCTTTTAGCATGACTGTCATGTATTATCTGCCTTTTCCATGAGCGTTGGCCACGTTGTTGGTTTGGTGGTGTGACAGATGGCACTGGTGTTCTTGAAGTGATGTGGCAAGCCTACTTGTGTACCATGACGGAAGGGTCTCTTCTTCATGGGTTGGATGTGTACTTTGTTAACTTCTTAGACGCTTGACAGAAAGGTTTGCAGAACTGTCATTTGCGCCTGAACTGAAGCGAACACTGCTGAAAGGGTGTAGAAAGAACAAAAGGTATTTTAAGTGTACATCATCAGCAAGAATGACTAGTGTGGTGTCGAGTTCTGTATCAGTGAATTCTTTTTTGTCTTATATGGCATGCGTGTTAGCCCCACAGGGTGCTTTTCATAACATTGTATTAACCTTCAACATCAGATAAGGCGTAATTGCTAGTGCGTCTCTTTCCTGCCTTTCTTACTATCATAACATTAATAGTACACCCAAATTTCGCAGATTTTCAGTTTGGCATGGCATCCAGACGGTGTCTTATTGGCCACCCTGTGCAAAGACCAGAAGCTGCGGGTATACGACCCTCGAAGGAATGAGTTACCTGTGCAGGAGGGCCTTGGACCAACGGGAACTCGTGGAGCGAGAATCATCTGGGTGCTTGGAGGAAGTCACCTGATCACCACTGGCTTCAACAAGTGTGCCTTCTTTTTTTCCATCATAAGCTGCAATGCAATACAGCAATTTGGCCAAGTTTGACATGGTGGATATATGGTGGATATAAGAGTAGCTCACCACTTCTCTGAATCAGTAAAGCCTTACATGCCAACCACACATGAAGGTATAAGCACATTTGAGAATATTCTGACTGCAAGCAGGATTTGTGTCCCAGCTTTTATTGATGCATATGAGTGTTGTCCATTTGCAGTAGTGAAAACTAGAATGAAGAATTTCATTATTGGAGACGATATCCCCTCTACTTTTTTTTTCAGTGCCCGTGCTAATGGTCACTCCACAATTGGAGCTGTTCATCTTTCTAGTTCAGGATGCTTTCAATTCAAATCAAATCAAATTGTGTTGATTGTTTCTAAAGGGCATGGCTGTTTGCATAGCATGTGTATTTGAAAATGCGACGCTGCTGTTCTTGTAGAGATGTTGTAGACATGCTAGTCCTCTCCTATATCTTGTGTTCGGCAGAAATTTTTGTTCGTGCTCCTTTTTTTTGAGACTCAAAGCAATACAACCACTGGCACAGAGTGCTTGTGTTGTGCGTTTTAAAGCCAGCATGTGCAAGATAGAGTATGCCCATTGGTCTTTAATGATGGATCAAAATCTAATGCATAACAACCTTTATGCAGAACACTTGTATTAACAATAATACTTGTATTAATACCTAAACTTTTTTCTGCCTCTAAAAAAAGGGAATTGACACTTACTTATTTGTAGTGCCAAGCCACAGAAAAATTGATGCAGCTTGCTGAGAAAGAACACTTCTTAGTTGTTAAAAAGTTTGTCCTGTTCACGGAATCAAACCTGGGACCAATACCTTTCCAGAGTGGCCACTTTATGGAAGGCTTCTACCACATTGCTGGTTCAATTTGGATGTGATGATAGTGGGCGCCTTTAAGAGTAGCTTGACCTATGCGACATGATGGATGACCACAGGTGTTGCCGTCACCTTACCAGAAAAGGCACTCTTTTAGATGGTTAGCCAAGTAGCTGAAGCAATGTTACGCTTCTTGCAGAGTCTCCGAACGGCAAGTGAGCCTTTATGACAGCAGGTTGCTCTCTGCCCCCCTGACAACAGAGGGTATCGACGTCAGTCCAGCTATACTAATCCCCTTCTATGATGAGGACAGCTCAACACTATTTCTCTCTGGAAAGGTGCGTTTTGCCTTTTTCGTTATATTGAAAATGTTTTATCAAATTTTAATCTTAGTGGCAATGTCGGGGCTTTGCCTTGTTCAGCTCGTGTACTTTCCTTGTCTCACAATGCCGGTTATAGTTATCCAACTGCGTATCACGTATGCACTGTGTTTTTATGGATCCTCAGTGCAAAATGACTGTTTAGTTGCGGAAAAATAAAGGTTATTTACTTATTTATTAAGTATTAGGCAAGACTGCTTAAAATGTATTATGCAGTCAAATTCTATTATAAGAGACACTGATGTGTTTGGGTATAAGATATTCAGTGTGCTTACATTAAAATATGGGTTGATAAGAAAATGCATTTGTGGTACATACCTTGCTCATAAGAGACACCTTGTATAAAAGACAAGAATTGCTCCCCGGTGCATGTTTGTTATAAAGGAATTCAACTGTATTATAATTGAATGCTCACAGCCTAGCTGCTTTTAGCTCTGCTTGATGCTACTGACAGTCCTTTGAACAGGATCATTGCCTTGCAAATAAAGTGGACATCTGTGCATGTAATTCAACTTAAACTGGTATTGGAATAACATGAATACCGATGACATGCAGTTGGCAGCAGTATTCACTCTCTTGACTATAGTGAAATTAAGTGTGGCTCTTTTAGAGAAAAAGTTTATTGTTCTTGCATTGCACCATGCTAACATGGAACTATAACACTATTGTGTAAACGGTACAGTATTACAGGTTCTGCTAGAAAAGTGTTGCAGTATCATCAGCTGTGGAGTATCCTGGTCGGCTGTCGTGCAGGGTGACTCGACCATCTTTGCCTTTGAGGTTGCCCTGGATGCACCATACCTGTTTCCACTGTCGCACTACAAGTGTACCAGTGGGCCCCACCAGGCTGTGGCCTTTCTGCCCAAGCTGGCCTGCAGTGTGGCTGATGTGGAGTTTGCTCGTGCTTTGAGGCTCACCACAAGCAGTGTGGAGCCACTGTCATTCAGGGTGCCACGGCTACGGGTGAGTGCACGTACAACAATGGTAGTACACGTAAACCTCATAATAGCAAGCTTGCATTTGGCAGGGAAATGCTTTGTTATATTTGAAAATTTGTTATATGCAATTATTTTTAACTCTGTATTTGTGGCATAGCTATTAATCACTCACTTCATTATAACCGATAATTTGCTATATTCAAATTCGTTATATCAGGGCTTGAGTGATAAATGAAGTTCGCTTTCTAATTTTTAATACATGCGAGCTCATTCATAAACAGTCCACTAATTTCATCCTGCTAAACTGCAGATCATAAATTAGCAAGCAGTGATGTGTAGGCAGAATTTTTTTCAGGGAGGGGCGACACTTCTCTTATTTTGAGGGGAAGAGGGGCTTCTTCTTGGAATGGTAATTTTTCGCCCCGTATGTAACCGCGAAAAAAAAAATTGAGGGGGGGGGGAGAGGGGCATGGGTTTGGTGTGCCACATTTTGGTTACGCCACTGCCTGCATGTGTCAGTACCATGAAAAACGGGGTTCACCACTTTTCAAAAATTTTTCCTGTTATATCTGTTCATTAAATCTTTTGCCATTGTACCCCCTATTTACACGATGAAGCCGTATATCTTTCATCTTGATCATCAGCAACGTGTGATATACGACATTTTCATTTACTGTGTTTGTGGTCAAATAATTACTGTACTATTTCCTCAGTATTTTGTCTGTTATATATGGCTTTAGGCTAGATTCTGGTGCCTAAAGACATAATGCCCAAGACGAAGTTGGAAGACTGGGTAGAGTCACACGTTTAGCGCTAGCCTTGTCCATCATACCAATATGCCTTCTCAATGTATTACTTTGCTGTGAATGTGATCTTTTTTTTTCGCCATGCATTATGAGGCCATACCACAAGAGTGCAGTGTAATCTATTGTGAGCTGTATCACAGTGCGTGAAGGTAATGACTGTTCTAGCTCCTTAAACATATTCACTTTGTTTTAGAGCACAGCCCGTGAATGCTTGATTATGGGTTTCAGATCGTCCTCATCAGTGTGAATGCGTGAACAACTTGGCACAGGAAGTATGAAAGAGAGTGCGAATGCAGACTGCTTCAGATAATAAAATACAGTGATAGTACTGTGGAAGCATCAGAAGAATAGCAGAGAGCACTCTAGGTCAAAAAACTGTGTGGCAAAGCAGAAAGCTGAATACGACATGCTTCGTTTCAGCGACCCGTTCTGAGATTGCTGCACAGTTGTTTGAGCTGCTAACATATTGCTGATGCTGTTACTAAGGCATGTGGTGAGCTCATTCACCTATACCACGTAGAGAAACAGAGAATAGGTGTGTACTCTGACCTACCAGCACTTTGCCTGTGCTAACACCACTAGAGGATGTGCTCCATGTGAGCTACGCTTTCACGTGATCTCTTTTTTTTTTTTTTTAAATCAGTGATGCAAAGAAGAAGTGCCTAATGTAAAACATGCGAAGGTGTTATGAGCTTGAGAAGGTGTAGCGACCTTAAGAAAGTCGCTGCTAGGCATGGTGTGGCTTTGGTCTTTTCTGCGCCAGATAAGCTCGCCAAGTTGTGTCCGCGCATTTGCAATGGCAAGAGATGCAGTTGCCTGAAAAAACTTGAGAACGCCTTCGTTACATGTTGCATCAGAGTTGTATACTCCATTCCTTTATCCTGCGGTAACGTGTACATTGGCATTACCGAGAGATGCCTGAATGACCGGCTTAGGAAGCATGTGCTAAAGGTTAAGAAAAACGAAGATAAGTATGCACATCTTGTGTCACATATTGCCGCATGTGGGTGTGAACCACGATTTCCTGATACGAAGGTTCTTGGAAGAAGCTTGAATTTATCTGCACGTCTACTGTTGGAAGCATATTTCATTGAAAAAAAAAAAAAGAATATCTGTGTCAGCGAGCCGTATTTGGTGTTGCACCAACAGGAAATATCTTTTCTCGAGGTAAAGATTTAGTGATTCTAGCTGGTTTATCTGCTTCTTGTGTACACCTTTTTTTTTACTTGTTCTTTATTGTGTGGCTGAGCTATATACCTCACGTGCTGTTGGCTTTCCACATGCGCAACTCTGTTAATTATTGCCTATGTGCATTCATGTGTGCGTGTATAAAAAAGTCATATAGGGGCAATAAACAGTTGGCAGTGAGCGCTGTGTGTCGTGTGTGTTACTAGGGTGGATGTGTGAGTGCTTGTGTAAGTGTTTGCGAGACTCAAGGTTGCACTAAATTCTTACAATATGAGTCATAACAGGATAACTTTTGATTGATCATAACAAACCAAGGTAAGCACAGACTAAATAGCAGTTTTCATTTGAAAAATGTGATACTCTAGCACAATAAAGTAAGTTGATTTAACAAATTGGAATAACTCATCTCGAGCTAATTGGTTGATCCTGCTGAGGCGAAAACAGTGTGCATTTGGAGAGAACGGACAGAGGGTTCTGTGTTCCTTCCATCCTCAAGTGTGAGCCGTTTTTGCCTTTGTATGACAACTGCATTTCATGGCTAGTGTTGCTAAATGTTTCCTAGTCATCATTGATAAAGCGTACGTTCTCTGTTACAGTGAAGTGGCAAGGCTTACTGCTGTGCGCTTTTCTTTCCAGTCTGAGCTGTTTCAGGATGACCTCTTCCCCGACACTCGTGTCACCTGGCAGCCAGCCCTGACAAGTGAGGAATGGTTTGCTGGAGTGACAAGGGCACCAAAGTTGGTCAGCCTTCGGCCTCCAGGCATGGAATGCTGTGCGTTTTGCTACCTTGAATTTTTATTACTTTAGTGCTCTGCTAGATAAGCAGCATATTAATTGGTGAGATGTCATGGCATTGAATTAATTGATGTTGCACAACTTTTTTAAGCAAAAGCAGTATGTAACATCAGCTTGCAGCAGTTTTTTTTTTATGATCGTTCAGTGTCTGCGGCTCTGGAACTGCACCCTCCTGCGTCACATGCTCCCAGGCTGCCACAGAGTGCGAGTCTGGACTTTGAAGGAGACTTCACTCTCTCTAGCTCTATTTTTGAGAGCAACAGGGAGAAAGAGGACCAGGCAAGTGTGCTCTGTTACTTGTCATCATTGAACTACATCTCCCATGAGAAATACTTCTAAGATTCACTATTACCCGGCTTTTAATATGTTTCTTTGCCAGTATTGGCTATTTTATATTGAATTAATTGAGGCCTAAAAAAATCTGTGATGGAAGTTTGATGTTTCCTTTATTCCTTTACCAGAGCCAGACCCTTTTCGAAGCTATTAGGCAGTAGAGTAACATATACAAGGACAAGAGAGCATGCTCCGATATGCCTTTGCGGCTTATGCAACTTTGCAGCGTGCCTAGTCAGCACGGTAATCTTTAAAGCATGATTGATTGGGACCGCGGGAAGACTAATCTCAAAGGTTAGTATTTTCTAGTGATAAGAAAAAATTACACAGCCTCTTAGATCACTTCTGCGCGAGTGCTCATCTAGGAGGCTATATTTGAATTTTCTTAATGCACTGCTTGCATGAATCAAGTTGCTTCATGTAAGCTGTACTGCTGGAATGGCAAGTACACGATGCCATTTTGTATTTATGTAGACATTTTTAAAAATAAACATGCCACTTATTGGAAGAGCTGAGGGCTTTTATTTTCAAGTCATATATTCTCAGTAAGCACACTTTGTTTTTTGGCATTTGATGAACATGCGCACACAAAAAAATGGGGACTGTGCAATGCAAGAGATGGCAATACAGCTGCCATGTGTTAAGAATAAGTTTTATACAAGGAATAAACAAATAGGTGACAAAATGACACACCACGAAATAGCATTGTAGTAAAACGCAGCAGTAGTTGCTGTCCTAGTGCACGACTCCAGAGGGCATGAGCTGAAAAAAAAAAGAAAAAAAATTGTTTCGTCACTTTTTCTCTTTCGGCTTTACACAAATTTTCGACGCACTTCACATCACCCTTTAAAGAAAAGCACTCATGTGCACTTGCTGTAGCTTACCATGCATATGTTACTGAGTCGAAAGTGTTTATTCAAAAGAATGTCGTAGCCACAGGTAACAAACTCTCTTCTCAATTCAAAAGTTTTATTTGCAAATTTTTTAAGAAAGGTTTCAAGCAATCTGCAAATGTCACAAATAACGATCCTAAGTGTAACTGCATAATTTTGCACAATTGCTCGCACATGCATTAAATTGGAAATGTATACTGGCATTGTATGCAAAGAGAAAACCTAACAATGCAACTGGCAACTCGCTTTCTTACAACAAGAAACAATTTTCTCACCAAATGCTACACAGTATTTCAAATGCGTAGCTATGTCTTACTTAGTATAAAGCAATCCACGAACATCATGTGTGAAGTGAAGAACACAAAGCTCTCTATACCGAACAGCACAAAGCAACAAATGTCAGCTTGAGTGACTACATACCGTAAGCACTTTACATGAGTTCATGAGATGTTCATGATGACTGTTTGATAGTGCTTCAGGCTATTCAATTCAACGCCAAGAAAACTTGGAACATGTCCCCTAAGGGAATCCTGATGGGATGCGAAGCAGCAGCGTTGCGCACGGGTGGCGTCATGGTTTGAACGATGCTAACGTGGGTGCTGCAGTGAGCGCTGGAAGATTTGTTTGAAGGAATGGCACAGGTCTTGCAGGTAACACGTACAGATATGTTTCAACGCATATGTTAGGCGCACGTCAGGTTTAGTGCGCGTGAACCGACAAGTTGGCGTTGTAGCAAGCGGCGGTCAAGGCAGGTGTTGCGGGCAAATGTGTTGCGGGCAAAGGCGGCAGCTATGTGCCGCGGCAAGCACGCAGCAGGCGAGGGAGAGAGTGACGCCAACGCGCACTGCGAGGGGAGCATGACGTCAGCACGCAGCAGCGGCGTGACCTACTTGGCACCGTGCCAACACCTGCAGCACGTGATGCGTTTGTACAGAGGGATAGCGTTACACAGGCTAGTCAGAGCTGCTTCACATCTAATAATAGTGTTCTCATTAAGCAGCAGCCAAGTTTGTTCAGACAGATGAACCCATAAAGACCACAACTCATTATCTCACGTCTTTTATAGCGTTGCCTAGCTGCTGTTTGTACTTTGTGGCTTAATATGTTATTGAACACATGCCGTGACAATGTTGCATCACATCGACACCATGATGCACATTTTTCTAGCCCGACCTATGCCTAATTGACAATGTGAAATCGTCCAATCGTGTAGAATAAAGAGGAATTTGGTGTCGCACTGTGACCTACTAAAGGCCATGTCCATAGGCACTCAGACAAGTGAATATATATTGCACTAGAAAAAGTACTACAGCAGATAACTAGATTATGTGCATTACTTTGGAGACGGGGATTGATTGCCCTTTAGCAGGCATAACAAAGCTGCGTAGCTCTGCCACTTTAGGCTGGAGTGTCCACTCTCGCAATTCGTGTTACTCTGACTAGACACCCTTCTGGCATTCCACAACACCAAACTCAGTTATGTGCCTCCTTAGAACATCCAATGAAAAGTATCAGGCGGGAATGTCGTGATAAGAATATGTGAAAAGTTAGTTTTAAGAAATAGGTGTCTGTAGATTCTTGATGCAGCAGGATGCCAGAAATATACGTGGGAAAGCCCCGCCGCGGTGGTCCAGTGGCTAAGGTACTCTGTTGCTGACCCGCAGGTCGCGGGTTCAAATCTCGGCTGCGGCGGCTGCATTTTCGATGGAGGCGGAAATGTCGTAGGCCCGTGTGCTCAGATTTGGGTGCACGTTAAAGAACCCCAGGTGGTCAATATTTCCGGAGTCCTCCACTACGGCGTCTCTCATAATCATATGGTGGTTTTGGGACGTTAAACCCCACAAATCGAATATACGTGGGAAAATGTACCAGTGAAGAATATATATGCAAGGTTCTACTATGTATACTTGTCTATTGCCCTCCTTACAGTTTTGGCACTTCAATGCATTCCATAAACAATCCTTGTACTCAAGCTCAACCTCTGCTCAACCTTATCACATCAATAAGAGAGAACTCCTCTAAGAGCCCTACAACACAAATAAAAGTGGTAGACCACACACAGAAAAAATTTATGTAAAAGAAGGATTGCAATAACTTGTTTTTCTGTATAAGCATGTCTTATTTCACTTGCGCAACTACATAATTCTAGAGCAATTTTTTTTTTCTTTGTGGGGGTTCTATAACTTTCTTTGGGTGTTCTAGTTACTGACCAATTGCTGAATTAAGTAAAGCTATGCCATCTACGTAGCTAAGCGAATGAGCTATGCAATGAGCTAGGTAAGTGTATTGTTTAAATTCTCTCGACCATACGCATTGGGCATGCAATCTGAGTTGTATACTCGAAAACATTTGAGAGGTTATCTATACAGTCAGGCACTACCTGTGTGGAGCTTTTACTCATGTAAGCATTGTTATACAGTGAAACCAAGTCACCACAAGAAGAGAGAAGTGGACATGTCATTATTAATGCATACCTCTCTTAAAGGGGCCCTGCAACACTTTCTAAGTAATCATCTAATGTCTTCATTGAAAGAGTTTATTCCTGCATGAATGGACTGCCATAAATACTTTAAGAATCTGCCAAGTGTGAGTGGAGTTATAGGTATTTGTTACACGCCGTAAGTGCTTTTTCTCTTCTCTTGTCTTGAGAATATTTTTTTCTCTTTGACTTTCGATTGCGTGCACGCGTGTGGGTACATCCCGCCATCTTGTGGCGACCACAGAAACTCTGAAGTTCATGATGCTCAAATCAGCCGTTGGTTCTGGATTTATCACATTGTTGAGAGAAGAGGGAACGATTTCTTGCTAACTTCGAGGAAGAATTGTCAATTCCAGGCTGCATGCTGTGCTATATAATGCTTGGCCCACATTTTCTCGGGACCCTCGACTGCCAATCGGCAGCATTTTCCGACCGTGTTGAAGAAGTTTTGCAGGGGCCTTTTAATGTTGCAGCAATAGGGTGAAAGCTATTGAGCTTATTTGACAAATGCATGTATGCACTGAGCATTGAAGTTTATGGTCTCTTTCTGCAGGATGAAGACAACTGAAGTGTGAAGGGGTGGAATAATGATGGGCGCCCACCTCATTTCACGCCATAGCTTTCGGAAAGAGTGCCAAGAGAAAGCACCAAGAGGAAATTGTTATACAATCTTTTTTTTTCTATGTGGCCATACGCTTTTTATATTATTACCATTTGGTGATCAGACATTCAGTAATGCAGTATGGACTTGCCTATATTTTAAACCTTCTATCTGCTCTTCTTCTAGAATAATGGTGGAGAATCTGCATTCTTCTATATTTGTTCAGGCTAAAAGTAATATATTAAGGAAATAAATGAATTGGATTAAACAATGAATAAGGAACACTGATACGAAAAACTTGTGAAGGAAGGGCTTGGTCACCATTGCCAGGCATTGCAGACCATGTGTTATTTAATATAACTTTTTTAAAAGTAATATTCCTGCTCTTTTGTAGTGAATGTGCACAAATGTGACCCGAAATATGATATGCTCGCACCACACACACTAGCACTGTCGAGGCAAAGCATGCACTTGAGGCTTTAAGACTAGTCACTGCTATTTACCAAGGTTGATGTATCTTTCAAGATGACCTGTCTGTAGGCACAGAGAGCTTGATTTATTCCAGCATGACTACCAAAGATATTTTAAAAATAGCTTTTTCGTTAATGTGGCTTGGATAATTCTTATCATGTCAGAACTGTTTTGTACTTGAAATAAGCAGAGTGGCATCTTCATTGCACCCTTAAACGTTCCTTATTCCAAGCATGCCACAGTTGTTTATTTAATGTGAAGCATTTCTTGCCAAACCAAAAACTCTTTCCTGTCTATCCGCCTACATCTGGGCGCTTTCGCTACAGTCTGTCTTATCTTCACAATATACCAAAATGGGCATAGGAGAACATGAGTGTATGACGAACACAAGTCGTGACACCAATGGCACATCTGCTGTGTACGTTGTGTGTCATAGAGAGTCGGTCACCAATGGCATTGTTTGTCAGTGAAAGAAATTCAAATAAAAATTATGTTTTGACGACTACTAGTTATGTCATTGATGTTGAATTTTCAATCTGGACTTCTGACAGTTGGCACTTCAAATAAAGAAAATATCTTTAGGACTGATGTATATATTTTTTGTGCTATCTGCATTGCCTTGTTTGGCTGCTGGCCTGAAGGATGTGGGTTCAATAACAGGTGCAGAAAATTGCTAAAGGGCTGTGTACTGTGCGTTTCGATATATGCTAAAGAGCTCTAGGAAGTCAAACTTATAGGCGCCCTCCACTGTGTTGTTTCTTGTAGCCAAAGATGCTTCTGGGCTTAACCTTCATAAAGAAACATTGTTATACAGCAGCACAAATTAGTGGTACGAATGCCGAGATTATGATGTTCAATTGCATAGAAAAAATTCTGTTTGGGGCCTAGTTTAGCTTCGGAATCTGGTTATCATAAACTGTCAAGGTACGGTTTGTAATTCGCTGTTCATTTGCCATCTAGTGTATTTGCTTCACAAGTTCCTGCCCTAGCAGAAGCTGATATTCATTCCTGTATAATCTCCTGTAAAAATCTCTCGTGCTGACATTAGCACACTGTCGCCAGGACAATCCATTGCAAAGGTGCTGCACGTTAAGATCTAACAAGCATGTATACTGAATATTTTTGGTCCTATGGGATGTGAATGAAGATCGTTGGGCAGGAGTGGATGCATCTGTGAATGTAAGAAAGTGCCTCCGAGTGAGAGTACAGTGGTGAATACGAATTGCGGTTGAGTGGTCAAGAGAGTGAGTGATTGAAGGGAGCAAGTGAAGCATGAACGCAAGGTATCTGTGAACAGGGATGAACGTGACTTTTAGCCCAAGTGCCTGTAAGTGGGAGTGCAGGTATAAACATGAGAAAGCGCCAGAGAGAGGTTAGACAGGTGGGTGAGTAGTGGTGGAGATGAGTAGACTTATGAAGAATGGGCAAGTTGTGGCTAGTGATGGGTGCGAGTGAGAGCAGTGAACATGAGAAACAAGTCTTGAGAAGACTGTGCATGCACACGAGTAATCGAGTACCTATCAGTGTGAGGAGACGAAAAAACGAGCATGTTAGTGCTGATAATTGGTGTGAATTAAATGCCTGAGTGTGTGAGTGGGTATGCACAGGTGTGGCGATTAAGTATATGAGTGTGTACCTGTTGAGTGTGAATTGATGTATGAGTGCGTGTGACTAACTACGTGAGTGAAAAGACATGAGTGGGTCATCGTAGCTGTCTTCCTTGTCATATGCCGACTGCAGGATGAAGGCTTAGATCTTCAAGTGATGATCAACACGTACCCCACTGTCCTGCATAAGTTGATTCTATTTTATGCCTCCGAAATTCTGATTTTGTTGTTCTAACACTCAATCACTTTAGTGTGAATCAGTAATCTTATAATGTAGGTGAGTATTCTCTTGTACTGCAAATTTATAATCCTCTGTGGATGCGTTATTTTTGCTGCTGTACTTTCACACGCCACTACGTAGCCAAAATAACTGCTTTCATGTTATCTTGTTATAGCTTATGCTCAGATGTCATCTGCAGCTTTCGACTGCAAAGGTTGTGCATCAGTGTATCAGTGCACCAAATAAATTCAACATTTTCAGAGTGTGCATTCATTTCTCGTAATATAGAATATTTCAATTTGTGCTCAAATAACATTTTGAATCATTTGCATTTTTTGTATAGAATACTTCAATGGAAGTCAAGTTTTCTGCGATGATTCCCATTTTAATGTAAATATTACTTTTCACCATCAGCATTAATTATGATACAAGAGCAATACTTGTACCCGGCATAACTTAATTATTATGTTCCCTGGTATCAGGTTTAAATAAGTAGACATTTCGAAAACTATAATCCAAGTGTTTTGATTATTAACTCGTGTTTTCGACAAATGGAGCTGTGGATGGAAGGAAAACGAGTGAGAGGAAAGGTAGGGGTGTTAACCAGTTTGGCATAACCTAGTATGCTACCCTTCACAGGGAAAAGAAATGGGTAATTACAGTAGCTGCAGATAAATTGCACTCTGAACAGTGTCCTCTCGACAAATGGAGATGTGTAAATTTTATGAATCGTTAGAAGTAGTTGACATTTGACTTGGGACAACCACAGTATTTGTACTCGTAGAGAAACTCAATGCTTGTACCCCAGGTGCATGGTAAAGTGAAAAGAGAATGAATAAGTTGGGCACGTTTGTAACACGTAGTAGATGTAAGAACAGCGCAGCAGATAAGGACTGGCTAAGGGAGCTCACAATGAGTTATTGAGAGAGATTGTAACGGCTTGCTTTGTGTTATCGAAAATATTTAAAAGCGTTCGCCACGAAACCGAAACCTTGTTCGCAATGAATTTAACGTGCATCTCGCCACAACCCGGGTTGAGCCAGCAATTATTGTAAAACATTTGAAGTGAATTGGGTGGTATAAATTGCGACACAAGCTGTGATTCAGGTCACTCACAGATTAAAAATAGCAAACTAAATTTAGCCGCGTTCTTTAGTGGGGTTGGGGCTACTGTCGCCAGTCATGGAGGCCACACATCTGTGGGCCACGTTCGAAGTCGAGGGCGGCGAGGGCGGCTGTTCGACGTGAGATGACGCGCATTTGCTGGCCGCGTGGCGCGCGATCAGCTGAAAAGCCTCTGATTTGGCCCTGTGCCACCCGGCCTTGCGTTAGTGGGGCTATCTGATATAATCTACTTTCTAAGTAGCGTGTATATATAGCAACGTGTGCCGGTTACCCGCACACCAAGTGAGACCGCGTTCCCTGGTGAGACGGTGTGTTCCCTGGAAAATAGGCCGTGCGAAGGTGCTTTTGAATGCTGTTCTCGCGCCGACTTGCAGGGTTGTCACGTTTTCAGGCTTTGCTAATAAGTGTTTTCGTTTCTCACTCTAGCCATGGCAGAGCAGAACCCGGCGGCCACGAGTAATATCGACGGCATTATGCAAACCATCGAGACCAACCACGATGAGGCCTTCCTGTACGTGTCTCAGGGACTCAGCTACGAAGAAAAAGGCGAAAACGCCCTCGCGACCGAGATGTACTACAAGGCGCTCGAAAAGTTAGCCAACGGCTTAAGCCCCTACGTCGACCACCCGAGTTGCAAGGGTCCGCAGTGGGTCAAGGCACGCAGCATGCAGCGAAAGATGCGACACATTAAGGACGAGGTTGAGTTTCGGCTTATCGCCATCGAAGCAGCCGGCGGAGCGCCTCTGTATGCCGACAGGCCACCCACATACGACGAGGCGACCAGCGCGAATACTGCCCACCCACCGAGGAGAGAAGCGGAAGAGCTATTCTGTATCGAGTCTGGTGTTCAGGTACGATGAAGCGAGCCTTGGGCTTAGATCTTTAAGTGCAAATCGACAGAATGTTGAGTGAATTTAAACATTCGATGTGTTATAGATAAGCAAACTGTGTCGCAAAAAGCCAGGAATGGTTTAGTCTTCGAAATCGAATGATTTAACGTCATATCGGCAAACTATTGCAGATTTACCACTGAGTTAAAGTGTAGTACGATGTCATAGGTGTAAGAAGTCTGATCCCCCCCCCCCTCCCCCTGAAAATTTTCAGTTTGTAAGCGTCCCCCCAGTTTTTAAGCGTACACACTCGCACACACGTATTTAAGCTTCATCTAGTTCAAGTGAAATGTCAGCAGTATATAATGGTTCATAAAAATCAACGACCTAGACTTAGGATGACTGCCAGTTGGGCGTGTTGGTAAAGGTTCATGATGAAACAAGCGCTAAAATACACACACTCGGAGAGGACACAGACAAGCGCTTCCTAGCAACTGAAAATTTTATTTCGAAGCAAGCACTAATAAATGCATCACACGCATGTACGTCATTCCCGGGAATGACGTACATGTGTGTGATGTATTTATTGGTGTTCGCTTCGAAATAAACTTTTCAGTTGCTAGGAAGCGCTTGTCTGTGTCCTCTCTGAGTGTGTGTATTTTTGCGCTTGTTTCATCATGGACCTAGATTTGTTGAGCACAGGTGCATTTAAAAATTAAACTAACAATATTTCTGTAACATGCAGTCAGCATTAAGACTTTAAGAACCATGTGACAAGAAAAAGCAGAATATTCCTGCTGCTCTGGCAGGTAGTTTAAACTTCTCTCTTTCTATAAAACACACTAACGAGTTCAGGCAGTTTGACTGAATTCTGACCTAGTGTTCTCTAAACATACACCCGCTGTAGATAAATGGCTCGAACCCCCCCCCCCCCCCCCCCGGCCCTTCTTAATTTAAAATCCTCACCACGTCCCTGCAAGGAGTGTAATTGTGTGAAACAGCAAATTGTTAGTGTCGGGTGAAAATGGGAAATGATCAACTGAATTTAGACAAGTAAGCATGGGCAAAAAACTTTTGTTGCAATGGAAACATGACCCTTAAAACATACATCTCCAAAATGGTTATTCTGTGTATGTCCCGGGAAGATAGTTCTTGCCAGTTTGAAAAGTACTCCAGCACGCAATGCATTATATTAAATTTTGTGCAATTAAATGCTTTTTTTAAAAAGTATCTGTTGTACAGTAACAAAAATATTTTATAATCAATAAAAATTTGAAAAGTGTGTAATTTTTGGTAGCCAGTTAGTAAACAGTGCAATAGAAAACACTATATGTGTAAAAATATTTAAAAAAAATTAGAATATACATTTTGAAGAAAAATGATGTAGAAACAGTACAAAAAATAATAAATGTTGTACAAAATGTTTCCATTCCCATGCACAGAGAAAATTGGAACCGAGGTGCTGCTTCATTGCTCGTGCCATGCGGTGAAGCATTATTTTAAAGCGAAAGCTGTTATGGGATCACAACTCGGGTCCCGCACAGCGCCGTAGTTGTCCACTGCCGCCAGTGTCCATAACCACATCAAACGAAATTGTAAAAAAAACCTAGTACCAATTACACAGTGGGGCTCAAACCGGGTCCACTGGGTGCAAGCCCAGTATTATTCTACTGAGTCACGCCGGTGCTTGGGACGGCAAACTTGCCTTAGGTAGGCTTGATGTCGGGAAAGCAATCATGTTAACACGACTTATAAAGAGTCTTAAAACAGCGAAAGATCATACAGTCGTCGCACAAAGCGAATAGCGTATTGAAGGGTTCGAGCAGTGAACCCTTCATTCTTTCATTACAAAAGCTTGTTTTTGTTCAGCTATTAACTGTGATGCATATCCACTTTCTCATCCTCGTCAGCCACTGCATGAACAATTGGCACAAAATTCCTCGCAATAGTTTAGCAGATACCATGCTTCTCAAAAGAATGATGAGAAATAGCGTAGCGAATGCCGGCCTAGTACCCTAAATTTTTTATTATTAATGCTGTAGCGGGCATCAAGCAAGTGTGCTTGCAGCAGTTATCCAATAAGTGTTTATAAAAGGCTTTGAAAGGCCACTCTTCTAGCTTTCGCTGTGACAGCGCTGCACCTTCCGCACAGGCCTGGCGTGTTTTTTGTGAGACACAAGTGAACTCGAACACCTTCTCGGTAACTTTACGTTCTTTGTGATGAGAGCCTGCAGCTGTTCCTATATAGATTAACGGCGAAGTGAATAATCTCTCTATAAATCAAATGTCCAATGAGCTCCGCTATTTCATATAGCATCACTTCTTTCCGTCAGGCTTTCTTACTCTGTGTACGTTGGCGTTTCAATATATGCATTCAAGCATATTCCTTTGCATTTTTGCACATCCTAATAAAAATAAAAACAATACTGTGCGCAGTTCTAAGACTTTTCGCGCTGCTCCGTGGTCGGGGCCAATATGTGCTCCGGTGGCCTTGTTGTGAGTAGCTCTGCAGCCAGCGCTAGCACACTGTGCCCCAGCGACGGATGGACTTCGCACGTAACCAGAGTAGCTATAAGACAGTGCACAGAGGTTAGCAGCTAGGCACTTGCAGTGGAGGAGACAATTTGAGGTCTTAAGCAAAACAAACCGATGAACGGCTGCAGATCTCTAAGGCTGACACAAAACATTGTCGCCACAAAACTTGGAGCTGAGGTGCTGTCATTCTCAGAGTCTAAGTTCGTACTCACTCAATTCAGGTGTGGTTGCAAGAGAGTGTTTTTTTGCAAGACATTGTTTTTTGCAGTGCAGGTGAGTACCCTTGCACGCATGACGACAATGCCATAGTAGCAACTAGTGACAAATACAAGCTAAACCAGAGCTGCTAGAAACTGGCTGAAAAAGCCACCTATGTACATTATACGTGCGGCGGACCTTCGGCAGTATTCTTTTATAGAACACGTTTTTCTGACTCTTAACAACATCTCTCTATGAATAGCTGGCATAAATTTCTGGCAATTATTACTGCTCAACACCGTCAGATTGTGAAGCTGACAGCCTAATTTGATGTTTACTACCGAAGGTACTTTTAACCACAAAACTTTGTTGTTACTGTAGCATAACCACGAGGGGCACGCACTTTTGTCAACTTAATTAGCTAAGTGCATTTTTCCAATAAAGGCATATTGGTTTGCTCAAAGGTCTGTCAAAAATCACTATGCAGTCAAAAATGGCAAATTCAAATTGATTCTTTAAATTGAGTGGCTGGGTTCACTACCCAATAGTACTGGGTGTACGAGAAACAAATTCAACATGCCAAAATCTACAATCTACAGCATAAATCGCCAGTGATCGATTTGAATAAGCGTGTTAATGAAAGAGGTAATCTCTGTGCTTTTTTTGTTTTGTTAATTTTGTAGTGGCAATGCTATTTGTTGTTTTTATGGACCATGCGAGTTCATGGCCAAGGGCCTTTTTGCAACATTTTCATTACATCAGCGGCAAGCAGCAACAGCACTACGCCCAAGATCCATCCATTCCTTAATCGATGGCCTTGCTATTTTCCCACTGGCCACCAATATTTTCCACCATTCCCTTATATTAAAGCGATGCTCGCTTCAAAAAGTGAAAGCTTCTCTCATGCGAGAAGTCTATCAGCATAACTGTTATCAGTCTCAACCTCTTACACAAAGTGATATCTATCCAACGGCACACTGTTCAAAGCATGCCGTGACAGCATTGACTCTGCTATAAAAAACAAAAAAAAAACTGTTGTACTGTAGGCAAGCGCTTTGCATGAAAACAATGAACTAACACTGCGCTTCGTGGCAGTAGAAAATTGATTTACCAATGAATAACAAGAAGACCCATTTCCAGCCTAGTGCTGCGGTCGATGGTTTGTGGCGCACCGTTATGTGGCACGAACAGGCAGTTTGACACGCGCTTGCGTGATTCATGACATTTTGTGGTTGACTGCATTGGTTGTTTCACTGTTAAAGGAAACTTGCGTGTGGCTGTATGAGGGTGCACTGTTGAGAGGGCACTCACATGCAGGAATACAGTCGCAGTAATGGAAAAACATGTGCAGACCTTGTGCTCGTTTCATGTTGTGTCCATTTGCCTGGGTGTGTGTGCTATCTCTGCAGTCTAACCATAAACATTACAATCGCATCATGCCAAGCAACACCTGCTGAAGCACTTTTTGAAATTGGTCTATACAAGCCGTAAAGATTACCATAATTTCTTCGGCAGTATGTGCTACTAATAACTTATTCAAAGGAAAGTTTTGTTGCACAAACCTTTAGGTAATTTACATATGTTTTCATGGATAGTTCTCTAGTGATACCATGGCTTCTCATTGTGGTAGTACCCAGAAATTGCAGCCAGAGTTACACCGGTGCACATTATCATGCATTCAATGCTTTGTACTTGACAGTGGCAGCTGTTTGGAAGATTTAGGTATTTTATTTTGCCTCTTGGCACAAAGCATATCTGTAGTGCTGTTGCATTTATCATGCCCATACAGCTTCTCGAAGTGCTAATATCCTAAGATGACGGCCGCAGTGATGTCAGCCCTAACTGCTGACAGCAGTGCACCATATTTTAAAGTTGTTCCCAACTCATGTTCACCCCAGATCTTCTATGTCTCTGCTGGAGGAGGGGTTGAGGCACCACCTGAGCCAACCGATCTCCATGTATACCGTTTGCCGGGCAGACAGGACGCCATGTTTCCTGATGAGAAAGCCCCACTGCCATGGCTACAAGTGGGCTCATGGATTTACCCCTTGGTACCCAAACAGTCCCCGGCCTTGAAGTCGGGCTTTGGAGCCTACCTCTTTCCCAATATAGATGCACCCCTGAAAGAATCGAGTAAGAAATTTGAAGCCAGTCTTGCTCTGTTATGTAGTCTTTTCGAAAACTGCTGTGACAAAGGGCAGTGAAAGGTGTTATAGCTCTGCAAAGATCAAAGTTGACATTGTCAAAAGGTTATAGATGTCAGCAGATAAAAAATTACTTCATTAAAATGTTCCATAGCACAAAATAAATATGTGATGTCTCAATGGCAGAGCATGGCATCTTGGCCACATGCATTCCGGATGCACTCTGTAGTGATTTCTTCTGTATTATATCTTTTGAGAACCAAAATTTTTCATTACTTCACAGTTCCGTATGTATTGTTAACATTATTGAGTAAAAGGACATGTTAAAAGCAGTTTTTTTTCTGTTCATGCTTATCACACTACCTTTATTGTTTATTTATTTATTTATTTATTGTTGACGAGACCATGCCATAAAATTTTTTTTCTTTCCACATAGCATACTGAAAGTGCAATTCTCGGGCTAGAGTATCCATGTTTTATCAAGGTTATGGTCTTTTGCACAGGTGCATCTGTAGGAGTCCTGCTTCCTGCCGACCTGCCTGCCGAGATGATCTCGCTTTTTGAGTCTCTCATGGAAGAGCTTACTGCCATGAAGATAGAAGTCCTTGATGACTCATGCTTCACAAAGTGTGACCCAGAATCTTTCTTGAGCCGGTTTCGTCGGTCTACTTCTTTCAGCCAGCAGGTTTCCGACACCATTGTAGCAGGTGTGTACTTGAGCCCTCCTCTACTTATTTTGGTTATTTGAACATTATGTAAGAATTTATTGTTAAGCTTATGGAACTGATGCAGTTGAACCTCAGTACACTAAAGAACCCCATTTAAGTATCATTCATGGTTTCATATATAGGATAATCTTTTTTTTTTTTCCAATCATAGCTTCACTGAATGCACTGCATTGAAAAATCTATGCTGTTGGGCTTGTTAGTTTGTGAATTACACCTACTTCTAGTTTAAGAGCCTCTTCTGCCCCCCTTGCCAAGTATTACTTTGCACTGTAATTAACTGTCACACAATTGCATGTTTTTCTGAAGTTTACTGGTGTGCATTGCGTACATGTAGTCTTTGCGACTATAGCTGGATACAACTTGAGAAATCCGGAGTGGCCTAATCCAGACTGCTGAACTGCAGACGTTCATTGCTCTTGTGATGAAAGAAATGATCCTACTCGGCAAAGTTCTCTGAAGGTGAAGTCAATGGCAGTCTGGCTTATGGTGTCAGTCCGGAGTGCGCACCCATTGGCGCAGGCTTGTGTGCATCCTTTTTGAGGAGAAAATGCTATGGACTTTAAAAGTTGAATCCAACTGAAGTAAAAGATACTCTAGTTTTAATGCATCATTTTCAAAAGTCTATGTGCATCTGTATTTTGCAAACAAGAGAGAGAAAAAAAAAATAACAATGAAGTAGAGAAAGAGCACATCATATTTATGTCCTTAGTACCAGTTAAGAGGGTACTGACGATTTTTGTTTGGCATTTTCTTTCTTTTTTTTTTTGCTGCCATATATTACTAGGCGCTATTAGTCATAATATGACACATTGCTTGCTACAGAGTGTTAGAGAGAATCAGTTACAGTCTATTTATTACCAACCAGTTTCAGTTTTGATATAGAAAAGCTCCGAGAATGGAAAGCCACTGGATGCAACAAACACACTCTATTGTGTGAAACTGTACTCAGAGCTGTAATGCACTTCTACACTGCCTGCATCATGCGCTCGCATTTTGCTGCATGTGCTGTGCGATGTCGTTGCAGTAATTGTCATCGTCTTCATTATGTATTGTCATATCGGGACAATGACATTCTTGAGGCTTCAACATGTTCACTGCGGGTACATACTCTTGAGCAGCCAAACAGTAGCTTGCTGACGCAAGCCCGGCCAAACGGCAGTGGCGACTACTACATCATTGTTCTGGCTGCGCTGCTTTGGGGATTGGCCTCGGTGATAATGTCTCGGAAGTCTAGGGTCGACTTAGATGATTTCAGTGTCGCAAGGTGCAGCATATAGCTCTGGAACACATGCGTGAACTTCAAAATTAATTTAAATTGCCTATCAGGCTACACTCTGTCGAGATTTGGCAGATGTCGTATGCATGCTCTCAAAAATTGAACTCGCAGGCCACGGAGCGAGAATTTTTGAGGAGGGGCAACTCCCAGGACGCGGCAGCGCACAAGGGCGATGGGATAGCATCATGGAGGAATTCAGTTTATGCCGAAGCTTTCGGCATCTTTTACATGGGCTTCTATGGAGCGACGCATAAAATCGTCATAGCGCCTTGCAGATGGTAAAATTTTTCAGGTTTCTGTCTGTAACATCAATCTGTAGATGTGACAGATATTTTGGTTGCAGTTACTCATTGTACTGTCAGAATCATAGGTTATACAGCGCTTGAAACGAGCAGCTGAGTGGTGCCAAAACAGGCGACGTCTGCCACATGCACATTCATGCGCCCTCTGTTCTCACTCGCATGTTGTGCATGCGCATGCATAGGTGGCCTTGCGAGGGAAAGCTCCCAACAAGTTGTTGCAAATCTCTTTGCAATCTTCGCTCTCTCACTGGCTTCCTCACTTTGCGGCGACTCAACCGACTTTGCGGTGTCTGCGCGCTTTTCACGACGCCACGAAGGAGAGTGGTTTGAACATTTCGACCAGTGCTCGGTGTAAGATATACAGGTGCTAAAACTCTCCCCGCAACGCATTTAGAAGTGCAATCCCAGCTCGTCCAGATAATGTTCGGACCATTATCAGTTATTTAGCAGCTTCATCCGTGCCTTCTTAAATGGTGCTATGACAAACGGGGTCAGCCGTCTCGGCAGCATGGACGGCAGAAGCATGCATGCTGCCAATCTTTTTGTTAGCATGTGTGACCACGCTGTTTTGAAGCCAGGTTTCTTTTTTTGTTCGTGTGTATTTAATGTTGTTCGTGTGTATTTAATGTTGTTCTATCAATAAAGGTGACATTAAATCGCTGAGAAGTTCCTGAATTTGGTAGAGCTTGTTTTGTGCTGAGCTGTCGTTTTGGCTATCGAGCTTGTGCGGAGCGTGTACCTCTCTTCAAAGTGCCATCTGAAAGTGATCGTTGGCATAAATATGCGAATTCTCATAGTAACATCTAACCATGAATACTAACCGCATTGCTTTAGTGTGCTGTTTATGAAATACTTGGGTGGTTCAAATATTTATATATCTTGCGGAATAACTCCATTGCTCTGTGTGCTGGATATGGAATAATTGTGCATTCAAATATTTACACTCAAACTTTGTGATAACGACATTGAAGGGGAGCCACAATCAATTCGTTATATTCATTATTTTGTTATATCGATTACAACAGTTTGTGGCAATGTATGCTCACATGGGCGCACACCTATATATAGGCATTTAAAGAAAGAAACCGTCTCGTGGCCCGATGTACCGCTACGCGACCACGCATGCGACGGAAAATAAACACGGTCGAGCCTCATTAATTCGAAGACGCTTAATTCAAAGCAATGTCAAAGCTATGTGTATTCCAATGGGCATAAACGGCCTGTAATTCGAACACGCAAGCACTTGCGACGGTCAATTCGAACATACAACACTCCGAATATGCTCTTAGCACCATGCCCAATCCCGCAGCGGCACCTCTCAACGCTGCGCGCAAGAAAGGAAAAGAAGAAAAGGAAAGAAAAGACTGTGGCGAATTATTTGCTCTCTCTCAAATGTCGATGTGCGAGGCGCCTGTGCCAGGCTTCTCCCTTTTCCGTCTCTGCACGTAGAGACTCTTCTCCTTTCAAGGCCGTGCGCGGAGAGGGAAAAAAAAAAACTGTCGCAGGGGGTTCTCCTTTCTCTGTGCAGAGAGTAGCAGCGGAAACGCAGTTGTTGCTGTCGTCTTCAAAGGGACACTATAGGCAAACAAGAATTTACGTCGGAGTGAAAGCGCTATGTATGACAACATCTAAAACGGCAATATTATCAGCAACATAGCCCTACTTAACGAGATATTAATGTAAATGCACAAGAACGCAAGCGCCGCGGTAGGACGTTTTCAAAATGATCCTAATGACATCAGACAGACCGCCTACAATTAATCACTAGTAATCAACCTAACTGCACTAAATAAAGAACGTTCCGTTAGCAGACTCGATAAAATGCTGTTTGTTCGTTTCTGTTTGATTCATGAAAAAAAGAGTTGCCGCTCCTTACTATGGGAAATGGCGTGAGTGGTTAAAAAATTCAATTTTTGTGTGGTTACACGAGACAGGTGATGCCATCTAGTGGGGCACAGTTGAAACAAAAGCATCTGCAATCTCGAAGCCAATGGTGGGAAATTAATCAATGGCCGTTGTTGCAGTTGTGGCTCCTGCTGCTTGCAGTCTGCTGCTACTAGCGCAGTAAAGCCGGGCAACGTTGTGCATGGCAACAGTGACGTGAGACGGTCCGCTTCTTGAGGCGGTTAATTTAAAGTGCGCTAACCCGATGCGGAGCACTAAAATGTGATTTTTTTTCAAAATAGGCCCTTGCTTGGCACAAAAGTAACACTACGAGGTTTCTGGACCGCCATTTAAATAATCAACGTCGTCTTAATAGTTGACTTTAATGTCCCTTTAGGGTGCAGAGAGGAAATCGCTTTGCACTGCGGCGCCGCTTGTTGGTCATGTGACCCGCTGAGCACTTCCTCAATCCTCTCCACTGGCTGTGTGAAAAGGACAGCTCTTTCAGCTGCACGTAGCGTGGCTGTAAGGTTGGCGCGGTAGTTTTGAAAGAGCCGTGCTGAACGAGCGTCAAACTCCGCAGAAAACGATATACTTAACCCACTACAATAGTTTTTTTTTTGATAAACTATTTGATAGACTAATTTAGTTCCTTATATTCATTTATCGGTCAATTTTACTTTATTTCTACGAGGCTAAAAAATCATAGTTCTCAATGGCACTTTCAAGGGGAATCTCATTTACTTCGTTATATCCATTATTTTATTATATCCCATTACGTTATAACGAGGTTTGAGTGTATCTATATTGCGTTCACATGGAACAAGCGCAACTATGGTTCAACGATTTCCTGTGCAAATGAAAGCTGCAATACGCATTAAATACATTTCTGCTGCAGTAACTATGCTCTTTTGATAGAGGGGTAATAATTATTACTGGGGGTTTACGTGTCAAAAGCACGGTTTGGTTATGACGTACCCCGTAGTCGGGAGCTTCTGACTAATTTTGACCATCCAGGGCTGTTTATCATGCACCTGCATCTAAGAACGTGGGAGTTTCTTGCATATTTTTTCGCGGGGAAATATTTTGATGGAGTAACATCACGCTGGTTAGCGTTCTTTCAATTGTTTTTCTTTGCATCGAGGAACGCTGTGAACAGACAAAAATTCAAGTGTAGGCGAGTACAACGTAGCTTTCAGTACTCCTTGATCGCTCCGTGTTGACGATGTTCACAGCCTGCACAAGGAATTTTCGTGTTAATTAATCCTTAAATCTGGTCAAGCTTAATCTTTTAGTCTGAAATGGCCGATTTCCTTCGCGCTTTGAGTGTTAGTCAAGCCACTAGGAACGATGACGTTGGGCAGGCAGAGGAATTTCAGCAGAGCTTCATTGAGTATGTTGGCCGCGGTGCCATTCGACTGCTAACAGCAGAGTACGCCCGTGAGACCGAACATTATCTAGGCACTCAGGCGCACTCAGTGTCAACACCTGATCATTCTTACACCATGGACCAGTGGTTCTTTAGAATGCGGCAGATGGGTGCTGTGCAGCACTGCAACAGCGGGTAGGCTTCCTGCTAGGAGAAGGTACTAATTGCCCTCAGTTTCTAGTAGCTCAGTGAGGTTGGAAGCATTGTCTAGTGCCATACCAAGGAAAGACTGAGAGATTATGCCTTGTGACTATGTTTGTGAGAAGCACTCCTCGAACAGAGACATAGACGTGCGGTGCTATTGGGATGACTTTGATGGCGAAGTTTTGGAAGCGAAAAGCCCAGTGTTGTTACCAGAGGCCGTGCCTTCAATCTTTCCGCGCTGGCTCAACTACTTGTCAGCTGTTCGATGACATGCACACACAGATAGACAGAAAAAAAGAGAGAACTGAACCAGACATAAATTGCGGAAAGCACGCAAGGACAGATACTTTGGTGGCTCATGGTAAGAAAATGCCCGCTCATTTTATTTGCATCTTGACTTAGTGGTCATGAACAGTGTAAATTTTTCACTTGCAACCAACGATGCTGATGCTGGCACTGTTTGTGAAATTTTGAGCTGGCGAGGACACACTAAACACACCAGCTTAGACTTGAAGCGTGAACGGCAAATTGGCGTGGATCGGACTTGAACGAAAATGCGGTGAGAACGGTGTGCACTTTTTTTTTCCTTCTTCGCTAGCGGAGTTTCATGACAGAGGCCCTGCAAGTGCTGTGCCCGATTTCGTCACTTTTTCATAGTGCCCGAACAAGCGCAGTTTTGTCTCCTCGAAAATTCTTGCTCTGTGCTGCAGGCTATCTCGGCTGTGATATGTCTTGTCAATACCTACTTAAGAGGATTTCTTTTCGCGCTCTCCATTCATAATCGTGTGTGAAGGCACCGATGGCTGGATGTGGTGGAAAGCATCATGTTCAAGTAAACATTGTATGTTACAGCGACGACAAAATGCACTTAGTTATTGTGAAAATTGCACTGACCTTCGTCCTTTAAATTACTGCGCTGTTGTGAGGGAGAATGACTGTTTATTATTGGCAAGCCATAATAATGATACACATTGCATCAGTTCATAAAAGCTGCTAGGCCTAGTAGTATAGTACTTGTGTGTGCTCAGGGCACGGCCGCTTGATCTCCTCCCATTGGTGCGGCCTGCCGAGGCGTCTTCCGAACGAAACTTTGCGCATGAAAGCAAAAGTTGACTGACCGGCCACGACAGGATCCGATGGTGCTGCACCTCGGCGAGGTAACCGCCCGTGCAGCTGTTCGCACTGCATTGCGTGAAGGTATAATCCCACTCACACTCCCTATTTTTATTTTGTGACAGTCCTATTCTTTGTCCTGCATTCAGCATGGGATGCCATTTTGTTCTTCCAGACTGCTGTCAGGTTGAAAAGTCCACACTCTGTATCAAGAAGCTACTGAGCCCAATCCTGGCCAATGGTTGGGGGGGTGGGGGTGTGTGTTTTAGCAGCTCATTAGTAGAAAACATACTTCGGAGTTTTTCGGGAGCCACTTTTCTGCAAACCTTTCTTTTTCTGAAATCTCGTAAAGCTTGAGTAATAAATGATGTGTATGTGAGACTATTTTCGAAGAATCATTACTGGTAATTGTCAGATTCACATTATACCTAGATGTATGTCGTGGAAATAAATATATGATGACTTGCAAATAAATAATCTCACAGTGTACGATTATAAATAAAATACACATTAACCTCAGCTGTCTAGTTCTTACGGGATTTGGAATCTGTACGTTTTAGTTATTCACAATGGGGGGGGGGGATGCAATGTTGAGTTGCCGTACGCAGTGGCGTAGCCAGGGGGTGGTACACCAGGCCCGTGCCACATCCACCTATAATTTTTGTCGTGGCATACAGAGTGAATAATGACCATTTTAAAAAGGTGCCCGCCCACCCTTCCCCCGAAAAATATTTCTGCTTACGTCTCTGGTCATACTAGTCAGAGCAATACGAGGGTCTTGTGCTTTCTCATTGCTCCAATCGGACAGCCAAACTCGCCGTGTGAATCTAATGGAGCACATGAACGGAGAACCACCTACCTCTGAAAATTGTTGGGCTAGTTAATGTTCGTAATAGTCTCCTACATATTGATGCAAGAATATTGGACATTTCATCACTTCATGCACTTTATGCAGTGGTCTCATGGCACACACTAATACATATGTGGAGTTTTTCTTTCTTTCTTTTTTATAGAAACTGAAGAAAGCTTAGTTTTTTGCTACTGACAGTATCGTTGGGCCTGCTTTTTTTGCCTACGTGCCCATGTCACCAAAACACTTCAATTTCTATACTGCAGTGAAAATCTACATATATAGCCCACTATTGTCATTGTTCAGCTCTAAATTTGCATGTCACTCTCAATTAGCTCATAAGAAAAGTCTATATTACAGCGAATGAACGATACAGATACAATAAAAATTCTCCTTCTTAATAATATTATTATTTTGGGTTTTACGTGCAAGAACCTCGATATCATTATGAGCCACGCCGAAGTGGAGGGCTTAAGAAATTGTCAACCATCTGGTCTTGTTTAACCCGCAGTGACATCGCACAGTACATGCATCTAACCCCTGCCGTCAGGGTTGTCCTCTTTCCTGTGTTCGTCATATTTCTTTCACTAATATGTGTCACTCGTTCATCGGCCACTAATCGGCAGAAGTGATGCAGCTTGTTCATGAGAGCATCTCGAAGTGAAGCATGACAAAGCACTGATCAGAAAGGCGTGAGACTACCGGCGCAGATAGCTCACTCTGGCTCAAGGGAGCTGTGGTAGGAACACCTCCGTCGCCGATAGCGAGTGCCATAGCCGATGCAGCAAATTGAAAGGGAAGTAGCGCTCTCGCAGGCGGAAAGAAGCGTTCGGCAGGCCGCACCGAAGGGGGGAGATCGAGTAGCCGTGCTCAGGGACGCTAATGTAAGACAAATCGCTTTAGATTGATAAATTGTCCTCTGAGAAGTACAATGGCATCAATTTCGCTATCCTATGCTTATTTTTACTAGAGACAGTCAAAATCGTTCAATTTTACAATTTCATGTCGAAATCTCTGCATACAGTGCCATGGGTTTCCAAGTCACTTTTTCATGTTTTTTGCGAGGTTGGCTGAGCGAAATTTCCTGAAATTTGGATTGTTGAGCCTGTGGCCTGCTCAAAAGACAATGTGCTTACTTTTACAGAGTTGGAACTCTGTAGGGCGTTGTAGATACCGTCAAAGTATATGGCATCGCGGCGTTCATTGCGGGGATTTCAAAGAGGCCTCGTCACTCATATTTTTCTTTCTTGAACTTTCTTGTTTACTAATAAATAATCGTTGTGAAATGGTTATTTATTAGTATGCAAAAAATTGTTTTTATCTGACACGTTCCCTTGAGCTTTTCTCCTCGCGCAGTTTGTGCTGCACTGATGTCATAATTATGAGCAACATTTCGTGCAGGATTTTGTACATAGATGCTTACTCATGTGGTGCATTTCCAAAGACTGATTTGGACGTCTGTTGTTGAAATCAGAAAATGTCAACTGAATGAAATTTTCATTGCTAACTAATTTAGAAGATTCATATTTCACTTCTTCTGAGGTCGTATATAGTAGTATAATCCGTGATGTTTGCCACAAACACAAGTTTACGCGTGTTTCCAATCGGAAAAGGCATTTGAAATTTATACCATGCAAATGCAATCAATCTGACTGGTATGTCTGCAACACAAATCTGAGGCTTCCATGAAGATTTTCAATGGACATGGAAGGTTGTAACGAGAAATTTTTGTACAAGGATTATCACTTTAACTGTATTAGCAAAGGGGCTTGTCTTGGTGAGGAAAGCATATTGTTGCCCTGACAGAAGCACCACTTTTGTATGGAATTTCTCATTGCATGTTTGTGTTAGTGCTTTTCTCACTTTCTTAGCATATGACAGTTTGACTACTACAGTTGAACCCCTTTATAAGAGACATGCATTGGGGAGCAGTCGTCTTTTGTATGAGGTGTCTCTTATAAGCAGGGCACCACCTATGCGTTTTCTTATCAACACTCATTTCGATGTGCTGCCCCGTCGCGGTGGTCCGGTGGCTAAGGTACTCGGCAGCTGACCCGCACGTCGCGGTATAGAATCCCAGCTGCGGCGCTTGAGTTTCTGATGAAGGAAGAAATGCTGCAGGCCCTTGTGCTGAGATTTGGGTGCACGTTAAAGAACCCGAGGTGGTCGAAATTTCCCGAGCCCTCCACTGCGGCATCTCTCATAATCATGTAGTGGTTTGGGACATTAAACTCCACATATCAACTTTGATATAGCCACATTGGTGACTCCTATACCAATTTGTATTTTACGTCAGTGTCTCTTACAAAGGGGTTTGACTGTACTAACATGCCCAAGCATTAATTCTGACATGTTTTAACTAATTAGCTAACACTGCAGCTCGTGCTTGCCTGGACACGTTCATTGCCGCCTTGTTCTGTCTCTGCAGGCTCAGAGGCCTTGTCCAAGGGCTTGACCAAGGGTGCCATGGTGACTGGTGAAGCTCTCAAAATGGGCACAGCACGACTCAAGGAGTACCTCAAGCCTGACCCCCAGCCGTTGGCAGTGGACCCCAGAGTGAAGCAGGGGCTTGAGATCCTGCGTACTGTCACAGGCTCTGCTCGCAATGTCACTGAGCTTGTTGGTAAATGGTTACTAGATTTCAAAAGGTGCTCTAAGGTCAATTCACATTTGCCTTTTGTTTCTTCTACTAATTTATGTTCCCATGTTTTAAAACATTTTAGAACTGTTCAGACATGCGGAACTGTCGAAGTATTCTCTGCTGGGCTAGTTGTTTAGCGATTTCGCGGGCCACAAAAGTATAGTTCTTTTTGTGTGCCAAAAGAACAAGAAAAGGGATACGCCCCCTTTATTCCTTCTCTCGTTCTTTCGTCGCACAAAAACAGCCATATTTTTGTGGCCAGTGTAAAATTCATAACTGTGGCACAGAAAAAGTACACGTTTTTACTTGGTTTTGCTCTAAGGTTACGGTCCCTTTTTTGGTCACTGCCCTCAAACTGAAAAGGGCATGTTTTTAAAATGTGAATGTTTTTCTCAAGACCTGATTTTAAGTATGTTATTGAAAGTTCATAGCTTTTGAGCAAATTAATATTTTCCAATGTAAATTTTCATTCTTCTTGCTTTACATTTACCTGTGCAGTGAACTAGGACAATACACTAATACACAGCTCTAATCTTGTCATTTTCTTTTTGTATGGTTGGATAAGTAATTAGGCCTGTTGGTGTGGTGAATTTACTTTAGGTAATTTGGGAATGATATTTTAATTGGTGTCAATTTTTTTAGCCAGAATACACTTCAATTGGCCATTAAACTATCCTCCTAAAGGCTGACGCAAAACAATCAATTTAGGGTCAGAATCTAAAGAGATTTCTCGAAAGGTGGCGACGTAGCTTCAGTTGAATCCTTTAATTCTTGCTCTGTTTTGCTCACTTGATCAAACATGTTGTACTTGAAGTGTTCAGTAGGCTTCCACTTACTTTGGAATTTTTCTTTTGGCCTCAAACATGTTTCACTGATAATTACATGCTTGACAAGTGGTAAATTTATGGAAATTGCAGTAGTTTGCGATTGCTGCATTTATTGCGATTGTAAAATATATCATAGAACATTAAAAAAGATGTGCCCTACACCCACCCGCACAGTGGTAATCACACTCTCGACCTTATGGTCTTGTATATTCTTGTTATTGAACACCGACGCTGTAGTTTTCCCTCTCGCTGGCTTTGGCTTCGGACAAAGCTTGCCATTGACGGCCTTTTCTTAGTGTAAAATTTAATGCTTCGTTTTACGGTATTAGTTTCATAGCCAATCAAAATGATGCACATACAATTATGGAGCTAAAAGAAAGCAATTTCTTTACCTGTAGTCTAGCCCTATTTTCATAAAGTGTATTATCGGCCTACCTCTTCATGATATGGTATATTGTGGTTGCAGTGGCCATTAGTTATCATTGACTGTATTGCCGTGTTGCTTTTGCTGTTGGGAATGTAACTTTAAATAAGGTTTCTTGTGGTTCTGCATTAGGCTCCTCGGTGCGCATGGTGGATAGAGTTTCTGATGTTCTGACAAGCGTGCTGTCCTCATGCAGTGTTCAGAGTGCTCTTGGTCATCTATTTTGACGTACTTGGTGGCAAGCTGCACAAAATGTAGCGAAAGCGATGTTGCTGAGGACAATCGCTCAAGAATATCACTTCAAAATGAAAACATTTCTTCGCTTTGCATGGTATGCCACCACAGCTGATAGTCGCCATGAAGTGTATCCCTCGGCGACATTCACTGCCCTTTTGTTGTGTGGAGCTGTATTGTCTTGGTGCCCTGCAAAACAATGCTTGCAGTGATCGCTATGGTTTATTAGATATGCAGAAGTCTTCTTGGTCTCTAAATTTGGCTATTTGATTGTGGCACCATCCATTTCTTGCACTTTTTTCCTTTGTGTGTCTTACTGGTTGTCCAACTGCGCCATTCTCACCATTTTGCTACGACGATAGCTCTCTACACCTTACTGCACCCATTCCAGTGCATCATGTGCCAACTGCACTATGGTTCATATTTCGCCTGCCTTTGCGCTAGTGTAGCATTTCTGGCAAGAAAGTATTCTTGACTTGGCGCCAAATACACTAAGTTTTAAGTTTTTTCAAATTGCTGAGCAATCCACTCTCCTTTGTTTCACCGATGCTTTTCCTCATTTTAATTGGCCTAACCAAAAAATGCGTGTGCGTGTGACTTCAGTCATTGACGGTTCGGCATTTTGTCCTCAGTCTGTAAGCTCATCACTTTTATTGGGGAACTGCCGATAATACACAGACAAGTGTTTTTTTTTTGCCAGGCTGTTATGGCTATCGTAGTTTAGTGCACGGGCCACGCAGCGTGATCGTTTTAGGCACTGCACGCTGTATATGGCGTTTTCACGCGTAATCTGGTTTTACATGCCGAAACCACAGGGCAGTTCCAACATGCAATAGTTTCAAATTTTGCGAAATAAAGTGTTCCATGTAAATTGCATTTTGCGAGGTTCTTCAGCACTAATGCAATGCTTAAATGCGTCGGCACTTGTCAGGCACAAATTGGTGTCATTGCTGCTCCCATGCATCGAAACGCCTGTGACGTGTCATCATTGTTAAATAGACATAATGCAAGAGTAAACCAGAGCACATAAAAACTGAGCCATATAAACGCCGACGCACTGCAGTAAACCACAAATATTTTATTTGTGTGTCTGTCTTGATGTCATTTCAATGGCTGAATAGCTGTCAATTGCAAACGAAAAAATCCAGACAATTTTTTCAAGTTGCGCAGCTATTGGATTCCTAACCATTAATTTGTCACAAACTGTTCTTGCGAGTGGGCTGAGCACGGCCACCGATGTTTGCTAAACATACGTTTAGGAGCTATGACGAATCTGAAGCACCGCCGCTGAACGAGCTTCATTCTTTTCGCAGGCTATAGAAGTGTGGATGAGGCTCGCAGTGGCTGATAAAGCCACTGCAAGACACTTGCTTTAAAGCAATGGTTTGTGCAATGATAAAGCAATGGCTGATAAAGCAGTGGCTTTATCAGCCACTGCTTTATTGTTAAGTTGAAGGTACAGTGCAAAATTATTTCTATAAATAATAACCTGTAAATGGGAAATAAACTGCTTTCAGCACTTGTAGGATCACAATACTCTTTTTGGAGAACGCAGTTTGAGAACACAAGTACTAGTTACAAATGGTACCCAAGGGAGTATTATCAGGGAGGTTCCTGTAAGGATGTGCACCTCCTTCCCCTGTAGATATATAGGAAGGAATGAAGTTTTGATGCCTTTCACTTGCAGAAACAGTATGTTCTATGCTCACCTTTAATGCTTCACAGCAATGCGCATTGTATGTGTTTGTGAAGCCTGCATGTGGCATTGTGTAAACCCTCCACTGCTTGTTTTTTAGTTTTGTTCTTGTCTTTCTTTCTCTCTCTCTTTTGTACTTGTCTGTGTTAGACCAGCATTTTGTGGCAAAACATTAGTAATAATATGCACAAATGGTTGCAGACTAACTGTTGCACTGCTTCAAGTGAAGCCGAACTCCATTTTGTGTGCTGAAGATCCACTCTAAAACGCAATTCCTTCAGCTCCAAACCTGCTCCAAGAGAGCTGTTTTCCTGCTACAAAAATTGCTGCAAATCTGAAACTCGCTGGAACACCACTGATGTCGGAACGGAGAGGCTGCGTTGCCTACGTGCCGGGCTTGATCGGTTTTGAGTTCACTTTGAAAGTTTGACAATAAATATCTCTAATCACATGCAACATTTGCCCTTTCTAAACAATGGTCATATTTATTTATTTATTTATTAGAATACCCTCAGGGCCCGTAGGGCATTACAGAGGGGGTGGGTACAACATATATAACACACAAGAAAAAAAGACAAAATAAAGAAACAAGTATCAGATGCGCAAATCAGGAAGGCAACATAAGTCAACTAAAAATGTATAAGAATTCAAGCACATACAAGACAAAGTAGATATTGGAAACTGCGTATAGTTACAAGCATTGCTGAGAAATTGCAGTCTTGAATAACAAAGGGTCAGTTATTGATACAACGGAAGAGGGAAGGTGGTTCCAATCGGCGGCTGTTTTATATATTGGAATTCACTATAAATCTTTAATATATACAACTGCCTTCAAGTTAATTAAAATTTTAATGACTGTGTTCTTGTTAATTATCATCAATGTATTTTTAGTTGCAACAAAATATTTCTGCCTTGACGTAGAGTACTATGTGTACTAAACAACTGGAGTGTCACTGTCATAGAACCTGCTAAAATATTTTTATTGTCTGAAAAGCACCCATTATGGGCACAACTAAAGAACACAAAGTAGAATAATGCAACTGTTTTCCATAAATAGATTAGGAAAGTTTCGGCATTCTGCAAATAGGAATTGGCACTGAAAGGGTTACCTTAGTTATTTATACAGGCATGCTTTTTAATGGCTATAGAGTTTCTAGCTACGTGAAATGCAAGCCAGGCGTCATTTGGTTTCACTGCAGCCAACAAGGTGGGCGAGCTGACGGTGAAGGTGGCGAAAATGGTGGCCTCAAATGTGTCCTGTGAAAACTGCGTCGCTGGTCCACCGGATCTGCCTTCCTCGAGCAGGGACAAAGTGCAGAGCGCACTCACCATTGCCAAGGGTGGCATAGTAGGCAAGTTAAAAAGCATGTAAAGTCAGTCCTCAGACTCGGAACCACAGAGAAAAGCCTCGGAACGTTATGCGAAGCACAACGTTCTGAGGCTTTTTCTTTTATTCTGTAGAAAAGCACAGGTAGCGTGTGATGTTAAACCACAGCTGAATCGATTGGGTACGAATTGTGAGACTCACGCTTAAGAGACAGTCTGCCATGAATGTGCCTTTCCTGTGCTTTATGATGTAGTGACAGTAGGATTTTGCTGGCTTGTATGATAGACAAAAAAACTAATTCGTGGTCTCGTGAGTAAACTAAGGGAGAGCATTTACAAGAGCTTCGAAAGTTGCAGCATTGGAGGGCTCTGGAATAACTTAACTGCTTTGTGTTTTTTTTTACGTATGCGACAGTTTCCATACTCGAGTATTTTAGCAATGAACCCCATCTAAATGATATAGCAAGGCATTAAACGTGCAGCCTTATTATGGGCAGTGGATTACTTGGGTTTGTCATTGAAGTACTCACTGTGTTGACTTGGGGATGATGGTACATGGTGTGCTACTTGAACACGAAGCCGCTGGTTTTATTCTTGCTGGAGTTCCACTGGGTGTGGGATGTTGAAACACTCTTGTGCCTAAAGCAGGGTCCCCTTTAAAAAAAGCACAATGAAAATTAATCCAGAGGTCCTCGCCTCCCTCCTGGTGCGTAGCTTCGGGTAGCCTTAGGCTGTCAGAGCCACTAATCACTTAGTTGCCATTTGTGTTTGCGAGTGAGTTCACTTAAAAACGTAAATGTGCTGCGCGTTTCTTTTTTTTTTTTGTCTATTGTACAGGTTTGTCAACTGTGTATGTTGGCTTGGAAAATGCAGCAAAGATTTTGGCTACCAGCCTTGCCAATGAGACTGTTGAGGTCGTTGGCCACAAGTAAGGGCAGACTTGTTACTTTATTTCAATATTGAATTTTTATTGTATGTCAATATGGAGCACATACGCTATAGAGTGCTTGTTGACACTAGAATGGCCAAGGTACTTGGCAGGCACGTAGCCAGAAATTTTTCTCGGGGAAAGGGGGGGGGGGGCACCATTTTTTTTCAGAAGCGGCACCCGCTTAAAATGGCCATTTTTCGCTTTCTATGCAATGGCAAAAAAAAAAAAAAAAAATTGGGGGTGGGGGGGCACGTGCCCGGTGTGCCACCCCCTGGCTACGCCCCTGGTAAAGTGTGATGCTCACTTTATGTGGCATGGTTATAAAGGCAAAAGTTAGTATCAATCACTGAATTTAGCATTTTGTGAAAGTGAAAGCTATAATAATCAAGACTGGTGACTGAGGTGTAGGGCTTACTTATTGATGGCATTGTTACTATTTAAAGTTGTTTTAAGCATGGTGATGTACTGTTTTGAAAGTTGTGACAATGATAAAAAGCTGGTGTTTAGGTGTATAAGTAAATTTAGGTAAAGTGGCATTTGTTTTTATCATTAATTTTATGTGGTAATGCATAACCGTTTAAGTGCTGTTCAAGATAAATGTAGAACCTTATATGTCAGTGTGGCTATAGGGTGCAAATGTGTTATTTTGTACATACATGACATCATCGCACAATGATAAAGCACCCACCATTGAACAGCTCCCCATTTTCTTAAAGATGAGCTTAGGCATTAATGTAATACATACGAGAGAATGTCTGAGATGAGCACCTGGTTTCGTGTAAGCTCATTTATTTTAATTTACACCTTGTTTCGGTGCTGTCTTGATTTGTCATTGTTTTATTTCAGAGCATATATAGCTTGTGTGTTGTGTACATTATAGAAATTAACTATTATGTGCCAGTTTCAGCTTATACAAACCACATGTTGTGTTCTGGTTTTTCCGCAGGTATGGAACAGATGCAGCACAAGTGGTGGACAATGCCATGAACTCTGTCACCAATGTCACCATGGCCACTTATGCTTTCCGTGGTATAGGGTTGAAACCGATCGCAAAACGCACTGCAAAAGAAACTGGAAAGGCGATTCTTCAGGAATATGTGAGCAGCCTTGAAGCACAAGGAAACTTTAGGGAAAGTGCAGCTTTACGCAAAAACCTAGAAATGCAAAAGTCTTAAAAAATCTTCTACTTTTACACCTTTTGTGTCGCATCTGCTAAAATGGGAAAGGTGAACTTTAAGAAAAACTAAAGCAACATTTTTTTTTCTTTAGTTGGCCTGAAGAGCAACTGTTATAATTCACCCTGCAAGTTTTGTTGTCTTAAGAGTCTCGTGGAGTGCCAATGCAGTGTGTATGAATGACGTTGCACTGTTTTGATTTTGCCTGGCAAAACTTTAATGCCTTACACACTCTGTGATGTGCCTTTTAGTCATATCTTTGTTGCTTCACTTCTGCCCTTCAGCTGAAACAGAAGGCAGCTGGGAACGCACAAGATGTTTCGGAGGATTCCCTATCGGACCTTTGAAACCTCAACCACTGGGTAAACTCACAACTGGGTAAACTGGTGCTTTCATAAAAAGTCATGTGCTTAAAATATGGAGTGATATGTGTATACTGTATATGACAAATACGAATGTATGAGACAATCAATGTGACAGTGCGGGCTGTTTTAGAGATGTATTTTTTTGAAAAATAAATAAATGAATAAATGCTATTCCAAAGTGGTCACTTGTCTAATCTTTTGTTATTTCTAGTGTAGCCATTTGAGATGGCAGTTCGTGATGTCGCTAGATAGCAAGGCTCAAATAGTCGCGCAACTGTACCTCTAAACTAGAAGAAGCTGTCCAAAATCATTAAATTCGCAATTGTTCTCTCGCATTAGCATTGCATCACTTTCGTGCATGGTTAGCGAATCTCAGCGTGCCCGTCGCCATCGACATCAATCCAGCATGGCGACCTCCATAAGCACTCATTCGGCGACCATGACTTCGTAACAAGACATAGCTTGTTTTCTTCAAAATCCTTTGGTTTTTGTGGAATCGGCGCAGACATATCGGTACCGGGTTCTACAGAGATTTCTAAATGGTAATGTCCTTGTATATGTTATCCGTGCAGTCAACTTTTTTTCTTTCTTGAACGATCGTTTAATGACTTGCCCCGCCGTGGTGCTTTCACCTTTCTGGCAAAGGTCGTCCTGAGCAGTATATCGAAGTTGTGCTTGATCGTCTCCTCTTGCTGCAGGCGAGATATTTGGCGCAAGTCATCGTTGTCGGAGCCCAAGTGGTTGCAAGGGCGTTTGCGCGTGCCTTGCAGCAGGAGTACGCCGGTGAGTTCGGTCATCAACTGCGCGTGTTTCGGCGACTTTCGGCCTTGTGTACTACTCACGGCGTAACTGTTTTCAGCAAGCCAAGCTGCAGCGAAACAAGCTAGCGCTGGGAGAGGCGACACTACGCAGAGGGCAGCCGCAAGCGTCAAGCTGGGCATGAGCGTACAGGTACGTATCAACATTTGCACTGCTAAATGCATCAAAACTGCCTTATTTCGTCACCGTAAAAAGCTTAGTCACTGTGGAAGCACCTGAGGCGCGCGCCATTTAGCTGGAAGTTATATAACTGCTTGTACCAGCACTGCGATTGTGGTCTCGAAATTGTTTTTTATTTAATAATACTGTCTACCCTCGTTTGAGGGTCATAACAGCGAGGGAGTACAATAGTACGTACAAACAGAAAACCAAAACAATTGGCACTCAAATAGCACTGCACACAAGAAACCAAAATTGGCAGTAGCTCAATTCAACCATGACCAAAATAAGCATCAATTTCTCCGTCGAAAAATTGCACATCGGTACTATTAACAGCATGATGGGGTAAACGATTCCATTGTTCTATAGCATCCGGAAAAAATGCCCTCCGAAAGATGTCAGTGCAAGCATTGAAAGGTTTAAGGGGGCGTCATGATTCAATCTAGCGCTACTTTTTCCGGGAAGGCGTATGTGCTCGTCTTTAGGTATTTTTAATATCCTTTGCATTATACGATATAACGTTTTTGTTTGTCTTCGAATTTCCAGTGGTTCTAAATTGCATGAAGTGAACATGTCAGTTACTGAATACCACCTTCTATATCTAGAGCACACAAACCGTACTGCACGCCTCTGAATACATGCTAATTTGGTAACTGTTTTTGGTGAGGGCTCCAAACCACGTCTCCAGTCTAGGTCTAATATATATTTGGTATGCAAGCAGCTTAAAGTGTTTCGGTGTTTTATGCAACTTCAGTCGAAAACAAAGTTTTTTTAATGACTCGGAACAAACTGATTCAATATGACGGTGCCAAGTTAAGTTGTTTGTAACTGTCACCCCTACGTATTTAAAATATGTTTTTTCACAGAGGGTGTTGCTCCCGATGCTGTATTTGAAATTTGAGAACATTTTTCTTATTGGCAATGGTGTCTCGTGCCAGCAAATTTAAGAATAACATTTAATGTTTAGTGTCTACTTCGCAAGATAGACAACACTATATAAGTTTAGAAAATACCCCCCCACCAAAAAAAAAGCTGATCAAACTTGGCCAATAGGTAAATAAGTTCTGCTAGTCGGCCTGCAAGCTTTAATTAGGTGCACTGAAGAAACGGCTTAAACAAGCGTGGGGAAACACCAGGCATGTAAACATACTCTCTGTTCTGTGTGCAGTATTATGCCTATCAGAAAATGATCCCTAACAACACTCGCCTGCCCTGTCGCTCCACAGCCAATAAGACTCGCATAAAATGTGAAAAAAAAAAAAAAATGCAAGCACGCTGTGGAAAATGGACACCAGTTCTAGCTTTTACCCTTGATCATTTAAGTCATGCACACATTTTAGTGTTGTCTAGTCCTCAGCTGTATCGCCTTATTGAAAAGTGGCTGAGAACTACGAGTTATTTTTTCTAGCTAACAACCATGCGCACTTCTGTATAAAAGTTGCACCCTAGACTTAGGTGATGCTGCTCTTAGCTTTAGTAGTCCTTTTGCGAGTAAAAATATTCTTGTTGCTCAGCACAGCTGTGGGTGGATCATTTTCTCTTTTACAGGAGGCAATGCAAATTCTGAATGTTGACAAGGCTGACCCCGAGCTGGTGGAAAAGAACTTCAAGCACTTATTTGAAGTGAATGACAAGTCGAAAGGTGGCTCATTTTACATTCAATCAAAAGTAAGTTTTTCTCTGTCTTTGTTTTAATGTCTGCACTTAATAAGTAGCACATGTTTGTGCGAGCTACTCATTTCTTTTTTTAGTAAACTATTTATGGTAAGAATTCACATGTGCATACATAGCTTCATACAATAGCATAGAGGGGAATACTTCAACCACTATGAAAATGATGCGAAGTATAGGCTTCTGATCAAATTGCATTAGCTAGTGAATTGTTTACTACAGGTCATCTACAAGGCAATACACTGAAGTTGTGTCTTTGTTGTTGAAAATGACTGGAGTGCGGCTGCAACGAATTTGCAGCTCCACAGGTTGCGTTCGACAGTTTTAGCAAAGCGTCGTTCACCCACCGGACCAGACTGATGTAGAGTCTGAAATTCTATGTAGGCAACTCCATAGATCACTTTTTATATATGTAATCACTTCTTGCCAAGTTGCCGTTAACCTGGCTGCGAAATGGCAACTAAGGGAAGTGGATGTGCAGCTGATCCCCCAGAGTAGCTATGTCTCAAAGTATTGAAGGAACAAATTAAAAAAAAAAAAAGCACTGCCATGCTCTGCTGAATACCCCAACGCTGAATACCTCAACGTGAGTGTAAGCCACGAATACAAAGATCTGCTCTGTGATGAATCTGTTTTACAGCGGAGCAAGAGATACATTGTACATACTGCTGTGCTCAGGCAGACACGCCTAGTGTCGCAGCAGAAAGTACGTTTAGTGTTTCTCGCTGAATACAGTAATTTTATTGCCGCAAAGAGATGGTGCATACTTTCATGAAAAAAACATGCGTGTTTGTTTTCAAGTGTTGCAAAAATATTGATTCAATATTTCAATATGCCAAATCAAGAATACAAGTGCAGAGCAATGCATGTTACTTTGCTTCTTGAATTTGTCCTGGTTTCATTTAATTCTCGTGAAACTTCTTGCGATAAGTTTTACATATGCAAGAGTCAAGGAAGTTGTAATTGGAAAAAACTTCATACGACTTTGTTTTGCGCTCTGCAAGCAAGGGCCACAAATCTCAATAATGTAATCCATCAGAATGAGATCCGAAGCCTGTGCTTTCCATCATTTCCATTGTGGTTGAAGCACCGCTGAAGAAGCACACATGGACACTAGAGTCAGATTCCCCCATAGGTACGCATAGTTATGTCATAAAACTGCCTTGTCTTTTCTTGCATTGTTTTAATAGAATACCACCAGTGAGGCACATATGCATGGCCATTTCATCATTCGAATTTTCCCAGTTTAGCTTGCTCGCTTGCACTAACTTTAGTAGTTATAAGAATGTTGTTTGGAAGTGTTCCAGATATCACTCGTCATGTTTATTGCAGATTTTGACAAAACCTTTAATCTGAATGTAACAATATTGTAATTTTCTGAATTCTGCAATTACAGGCTTTTCTTACCATAATTCCTTTATTGTTTTTTATCCTAGGTACTTGCTTATTATCACATGAAATTCAATAAGTGAAGCAGCTTCTTTAGCACTGTAGAAGTAACTCCATCATTTATTTTAATTGATAAGCATTAACAGAGTTAGCGATATATCTGGCCTATGTGAGAATTTGTGATAAAGGAATGGAGATTAATATAGTCTATATGAGCTTCTGTAGTGCATATACCTTTAGAGAGCTGTCACACTTTGATATATGGAATGCGCACAAGCCAGCAGTGCATAGTCCAGATCTCTTGCTTGAGAGTAAGGCAAATCCCAATACCCCTTCTGGTCGACATGATTTGTGATTGTGAATTGCAGTGCAGTACATTACGGCCGACTTGGTGTTGCGTGGTGCTCTGACAGACATTAACCTCCGTATTCGGAAATGCTCCTTGACTTGGACTTGACTTGCCACCTTCGTCAGTGCAGCGCATTTGAAACGCATTTGTGTGTTTGTGCTGCCTTGGTAGGCCTAAAGCAGTGTGCTCGAAGCACGTTTGTGTTGCGTTGAAGGCAGTGGAAAGTCAATTCAAAGTCGAGGAGCATTTCTGACTACAGGGGTAAGTTGAATGAAGTGTATCTGTATTGTACACTCCTTATTTGCTTACCTTTTGATATTGTGCAGGCGATTGAAGTTGATGATACAGGTTTCTCAATTTCATTGCCCCCTAGGTGTACAGAGCAAAAGAACGCCTTGATGAAGAGATGAAGCTTCAGCAGGAACAAGAAAGGAAAAAGAAGCAGCGACAACAAGCTGAAAACACATGAGAATGACGCTCGCCGTAGTAGAATTGTACAGAACGCAATATTTACGCACAAATTTGCCTGGCAAAAAAGTAAATGTCGTAATAATACTGGTAGAACTGCCACATGTTGTTCTTTGTACAGTGGGTAAACAGACAACAGCTTTTACATGTTATGTTTCATATCCTATGTAGGACAGTTCAGCTGTCATGGTTTGCAGCTTTATTGTTCAGTTTACTCTAAAGGTCACTCAAGTAAAACCTAAACTTCTAATGTGAAAGTATATCTACATATCAGTGCCACATTGCAAGGAGTCATTTGTCATTTTTACGCGGTGGTTCACTTAAGTCACTTCCTAGAAGTGACTTATTAACCAAATCGGTGGAAGAGTATAAAATAATAAATAAAGTAATGCATTGTAATGAAGTTTCTGATGAGCAGAGCGTAAAACCAGCTTCTATTAATGCTAGACTTCAAGATGTTAATGAGATGCTTAGCTGTAGCACAACACTAGTTCAAACGGTGCAGATGGCTTTAAAGTAGTCTGACAGTAAAAGACCGCACCTCACAAACAGATTCCAAGCCCACCGCTCCAGTTCCAGAGAATATGCAGGATGTGGCAGCCTCGGATGTTTAAAAACCAAGTTTACACTTTGTCGGAGCGTGTCTTCTTGGGCATGCTCACACTATCACTCGTACTGGCAAGTCGATCTACTTCATTCATGACAGGGTAACCGCTAAGGTCAAAGATGATTGTTGAAGTGAAGGAAAGCATTTTTTTGCTTAGTGATCTCGTGCTATGGGGTACAAGTGCATTATTTTATTTCAAGGGCAATTCGGTCTTGAAATACAGTGAAAGCAACTCCACACAACTAAGAGATGTTTTGAGCAAGTCTGAATGGATGGACTAGCTACCATTTGTGCCACTTTTCTTTGCATTGGTGAAAGAATCAAAGTGAGCCTGTGTTGATGACAATAGATGCTAACTTCGTGCAGTACAATGTGTACCTGTGAACAGCACACTTCACATAATGGATCTCGGTTGGGAAGTACTCATCTGCCATACAGCTCTAACCTTGCTCCAAGTTTCTATTTGTTTGGAATTTTTAAAGAAGTTATTGTGAGGCCTTCGGGGGCAGTTAGGTCATGGAGTTTGTATGTTAACTGCTCCACAAGAAATAAAAGTGTGGGCTGTCGAAATACTTAGGTAACAGTGTCAGTTTCGATTCCCTGTATGGAAACGTAATTTTGACCACACGGGCGTAGCCAATAATTTATTTGAAGCGTGTATATTTCGGAAGGCGAGGGAGTGGGCTGCCCTACTCTTCTTCAATAGCTATGACATTATGTTCGAACGTGTGTTTGTATTCATAAACTTTTTGTCTGTGGTAGTGAAGATGAGGCGGTTGAATTTTTTAAACCGAACCTCTGGCTATGCCAACGACTGAAAAGGTGTCTGCAAGCTCTCTCTTTGCATAATGATATAGAACAACGAACGGTAATGAGCGTGCTACAAAACAACGGAGGTACACCGCAAAATAAACGAATGCGCTAAGTCCACAAATTTTCATTGGAATAATTAGACACGAGCCCAAGGACGTTGCAGTCGCGCGACCAGCTGGGCCTCATTGTTGGCAATTACCTTTTATACATTAGTTTCGGTTTGACGACAGCAGTTGTTTATTGTCAGAGGGCGCCACCTGCACCACCCGACTGTTAGAAATGGCTGCCGATAAACGGTTGAATGAACCAGTGCGCGAATGAAAGCGTCGTATCGTAAATAGGGCCATATAAGCATTTAGGGGCGGCTGTGAAAATCGTTCACCAGCAAGTACCAAATACTGCTCTCAAAGTGCGTCATACGCGCTATGGAAGACGACGGAGCGTCGCCGAGCACATCCAAGACCGCTTTGGCTGCGGACGGTACATCTACGACAGTAGCGGCCGATGCCAAAGACGACAGCGCGAACTGCAACGCTGAGTACCTCAAGAGTACGCTGCTCACGGAAGTGCTTAACAAGAAGAAGATGGCCTTGATGCACTCACCTGAAGTGGTCAGGTTTCTTCAAGATAAGCAGAGACAAAAACTGCGGCCCAACTCTTCGGGAAATTCGTGACGCGCTCACGTCGCAACTGCATGCGTCAAGAGCAACTCTCAGCGAGATTGAGTTTTAGAACATTTATTACATCGCCTGAACTTGGCGGCACAATTGCGACGCGCGGCAGCACATGTAGACGAAGACAAGAAAACAATGCCGAACTGATGTAATGACAATAGCAATAACAAAAACTAAGGTTTTACATTTTGTAAAGAGTTTTTTACCCTCTCAATCTCGTTGTGCAAATCGTCTCTCACCGTCTTGAGGTGCTCTGTTTTCTTCTGCAGTACTTCGGCAAGGCCAGCAATCTTGTCGCTCATTTCCATAAAATGTTTCACTTTCAGAAAAGCAGCGTCGGCCGTCATATGGCCGTCGCTGTCGTCGGTGGAGGCAACAGCACCATCGCTGGCCGCATCCAGGTTGCTGCCGTCCGGCAGAAGCGTAAACACGACGTCTTCGGATGCATTGTTTAAGTCCTCCTGTATTGCTTCGAACGTAGGCGGAGTCGGTCTCGTCGGAAGAGGTGGCTTTCGGCGAAACATCTAGTCCGCACGTACACAGCGTGAATTTATCCTAAGCGGGTGCACTTCGCCACTACGGATTAGCGGTAGACTGGGCCGGTTACTGCAACGTGGCGTAGCAAAGGTGCAAAGCGCACAACTGTTGCTAATGCTGCAACGGATTGCACAAATGCGGGGACTACACTGTTGCTGATGGTGCAACGATTAGCTAGTTTAGCCCCGCATGGTTCCGGCCATTTTCTACTGCCCAATGTTGCTAATGCAATTTTTCCTTCTGTATTCACAAAGCCGCAAGGGGGCGAGCCCCTCGTTGCTCCATTTTATAGGGGCGCTGCAGTAGTTAGCGCGAGCTTCAAAGTGTCGTTCGCGTAGCCTTACGTTTCTTCTAATGACATATTGGTGGATTTGCAGTGAAAGTGAGTCAGACAGCATGAAGCCTACTAAACGCCTTAGTCTAGCCGAATGGGGCAACCATTAGACCTCTGCGTCCTGCCTAATCGACAATGGTGAGCTAGCTCTGCTGTTTTCAGTACAAATGATTGCTTCCAAATTATGGTTTGAACTGTTTACGACACGCCCTCTGATTCGATGTTCGGAAACACCTGACATTCTAGACCTTGCGGTATTCCCACCTTAGCACCTCAACGGCAAAAAATTTTAACACCTTGCAAGATATTACTTGCATGCTGCACGTAGGAACTTGTGCACGTTTCTTGGTTGACTAACCTTGGTTCTGAAACGGACGTTGCCAGAGAGAGTTCGGAAAGTTAAACGGAGCTCGCACCCCTTCAAAGTTTTCAGTCTCTGTGTGTATACGCGCACAAACAAATACATATCGGGAGTGCAGGATATAATGTGCAACCGACTAGCTCACCAAAGCGTGCTAGCAGCTGGTTACGCTCATGGCTACACCCATCTTCTGAAATTAATCAGTTATTACTGTAGATCGTGAATATAGGAACTAATTAGTGGTTCTTTGTGTGTTTGCTAAGTGCAAGGCATAAGTGCAGAATGAAGAAAGCCAGCAGCGCGTGAGCAGTATAGGTACGCGTACTTTCGTCACGTCTGACGTGACAAGTTCTCTCGTGGCTATGGGCTACGAAATGAGGCTATAGCAGTCCGTAAAAGCGGGTCTATCGCGAGGTGCTATTAAAAAAAACATGTCTGCTCTACGTGCCCTGTCTATTGTTTGAAGATGTCGACGCAACTGTTCGAACAAAATTAGGTAAGGTTGTCGGTATACGGGAACACCATCTAAAGGAACAAATGGAACAATGGGGCAAGTTTTGGAAACTTACTACTGTACTGAAACAGTCCAAAGACACGAGTTTCTGCGTGAAACATCTGAAAAATAAAGGGCGGAACTTAATTTTTCTTGCCGGTAATCAATGTCTTCGTGCTAAACCAATTAAAGTGCGTAACGTGTTGCAATAAGTCTCTATTGTGGCTTTCAAACTTTTACGATTTTGTTTTATTACCTGGATTGGGTGTACTACGGCTAAAGCTAAAATATTGGAAACACGCTGCAGAACGTGCGTTGTTTTGGTGAGGTGACTGCTTTCACCGACGTTCCCCTGACCCCGCCGCGGTGGTCTAGTGGCTAAGGTACTCGGCTGCTGACCCGCAGGTTGCGGGCTCAAATCCCGGCTGTGACGGCTGCATTTTCGATGGAGGCGGAAATGTCGTAGGCCCGTGTGCTCAGATTTGGGCGCACGTTGAAGAACCCCAGGCGGTCGAAATTTCCGGAGCCCTCCACTATACGGCGTCTTTCTTAATCATATGGTGATTTTGGGACGTTAAACCCCACATATCAATCCTATCAACGTGCCCCTGCCATTGTGTTATTGAGCGCATGGCGTGCTTGTATCGCTGTACTTTTGTGAATGCCCCACTTAATTCAGTGACGAGATGTCTGTGTGCCTTACTGTACTTAATTTTTTCACAATATTTCAATGGTGAGAAGATCTGCACTTGCTGTACCAAACATTTCCTATAATAATAAACTTAAAAAAACAGCGACCTTCAAAGAGCTATATAGCAGAGATCACGGATTTATGTATGAGCTCGAATCATACTGTACTACGAGGACACATCTAAGTAAATTGTGAATCTAGGACGAAGAAATTTTGTCAACCTTGTCTTTTTCGTAAGTCCACACTTGTGGACCCTTACTCTGATCAGCTTGGTGAAGCCTATTCACACTGGTGCGATGAAAAATACTGTTGAAAAACAGGTCACTGGTCAATATCAAAACAAAACAAAATGATGTTTCGGGATCCGTACGAATCCCTTATACGCAATAAAAAACATTTTATTAATTTTGCATGACGATAAACCTACATGTTCCAGGGTAGTTATTATTATTATTATTATTATTATTATTATTATTATTATTATTATTATTATTATTATTATTATTATTATTATTATTATTATTATTATTATTTATTTATTTATTTACTTATTTATTATTTATTTATTAGCATACACACATACACAAGGACACAGAGAAATGAGGGAGAGAGCGAGCTGGCAATTGCCACCTGATAGTAGGGGGCACAACACCTGCCTCCTCACATGCGAGGTTAACACTTCATGAGTATTCTCACAGGGCCTTTGAATATTCTTTTAAGCACTAGGAGCGCGACGTGGTTGAAGACATTGTTTCTATATGTTTCCGCGAAGGAAAAACTAAGCGGGGTCTGGGTATCTGCGCTCTAAAAAAAACATTCCCACATGTTATGTACGATAGCTTTGATAACGGCGAGTGCTGGAAGCTGGGTATACAATTGCACGTTCGTTACGGTAATCGCAGAGGTTCTCCTGCGTGAGACCAAAGTCCCCCGTTCTGGCGAGACACCTGGCCGCAATCCGTAAGAGCTGCCTTTAAGGTGTTGCCCTACGTGCAATTTTCACAATTTAAAGCAGCTCAGTTGTGAGCAAGCGTGATCTGCCGATGGTCTTCTCTGCCCCGCGAAAGCTGGCAAGGCTCTTCCCGAAAATAGCTTCTGCTAAGAAGAAATCTGAAGGGAGCCCCTATGCAACTTGCGCGGTTTGCCAGCTTCTGTTGTCGTAGAAAGTCGGGCAAACGGGACGTTGCACCAAAGATCGTGCAAGGGAACATGAATTATCGATAATCAGTGAAAAAAAAAATTGCGCATCTACCTGCGCACATCCGGCATTGCATGCATGTTCCGAGTTTCCGAGGCATGAAAATTTTGGGCAAAAGCCATGATAGCACTGCTCGGGAATGGATGGAAGCCTTTTATATCTCGACAAGAGGGCACGTCTGTGTTGGCCAAACTTCTGTTTCTTCATCGGATTGCGAAATGAGGTTCTTGCGTGGCCTGCTGTACTCTGCATAGCGTGTCAATGTGATTACTGTTGTTACCACATGAGTGAACGTATACTATCGGCTGCAACAAAAATGAAAAGTTAGCGTGTATAAATAAATAAATAAATAAATATATATATATATATATATATATATATATATATATATATATATATATATATATATATAATGTTACCACATGTGTAATTTAGGTATGTGCACCTGTGTAGCGGGGAACATGGTGGTAGCAGAAGAGGAGGACGTTCGGTTGGTGGAAAAAGCTCGCTGCTGCCCGTTCACTGCGGTATATCGTCGAGTCGACCGTTACGTCTGCTTCGAATAAACCCCTCGTAGACGTAACAGAGTGGTGGAGGTGCTGGGTACGACACATCGACGTACCACGGAGCTACAGCTGTTCGGAGTTCGCCGGAGCCGTCGTCTTGCCGGTCTGCCGCCGAGAACAGTCGTCATGACCCAGAGCGAAGGTCAGGAATCAACCGCCTCGACTTCGCGCACTGGCTACACCAAGGCATCACTACATGGAACCCCGCCCGTTCGCGGGAATGGCAGGAGAAGGTGTGGACGCGTGGCTAACGCACTATAAAAGGGTGAGCCGGTACAACCACTGGAACTCTATCGATCAGCTGGAAAACGTCGCGCTGTTTCTCACGGACACTGCCCTGATGTGGTATGAAAACCACGAAGAGTCCTTGACAACATGGGCTATTTTTGCTCAAGAACTAAAGAAGTGTTTTGGTGACTCCGACTCAAGAAAGAAAAGCGCGGAGCGGACTCTTGCTGGAAGAGCCCAGACTCCTGGAGAAACCTGCACTGCCTATATAGAGGACGTTCTTAAGCTTTGCAAGATTATAAACCCGCAGATGTCTGAAGAAGACAGGGTCGGACACCTATTGAAAGGCATAGCGGAAGACGTTTACAATTTTCTGATAGGCAGGGATGACCTCACCTCTGCCTCCGACGTCCAACATCACTGCCGCACGTTTGAAAAATTGAAGACTCGTCGCATCGCCCCGAAATTTGGTAGGCTGGCAAATGTGACAACGGTTGCCAGCGTCGACGTGAGCGCGCCCACCGACCTTGCCGCTACTATTCGGGCAATTGTGCGTGAAGAGCTGCAACGACAAGGTAGTAGGCTTGACGAAACCATCCCTCATCCACCTACCAATCCACCCTACTACACGGCGGCACCATCAGCTTCTTTGCCACCATCGGTATGTGTGGCAGACATCAGCGAAACTGGAAATCCGCGGCCACGTCGTGACTCATTCGTGGCCGACCAGCGATATGGCCAACGCCTTCGGCACGGCCCCGCCACACAGAGGTGGGCAGCCCCCGCTCAACAAGCTCGTCACCGACCCTTCACAGCTGAGCGGTCCCAGCATTGGTTCGGTGAGCGTCCTCTACCAGTCTGTTACAACTGTGGCTTCGAAGGACACATTGCCAGGTATTGCAACTACCGGCAGCCGCCAAGGTATGACCGATCACCGAGATTTAACCGTTCTGGCGTTACCCGAGCACCGACATTCCCGGGAAGCGCGTCTTACGAGATCCCAGGACCGCTACGAAACCAATCTCCGGCCTCTGACCGTAGTGTGACACCACCACCTGCCCCTCGCGCCAACCGATCACCGTCTCCTCGGCGCCGCCACTCCTCGCTTCTTACGGAAAACTAGCCGGCGCGGCCGTTGGAGGTGAGGTCGCCGGACAGTCTTCGATTTCAACAGATATACCTCCGTTAGCTTCCATGTTTAAAAATAAGGTTCGAGTGCTTATCGATGGTGTACCAACGATGGCGTTGGTGGACACAGGTGCAAGCGTGTCAGTGATGAGTTTAGTTTTCACCCGCCTTCTTGGACGAAAGGTTATGTTTCATTGGGACCGTCCTGATACGTTTCGTGGAGTGAGCGGAGAG